GGGTTTGTTTGTTCGGGGTTTGTTTGTTCGGGGTTTGTTTGTTCGGGGTTTGTTTGTTCGGGGTTTGTTTGTTCGGGGTTTGTTTGTTCGGGGTTTGTTTGTTTTTGTGTCGGAGGTTTTGGGTTCGGGTGTTGGAGGTTTTGGGTTTGGGTGTTGGAGGTTGAGGTTTCCGAAGGGATGTGTTTGCAAAGTTTTATTGCTCTTAATATTTCAAAACTGTAGCTGTACTGTATGTAAAGAAAAAATGACGTCGGACACACAAACTGCTTCTAGCTGGATCCAAATGAAGGGCGACGGTGCTTCCGAAGGCGATGTCCTGGATCAGGTCCGCAAGGGCATGAAGCAAATCAAGGTCCCGACTGCCGGCAACAAAGTGTACAAAGACGAATGCGTCTTTACATTCGACAACCCCTATTCGCCAACCGGAGTCTTCGTGAACCTCTCGACATGGCAGTGCGTCGGGGAGCGCTTTCTTCCGATTGATAGCGGCCGATCGAGTGACAATATCCTTTACCTAAAGCTTCGGTACACCAAAGTATATAAAAGCGAAGCAGAAAAGGACGAGGAGCAGGTGAGATCGTCACTAGTATGCTAGGCGAAATGATAGCTATTTTTGGTAAGCTTGATGTATGCACGATATCTCGCTTCCAGTCGACTTTTCGCATAGCCGGAGTTGGAGAAATTACGCTAGTTTTCAAGTTATGACCTTTACCTTAGGTACAACAAGCGCAATGACAACATCAATCACTAGGTAACAACGCTCGGAATCGGCGTTGCCGGTGGTTTCGCGGCGCAGGATTTTGAGTTAAAGAAGCAATATTTCCTTGCGGTGTTCGATACCGCGAAGAAGGCAGTAGTTGCAGAGCTTGCTTACCCGTTCCCGGCTGACGCTGACATTCCCATGCTCATAGCACAGTGCTGCGAGGCGGTCGAAAAGCATGCAGGTGCCGCTGCCATGGAAAGCAGTTCCGTTTGGGAAGACAAAGACGAGCTAAAGCCCTCGAAGTACGCATCGGACCTTGTGCAGCTTCCTGTGGGGGACAAGAGAATATCTCCGTAAGAACTTGTTTCACGATTTACTATGATCTTAAAATCATTCTGTGCAATTTCTATGACTACATCCACAATCTTCACTGTTTCCAACAAAGGGAATCATAGATATTCGAGTCGTTGGTTGTCAGCAACCTGCGTTAACAACAAAAACTACAGCGATCCCTCTACGTGGAAGTGCGAGAAGCATGGCACCACCGATAATTTGTGGTTAAATCTGTCCGATGGTTACATTGGTGGAGGACGTAAGAACTGGGACGGCTCTGGTGGCTCCGGAGGCGCTCTAGAGCACTTTGAGGAAGAGAAAGCGAAAGGGAACTTCTTCCCACTTGCAGTAAAGCTAGGGACGATCACACCTCAGGGTGCAGGTACTACTAGGGAAATAAGTACTTATGTGGCAATGGCTGACACTGACTGTATCTGTAGTTTCTTTATCTTTTCTTAGAAACTGCCTGTCCTCGTGGTTACGACTTGTGATTCGCAGTAGTGATTACCTTTCCCAATACACATACAAGTGAAACATCTTCCACTATCTTCAGACGTATTTTCCTATTCGCCGGACGAAAATGATCTTGTGATCGATCCAAAGCTTGGTGAGCACTTAGCGCATTGGGGTATCGACATCATGAAGCAAGAAAAGACAGCGAAAACGATGGCGGAGCTTACTGTTGAACTCAATGCGAACTATGACTGGGGTACTCTTACCACATCTGATATAGATCAATTTACGCAACGTATTGTAGTAGCTTTCCTGCTGAAGTTTGTCTATTTCTTTTTCTTGCTTTGAATTTAAGAAGCAGCCACTGTACCCGCTGGCTTCCTCATTAGCATAAACGAGAAAAGGGAGATATTCACGTGACTAGTATTTCATCAGTTGTTTTTGCAACTACCAGGTAAAGTGTGCGAATCCGGTTCATCACTTGAACGCGTCTACGGTCCAGGGCATGTGGGATTCGCCAATCTCGGCAATACGTGTTACATGAACAGCAGTCTGCAGTTGCTCCTCTCGTTACCCGAAGTCTTGCAGCGATACTGCGAACCCGCTGGAACCAGTGCGCCATTGCGTCTTTCTGCTGCTCCGGCTAACACTCTGCCGTCAGATCTTGTGGCGCAGATGGCCAAGGTCGCTACCGCAACAAATGTACCCGGAGAGCTGGAGCAATCGCGATTTCCAAGGAAAGCAGAGGACCCGAATGACGAGAGCAATGTGATTGCGCCACGCATGTTTAGGTCGGCCGCGGTAGAGAACACTTCTGATTTCTCCACGAATAAGCAGCAGGACGCGGAGGAGTTCATGCGCTACCTCTTTACGCGCTTGGCGTCCGCGGAGAAGGCGGCGCTGCAGAAGGGCAGAATACAGCCTATCACAGCAGGCTCGTCAGCATCTGCTAGTTGCAGTGGCTCTTCTACAACCTCTGCGACAGAGGACTTGTTCATGTTCAAGAAAGAGGAGCGCTACGAGGCGACGACAGGCGAAGTCGCTTACTTGGACGGATCCGACTGTTTTCTGCCCTTAATGATCAACATGGAAGACGCGGTCGTCACGCCACCACCAGGAGGGGACGCAGCTGACGCGCAAGTGCTTAAGAAGCAGAAGACGGAAAATGGCGAGAAATCACCCGAAGACTCCTCCGCTAAAAAGGAGGAAGAAGCCATTCCGGAGATTCCATTCGACCGCGCCCTATCGCGTGTGTTCGAACCGGAAGATATGGGGTCCGAGCACCTCTTTCGCGGGCGGAGAGCGGTAAAGTCAACGGCTCTAGCAACAATGCCTAGATACCTGCTAGTGCAGGTGCAGAGATACTACGTAGACCCCGCGACCTGGTCCCATAAGAAACGCGAGTGCACCTGTCCAGTGCCAGAAAAACTTGATCTCGAAAGATACAGAGCACCGGCACGTGGCGAAGACGGAAAGTGCAGGCCAGGCGAGAAGCTGATGCCAGATGACAGTGCCGGAGGTACTAAAGCGGTGAAAATTCTAAACATACAAATGCAATGAGTACTATTGAAATTGAGGTTTCGTATTCTACTGTGAACGATTACGATTTTCTTGCGTCCTTCTAGTGAACAACCTTGTACATAAGCGCACAGATGAATAAGTAGTTGGTCAAGCTAGACGGACAGAATGTCCATATAATGTCATTCAAATTATCGTCCAGGTGGTAGCAGCTCCAGTCCTGAACCAAGTCCGGAAATTGTGCAAAATCTCATGGTGATGGGATTTGGCGAGAACGGCTGCAAACGTGCTGCACTGGCGACGCAGAACCGGGGCGTCGAAGAGGCATCCGAGTGGATCTTCGCTCACATGGAGGACTCAGATTTCAACGACCCGCTTCCAGAAGATATGATGAATGAGAATTTATTATTAAGTAGGTTTCCCTGCTCTATCCTTAGGCTTATCCCTTGAAACAATTATTAAGAAAAGTAGTTTCGGATCTCAATGTTTTAGGGGATGCACCAGGACTAACTCATTCATTCAGAGGGATTTCACTGTTACTCGACAAATGTAAATGATAGGGACGGAGAACAAGATTTTTGCACCATAGTATGCATGTCCGTGTAATCGCTAATAAAAGCGGCGCAGCTGCTGGCGGGGGTGACAGCGGAGGCGTAGACGCGGAATCGGTCGCGCTTTTGAACGCAATCACAGGCTTCGCAGAAAAGCATTGCAAGCGTGCGCTGAAAGCGACAAATAACAACCCGGACATGGCGGCTGCTTGGTTGATGGAGCGATCACCGGAAGACCTAGAGGCCCTAGAAGCATCGGAGGCGGCCGGTGCAGGCGGTGGCTCAAGCGCTGCTTCGTTCACCGACGGCCCAGGCATGTACTCGCTTGTTGGCTTCATCAGTCATGTAGGCAGAGCGACGAGCAGCGGCCACTACGTGGCGCACATCAAAAAGAAAGGACAGTGGTGCCTCTTCGATGATGAGAAAGTCGCAAAGTCTGAGAAGACGCCATTCGAATACGGCTACGTGTACTGCTTCAGGCGAGACGACTGAGCCAATGAAAAGTTCGAGACGGTTGTCTTGTGTTGACGTCACCCATGCTCACGATAGTGTGTCAAATTATGTACTTAACATTTTTCATACGCTGCATGCCCATGCTCGCTGGCGCTTCATCAAGGGTCCCGGCGAATACCACCTCCTTGATTTTTCACGCTTGATTTTTGTGCGTGATCTTGTGCGTTCATTCTCTTCCCTTATCCGAAGCATGGCGCACGACTGCCGGTGGAACATGACCTGAATTTTTTGAAGTAGCACAGATGTGTATCTATATGTTTGACAAATTCAAAAGGGCCCAGATAAAGAGGTTTGGGTTTCTACGACAGCTACCCTAGGAGCTAGTCACGGGGACGAGTCCTGGTTCTATTCATGTTCGCTTTGACGTTTGCGGCGTGTGTCAGCAAAGATTCAGCAGCGTGTCTGCGTAGTAAAGGAGGACTGGGTGTTGGTCTACTAATCGGTATAGAGAAGTAAGAGCATGAGCATCACACGCAAGCTAGCCTGCGGAGGCCATTATCTGTTTTCACCACTCATAGTCATACTACTGGTCCTATTCTCGACGTGAAAATAACAAGGCGCTGGAGATGAAAAACTATCCCGTCAAGCATCAGCTGGAATGAGCGTGAAAATTATGATATGAACATTGAACAGTTGTATTCAACAGTTGGCGAAGTTGAAAGATGTAGTTTAAATTTAAAAACTTTTTACTGTTCAAAAAAGATGCTTTCTCGTAGAAGTTGCAGTGTATTTGTCTCACAGCCTTGCTGCTTCTCTGTAGCAGCAGCTAATCCATGTGCATAAAAAGAAGCATTACTAGAAATATAAGAACATAACTAATTTCATTGTTGTCGTCCACAGCACATCGCTTGTCATTACTTGATTATGTAACGTTAACATACTCATACACGTAAGTTTAACCTCTATGCAATTCTACTAGAAGAGGATGGCGATGGAGTTCGTGAATTCGTTTGCTGCTGAGAAGCAGACGCGGCGTGAGCTTGGTGAGGACATCCAGTTGATGGATCCGTTATCAAACTCACCGCCACGCAATCATATGCAATCCAATCCAAATACTGCTTCTTTCGACAACATTGGAGGTGGAGGATCATTAGATCATACATCTTCAGGGTCCTCATCTTTTGGTCTGGATGACTCGTTTGATCTGTCGGTTGCAGCACCATTCGCTTCACCTCCAGGCTTTCGCAGTGGTGGGAGCTCATCTTCGACAACACGGCGCGCGCCCTTTAGCTCGTCACCGGGAACTACAGGGAGTGCGGCAGCGAGTGCACCACCCGTGGCGCCAAGTAGTGGGCTCGCTGGAGGAAGTAGGAGCTCGTATGCATCTGCAACGTCTGGTGCTGTGACCGGAGGAGTCGGAGCAGCATCTTCTTCATCTGGTAGTTGTAGTCCTTTTCGTAACAAGAGTAACATTCGGAGTGGAGGAGCAAACAGTTTGTCTTCACCAGGCACAGCCTCCAAGCTGGATTTAGGTTTGGGCAATAATTCAGGGGGCTCCTCGCCTGACAAGGATAAGGGGAGGCTATTTAGTAACGGCACAGACCTATTTGAGTGGCAGGACGGTCTGTATGGTTCCGCTGGCGGGACTGCAGGCCAAAGGGACGAGGAGGGCGGAACTGCGTATGAGCACCCTTACTCAAAGAAGCCACTAAAGAGCCAGGAGCTCGGTCTAGAAGAACTAGTCCTAGGCTTTGGTGTGCGGGATTTCGGGAGCAAACCACAACAGCGGAAGTTAGTCAAGCATTGGTTGGCGTTTCAAGTCGTGGGATGGATATTTCTAGTCTTGCTCTACTGGAACGAAACTTCAAACCAAGCTCAATTTGACACGGAGCTGATGAAGCACTGCACTCGCGACCCGGAGTCAGGCATATGTCTGGGACCAGAATGGAAAATGGTAGTCGAGTACTCATTTCGCCTTAATGAAAAAGAAGCATGTCGTTGTCGAAATGAAAAGTAGACCATGAGAATGAACTTCTGTATGAAACATATCTTTATCAAAATTTTTTTACTTTGGTATTGAGATGGAGCTGAAGCGACACTTTCGTAGAAGAAGTAGATTCTCAGAGACTCATCGCTCTTACCTCGTCATTCTGCTGATTCCGAAACCATTATAGGTTCTTTACAAGGACGTAGAAATGGGTTTCGATACGATGAACACGGACCAAAGTTTCGACTTTCAAACGACGTCGAGGCCTGCGACTGCATTAGTGGTGATAGATCCCTACAACCAGGAGGACGTCAAATCGCACTCGGGTCTATTGTATGTTGCTGGACTTTGAACTGTATGCAAGTTGTGTCATTCTTGTTGTAAGTAGTTTTATCGTGACACAAGGTGAAGGTCTCCTGGCGTTTGAACATTTCTTGATCATTTCTAAGTGTCATTCTCCTCGTTTAGTTCTAGCGAGCTCGACTTTCCTTTCTTCTAGCGAGCACGACTTCCAGAGTTGCAGATGAGCTGATAAAGTAGAATTTTTGCAGAAAGGAGATGTTGGAGGTGTTGTTATTTAGCTGATCCTTAAGACACATACACATTATAGACACAATTACCGTAGCGTTAGATAACCTGATAACCTCTGTTTTCCTACTTACTTAGAAGTCTTTCTTCATATACGTTCGGCCGGTTCAGAAGCAGATAGCACGCAGCTGGCACGAAAAGAGCTTGGTAGTTCAGACGTGTACTTCCCCCCGTCCACCAAGGCACAACCAGACGCACCCACTGCCACAGGAACGCACTACCGAGTGAGGATCGATCGCACAAATCCGTCACACAGCGCCGGATGCCCACCTGCTTTATGGCAAGCAAGAGGTGAAAGAAAAACCGAATATTGTCTCCGCGGTTGTACAAAATAAGTGATATAAACCACTCACTGTAGTGGAAGTAGCTGCTTGGAGGCCGCTTCAGTTCCGTACCGCGCTGATCGTTTTCATCGTGCTTCCCCTTTCATTTTGTAATCCGCTTTGTAATGGGTCTGGAGGTTTCATGATGGTGCAGCAGCAAGGAGCACACGCTTTCGCCGTGGAAGATTTTAGCGACGAAGCCCAGCAAGCAGGGACCGTCTCATGGCGCGTGACTGTGTCTCACCGACAACCACGACGCGCCACGCGGTATCGCGTCTACGTCCAGGACGTGACGATGAACCCAGAACATGTAAGAAAGTTGACCGCAGATGCAAAATGCAGTTTCGAGGGCGCCTGGAAAAAATTCAATGAAAAACATCAGGGAAAAGACGAAGATCGGCTTCTGATGCGATCCGAATACGCTACCCACTTGGGCATAATGATGTCCTTGGTCTTCATGTTATGGAGAAGAACGAATATTATCAAGTAGATGTAGTTGATTCAAATGAATGTTGGTTTTCGTTCTTTTATTACTGATTCTTGTTAGGACTACATCAAGCAGCTTACGATCATAAGATCTGTGGGAGCTATGATCATCATATTACTCTGCAAGAAGTCTCAACGCCTCTAAAAACTGCGATAGTTTACCGCATGCATGAGACGCAAGAGCCGAACACAAAACAATTGACGTACGTGCAGCTTGCAAAGTTTGTTTTTTGCGATTTTCCAGTGCAAGTTTCCTTAGTCGGCTATTTCTTGTCCTGGTATGATCGCGCGGGGATGCGGTGTCAGCTCTGCTTGTTTGATATGGAAACGTGTCAAGCGGACTATATTTTTCATGGCGTGAACGTTTTCGTAGTGGTTTTTATTCTGCTCTCGGCAGTGCTTACCAGTCTTTTGTTGGTCAAATATCATCGAGACAAGGAGAAAGTGTACACGGATGACGAAATTTGCTTGATAAAAGCGCTGCAAATGGCAGCGGTCTGTGTGGCAATACTGCCGTTCACCACGGGGCTGCTTATGGTAACCATCAGGCACTACATGCAGCTGTAAGCATTCACTTACTTCTTGTATTTCAATTTCTTGAATATTATCGTACTTAGGATACTTTGCAACAACATGTCACTGATTATCTCAGGTAATTATCTTCCTGCGTTGTGCGCACATATTGACATTCTCTTGATTCAGATTTTGATAAAAACTTCCAGGTAAACCGGGATCAGTTGTTCTTTCCGATAATTTGGTATATGGTAGCGGGGATCCCGTGTATAATCGGATGGATGGCCGTTTCGTTCTTGGTGTGCTACCCGTTTCTCTGCATGATGGAGGACGATCACACGTATCTATAATTAATACACTTATGATCTTCATCGCCACAATGTCACTGCATGCGTTATTCTTAAGCTTGTTAACTTCTGCGCGGTTCTCTTGCTTTAGAGCTTATATATTCACCGTTGATTCTTTCGCTTGTTTCCACCGTCGATGTTGCATGTTATTTCTTCGACCAAGTAGTGGTAGTGCAGTCAGTATGGCACCTCTCTGTCGTTCATCCCTGATGTCCACCGAACAATTATGATGACCGCCAGGTACTACTAATGTCAGGTATTCTGGCCGGCGGCGTTATCATGGCAGACTTACTCAACATAACCGGGGCCGTCAGCCAATCACGCGTGGGCAGAGACAGCAGTTCGTTTATCGCTAGTCGGCAAACCTTCAAAAAGATGCAAATGCTTCAAAGAAGGCAAGGAGACACAACTCGAAGAGAAAGATTAAGAGGATGTCATAAGGACTTCGACGCTACAATTCTTAGGTCACATATTGATCAATTATACTAAGTACTTCCTGTTTGTGTTTGTGAATCAAGGAACATCTTCATTAATTATGGCTATTGGACACGACATTAAGAACAAGAACATGCAACAAAAAGAAATTTTTTGGGCTTGGTTCACTACATGCATTTTCATGATCAACATCTACAGCTTCATGATCTAGAGGCTTTTTTTTACGTACTGAAGGAAGAGGAACCCGCTAGAGCCGCCACCTCTGCTTATAACACCAATAATTGGACGAGCACGAGCAGAAAGATATCCGGACTCACTGACAGGATATGGATTTTGAGTATGTCCTGCTTAATGGTAAAAGGAAGCGCGATGACAGGGTATTTGCGAATGGTGAAACTTCCCTATCGCTTACAACGGCCTTGCACTGAAAAGATTTTTGCGCTTGTTTGTTTTTTTCTGCGTGAGAAGATGAGCTCTGACCTAGGAATGCTTGTTGAAGAGTTGGAGTTGGTCTATCTCCATCACCGTTTATTCAATACTTTTGCTAACACAAGAAACAACAAAATGAAGGCGAAAGAAAGCCGTTGAGTGCATCGTGCCGTCTATCTTTTTTGAAGTAAAAGGAAGCAGCCACGAGTGCTTCACTATTTTTTCTTCCATGTTGTAATTCAACTCGGTCAAATTTTCTATGATTCTTATTTTTTTAGTTGGTTCATCTTCATCTCTCTCATGTGTAATGCGTAGCCTGGCTTTGTTATTTTTCAAGATTGAGTCCCGTGAGTCTTGACGAGGGAAGCGGACGAAGATTCATATACAGACAAGTCTAGCGAAAAGTTGCAAGATTCGGAACGAACCGAAACTGTAAAAAAGAAAGATATTACTTCGTTGCTTGACTGAGTCAGATAAGAACTCTGACGTCCTTCAAATACCCTATAAAAAGAAACGTTATTTAGCTCCTGCTTTGACCACATTGGCACTGACTAGTTTTGTTTTTCTGCCTGCCATTCAAAAACTTCTGTCTTCTTCAGAACTAACTACTTCCAACATTTAACTCGTCGCTCCTTCACAAGCTTTGCTTGAAAAGACGGAAAGAAAATGGGAGATCCCGCTATTTCGGTGCCTGATGATCAACATCAGGATCTCACAATGTTTGTCCAGAACCTGTTGAAGGAGATGCAGACGCGGTTTCAGACCATGAGCGACGGTATCATCACGCGCATCGACGACATGGGAGGACGGTACTAGTAGTGTATCGAGGTGAGTTCACCTTCACATCTACAAGAACATCATTCCGCGTCTACGTTGTCATTGTATTGTTTTAGAAAAGTTGTTTCTTGTTGTTCTAAGGCCAGCAAGATTCATTGCTATCTACGCTCTTGGTATTGAGATTGACTGTCCTTCGTCTTGTTCTTTCAGAGTCGTTGTAAGAGGTGGAGGTCTTAGTCGCTTGTTGCTGCATGTATTAAGCGTAGGTATAACTGTGCCGATCGCAATCAACAGCATCGATGAGCTCGAGCGCAGTATCAATACGCTTATGAGCGAGGCCATGGTCGACGAGGAACCAGCGGCCGGGAAAAGTGACCAGAAATAGGAGCTAGTTTTTGATGAGGTGTAAAAGCGAGATGTATGAGAAGTGCGGATGGACCTGCGGTAAACTATTTTTGTGAGCTATATTTTGGAAGCGGGGACAATGCGATCAATGAAAAATGTCAATGTCTTGGTATCTACTAGACTACTTTATTCATACTTACCATCGGGTGGATGCTGCTAATGAAGAAAGATGATCTTCTAGCACCGGAGGTTGTATTACCACAACTCGCGCATACTCCGTGGGATATTCAAGGGGCCAAAATGCATTGAACAAAAGCAAAAATGTCAAATGTTCTGAAGATCGAACACCAACGCAAGAATGACACTAGGCTTGTTAGACACTTACACTGTAAAGAAATCTAACGAAGAGATAACAGTAGTTACCAGAGGAAGACGAGCCCCACGTCGCTCGTCAGAGATATCCACAGCAAGATTATGCCTGTCGCATGTTCTTCAAGGTCTTGGATCCGCTCTTTTAGTAGATCTTACAATATAGATATGTTCAAACTCCGTCATTATGAGCGCCCCATAACATCAAGACTGACAGCGAGATCTGTGCTCAGAAGTCTGCCAGATCCACTACAGCAACCACAAACGTGAAGACGTCGCAGGAAGATTTCTTGATCATGTTGAATCCCAGTGTTAATCTCATTCCATCGGACGGTCATCATGGATCGCAGTGGTCAATTATCTCCCAGGTTCAGGTATGAGTATGTCGTGGCTTCGTTTGTACATTTCTCGTTCACTTCCTCGCTGATTCTTTATTGAATATCATGATGAGTACACGAGTAGAGACTACTTCTTGTCACTGAACTTCGACTCTGCGTTATTTTTTCCTACTTGGTGATTCTCTATTTGTTCATGTTTACTCACAACATTATGACGAAGAAAACACTGTTCTTCAGTATCAGTTGTAAGTAGGCGAGACGAGCATGATGACCACAATGACGAAGCTTCAGGGCAGCGAATCCTGGAAAAGGGAGTTCGGGGAGACAGTTGAGGCTCTCTGTTATCATTTTTCGAATAGCGAAGAGTATCTGGACTTGGAGGGCTGTGCAGAAGCTGCTCGGACAGCCTCAGTATTACATTCAACATGTTCAACTTCAGGTACTGATTGCTCGTCTACAACCAGCACTGCATCAAGAAGAGAGTTTTTCACCTCTCCAATATCGCCCGTACGCGCGGCTCCGTGTCATGTAGCGTTACAGGACAAGACGGGGTTCGCGATTCCTCGTGTAGACGCACGGAAAATCTCTCATATAGATTTTCTGCGCGACTTCGTAGGGAAAAACAGGCCTTGCATTTTCACGCACGTCCCGGAGCATCTGGAGGAGAGTGGCTCTTCGACTTCATGGCGCTCCAGGGACGCTTCGTGTCCCGATGCACATGCACCAGATACCCCAGAAGCCTGTGCCTCGTCCTCCTCGTCTAGCCTGTTGACTGGTGTTTTTTCGAGCATGGAAGCTTTACGAGAGCGTCTCGGGACGAGAATAGTGAGGTGCAACATCACGCCTGATGGATATGGGGATGCGGTGGTTATCACTGGATCATCGACACGCGACGGCTGTGGTATGCCTCATTCGGGCACTGCGTCAGCATCGGATAGAAGGCTCTTCGTAAAGCCAGCAGAAGTCGATGTGTCTTTCGAGTCATTTTACCAGAACGTGATGACGCCAGGAGCGCTGCATGCAGAAGTAGGAGGGTCGAAACCGGAAAGACTGGTGGCCGAGAGTCCCGTCTACTCTGAAAGCTCAACAAGGACAGCGTCCACTGAAGATGGTGAGAGCGATGATGCTTTTGATCGAGAGGCATATGCATGTGATAGACCTAGAGAAGATGAGGACGAAGATAACGAAATAGGGACTGGTCGTCATTCTACTTCGTGTAGTTCCGCCACCAGCCCAAGAACGGTAGACGAGGACCCCCCCAAGAAACGGCGCAGTTTGGATTCCATTCTCGGTAACAGCGGCAGCGTTGTCCCGTATTTGTCTCTACAGAACGATTGTTTGAGGCAGGAGAACGCGTATCGTGACTGCTTTCACGAAGATCAAGATAAGCAAAAGCTTGAAAACTTTTTCGCGTCGTTTGGAAAAGCGGTTTTTGGACAGCCAGGGCCAGAGGCATTAAACTTGTGGGCTGGTGATGAGCGTTCTCTCAGCTCTTTTCACAAAGACAACTATGAAAATCTGTACTACGTCGCCTCTGGGCGGAAACTTTTCTGGCTAGCACCACCAGCGGTTCTTTGGGGTCTTTATATCGAACGGCACAAGGCAGCAACGTATTCTTTGACGCTGAGTAGAGCCGAAAAACATGATGAAGTAGGAGCCCAAGCTGTCGGGAAGGCAAACAAGATATCTGGGCTTCATGGTCGTCATGATGGACGCGCTGTAGCTCCTCAGGAGCATACTATATGGAGTATAGACGCTGACGAGGACGACGGCCTACTAAGTGATAAAGCGACAGACGATCACGAAGTTGGACGAGGTGGCCAAGAGGTATCATGGAGCTCAATCGACCTTCGTAAGGAGTATGAGGAGATTTTACGAGAATTCCCGGATTTTGAGTTCACAGGATGTAAGCAGATTTGGCTGGAGCCGGGAGAAATGCTGTACTTACCACGGCTGTGGTATCATGCAGCAACACAGGTTGGCCCGACTATTGCACTGAACGCCTGGTTTGATATGCCATACGATCAGCTCTTCTGCTTGCATTCACTTCTCTCAGAATCAAAGCAAGTTGTGGTACCGTAAAGATGAGCATGTTTTTCAGAACTTTCGCTCCAACTACTTTCGCTCCACTTCCTCATGATATGATGATTTAAAACGAAAATATTTGTAGTTATTCTTGGTACACCTACACCTGAGCCTGATAGTACTGTGCCTCTCACTCACGACACGTTCGATATCCTCCTCCTCGTCTCTTCATCCAAAGTGATTGAGGGCTTCGAAGAAAATCAAAATCGTCAAAAAGTGACATGCTTGTGCAGATGTCTTCACCGGCGTCTACGTCAAATTGCGTGAAGTTTGAGATTTGTTATGTCATCAATTCGGCAGGTATGAGGAACAAAACTATGTGACGTGTATTCGGTGTTGAAGCCTCTGTAAAGTCATGTGAAAGTAGCGAGCTTCATTATCTACTCAATATTCAACGATGATCTGGACCTAGATTTTGGAGGATTTTGTGCACATGAAATTTTTTTTTATAGTAGAGCGTATGATTTCTTTGACCCTTGATGTAAAAAAAGGAATCTTGATGTGCATGAAATAGTTGATCGAGTCACCTTTCTCTGTTGCTGCGTTCTCTTGTAAATCCACACCTAGACGAGGGAAAACAATAAAAAAATAATAATGGCTCCTCCTGCTCTTTAACTTATGGCCTGCCTGATGCGTTAAAAAAGTGGCTACTGTAATAGACACTTTTAAGCTAAAAACATCTGAAAAAAGTGATTAAGTAACCTCCTCCCATAACAGGAATTCGTGGCTTTTCCCCTTAGCATAGTATGCGGCTGTGCTGCAAATCTTGAATGGCTTTTGCCCGTAAAACGGCGGCGGTTTAGGTCCAGCGACGCTCAAAGCACTTAAATAAACAGCCGGCTTGTTTTCCTCTTTCTACTTTTAGACTATCCCTTCTTGCAAAAACAAAGACTTATGGCCTGCCTGATGAGACCTTCCATGGAAGAAGTAATCTGTCTCAGTTTGTCTGTCAGGAAGACCTACCGCTTCTGTGTCCAGGGTGGTTTTTGTAACATTCATTATGAGCCGTGGCCGTCTGTTGTCTGCTAATATATAATTCTCTTCACGAGGAGATGAATCCAAAAGAATCTTCATTTGTATAAAAACAGCAAACCTTCTTATTCGCACTTCCCTACCCCTGTGAATATACTCAATCACAAGGACAACATGCCTGTTTTCCTACTGAAGCTGACCTTGCCATTAGTGGTCAGGCAGGTGGTTCTCTTGGATGGACCCGATAGTTCCCAAGGGGATCTTGTCCATTACCACCATGACCAAGACCAAGAGCTCCTCGGTAAGAATTGCTATTCGCACCTACCCGGGCTCTTCGTCGGCGGACCCTATGGCGCAGAACATGAGCGCGTGACGCAGGCACTGATGGAAGCTTTGCTGCCAGGATCAGGAGATGGACCGGAAAAATCCTGCGCGCGGTCTGGATCTTCGACTTGGTCTACTCTGCTTCAAGGAGCGACGCTGGAGAAGATTGAAGGCTGCATTTCAATGATGCCACGAAGATCCAGGACTACGCCGAGCGCGGGTTTTTCCTCGAGCCTGTCTGCAGTTGCACTTCCGCAGGACAAAAGCTTCAACGATTCACTTCCCGACGCTGCTGCACGGCCCGCCTCTGCACCTTGCTGACGATGTAACAGAAATGGGCACTCGTGGTCGGGTTCCGTTGTCCTCGTTCTCGCCCACCAGGTACGATGCGGGGAAGCACTCGGCCTACTTACAAAATCCTCACCGACAACTGGGCTGCATTGAATATTGCAGACGTCTCGTGTCTGGTGGTGACCGGCGACCGTACACCTGACTGCGATACCGGGGTTAAACAACTGGAAGAGCGCCGCGTGCTTTCGCGCATGACGGCTGCCGCCGGCATCAAGAACGGGGCGTTTTTATTGTTTTTTGACGGAGAAGTCGACGAGGCGAGGTTGGATGCATGGCGGGATATTCTGATATAACAAGTTGCGTTCAAGAGATTGGGCGCATGGACGAGAGACCCGAGGATGATGCTGAAGGTATTAGGAATCGTGAAGCCGAGGGAAAGGGGGACAAAAGGCTCCCCGTCTAATGTTGGCGAGATTTTTCGTACACGGTCATCATGCGCGGTAGGGTTTGATATATTAGGTGAAGGAAGTGGCAGCTGCCGGTGCGGCGGCAGCTGCTGGCTCGGTATCGGAGGAGGGCGATTTCGACTTGATCGCACGTGTCGAAAGCTGGACTGAGTTACTTAGGCGATTCGGAAGTTGGGGAAGCGACAAGCTCAACCGCAACTTGGTCCGCGTGGTTGCAGCAGTTTTGGGAAGCGAAGAACCCCAGTGGTTCGACTTCGAGTTCCTTCTCTAGCAGAATCCCCACCTCCTCAACAACCGAGTCTCGACAGGAACTCTCGTCTCCAGATAAACAACAGCTCGCGCCGCTTCGCGCCTCCGTGGTTTACGCCGAGCACATGTCTACTGGTGCCGCAGAGAGTACTACAGTGCATCGGGCTCTCGTTCGCGTGTGGTCTGGATCCATAGAGGTAGGGTCTAAGTTGACACTAGCATCCACGACCACTGGATGCGCTGCAAGTGTGCGGGTGGTCGCGGTCGGGCGCGAAGCTGTTGTCTGCGCTGGTGCGACCCCTTGTGCCACCAGCACAGCGACTAGAAGCGACGAATTGGTGAGGCCCACTGTTGGTTTCCACACCGTTGTCATAGACCAAACTGGTGCGCTGGTGGACGGAAATAATTTTCATTTGCGTCTTGGGGACGTGCTACTTGCAGCTGCATCTGGCACCCGGGAGTGTAGCGCCCCCACCTCTTCTTTCACCAATTTTCTGGCAACGGCCCAACAGAATCCCAATCGCCCCTACGAACCGAGGCTCGTCATGGATGCCAGCCGCGCGGAGCGGGCACCATTCTTTGAGAAACTACCTGCCAGCGAGCTAACTTGCTGTATTGACGCGCAGTGCGTTCCATGCTTGCCCAGGACCATCGCCAGGCTGATTGGGAAGGGGAGACTTGGTGAGAAGTGGGAAGCAGAAGATGGGTGCCAGCACGACTGGTGGTCGCCGGGTAATTGGAAGCCGCTTGGGAGCATGTTGGGAAGCGAAATTGCGTCCGTCGTGTTTGACCTCGACGATCACAATTTCGAATATCTGTTCCGAACGAGCTGGAAAACGAGCCAGCATTTCGCGCGAGTGGTGGTCTTCAACAGAGCGACTAGAGAACTTGTGGCGTTTGGGAAGGTGATGGAAGCGTAACGTGGATAGCGTAACGTTTTGGAGGAAGACGAGATGAGGCTAAATACTAGGATTAGGAATGAAGCATCAATATCAAAAAACTAAGAAGGAGGTAGGGAGAATCGGACTATTTCACAGCTGACTTTTTTTGCTTGAGCTTGAGGAATAGACCTAGATTGTTTACTTACTTTCTCATGTTGATTCTCTAGAAAAAATTCCAGGTATTTAACTTGCAGTCAGAGTAGTTTTCTAGTCGCGCTTGCAGGGCTAGCCTCTACTAGTACGGTTGCAAGAGCGGCAGCAACACGGATAAATGCATGTAATCAATAAAATGAAGAAGAATAAGTCACACTTTGTGTGGCGCTGACAATGGTTTGACCCACTGAATAAAACAGAAATGAGCAAGAACAACTGTTGCACGATTTCAGAGCACGAGATCGCATCACGCGGTGCAGCACACACGACGATGCCTCCAATCAAAGCGCTGAATAATGAGAATATGCCTCTCTTCATTGATGTCGTTTTCTTGCAAAAATACGCATAAAAAAGAAAACCAATTATTCGCAGACAGTGACGCGGTTTTTGATATGACCGTATCACCGCTGTGCTTGCGCTTGTAGCAAGAAGCGCTGATAAATATTCCCTGTGCTCAACGTGCTTCGTTCGCTTCCCGACAAAACACTTCCTGTTGTTCCACAAAGTACAAGTAGAAGTAGGTTAAGTTTAAGATGCTGTTTTCTGTTGATTTATGAAATGGCTCAGGAGCGAGGAACAAGAAAAGCAGGATATATAGTTCTATGAGATGGCGAGAGTGTGTGTGGTTGTCTTGATAGAACAAGCAACATCATACTAGCTATGAGCGCCCGATAACATCCCTCCCACTAGGATCCCCCTCCTCCCGAAAGTAAGAAACTAAGCACGGCCTGCCTGCGTGGGTTTTGCTCGTCCTGTCTCTCTTCTTTCTTCATCTTATGGCCGAAAATTTTACGCGTTTTTTCGTCGTCTTGGGATTGAATTCGCTGGGTTTGAAGTGCTAAAATCCCAAAGCTCTTGACTTTAAGCACTTTCTGCGAAATTCAATCTTCTGGCCTCGAATTTTTCAAATTTCAAAAATTTTCCACGTTTTTTCGTCGTTTTGGGATTGGATTCCGTGGGTTTGAAGCGCTAAAGCCCCAAAGTTTTCGACTTTAAGCGCTTTCTCTGGGATTCAACTTCCTGGGCTCGAATTTTTCAAATTTCGAAAATTTTCCACGTTTTTCCGTCGTTTTGGGATTGAAATGAATTCCGTGAGTTTGAAATGCTAAAATCCCACAATTTTTGACTTTGAGCACTTTCGCTGCGGTTTAATTTCCTGGGCTCGAATTTTTCAAATTTCGAAAATTTTCCACGTTTTTTCGTCGGTTTGGGATTGGATTCCGTGGATTTGAAGCGCTAAAGCCCCAAGGCTTTCGGCTTTAAGCGCCTTCCCTGGGATGCAACTCCCTGGGCTCGAATTTTTCAAATTTCGAAAATTTTCCGCGTTTTTTCGTCGTTTTGGGATTGAATTCTTTGAGTTTGAAGCGCGAAAGTCCCACGCTTTTTGATCTTAAGCGCTTTCCTTGCGGTTCAATCTCCTGGGCTCGAATTTTTCAAATTTCGAAAATTTTCCACGTTTTTCCATCATTGAGGGGCTAAGCCCCGTGGGTTTGAAGTGTTAAAGTCCAAAAATTTTTGATTTTAAGCGCTTTGCCTGGAATTCAATTTCTTGGACTCGAATTTTTCAAATTTCGAAAATTTTCCAAGTTTTTTCATTATTTTGAAACTGCATTCTGCGGGTGTGAAGTGCTAAAGTCCCAAAGTTTTTGACTTTAAGCCCTTTCCTTGGAAGTAAATTGCTCGGATTCGCGTTCTTCAAATTTCGAAAATTTTCCACGTTTTGTCGTCGTTTTGGGATTGAATTCTGTGCGTTTGAAGTGCTAAGATCCCGAAGCTTTTGACTTTGAGCCCTTTCCCTGAGGTTCAATCTCTTGGGCCCGAATTTTTCAAATTTCGAAAATGTTCCGCGTTTTTTCGTTGTTTTGGAGTTGAATTCTGCGAGTTCGGAGCGCTAAAATCCCAAAGTTTTTGACTTTAAGCCCTTTCGCTGGAATTCAATTTCTTGGATTCGCGCTTTTCGCATTTCGATGGTTTCGTGGGGTTTTGTGGGGTTTCTTGGTTTCCTGGTTTCATGGGTTCATGGGTTTGGGGTTTGGTGGTTTTTGTGTCGGAGGTTGTGGTTGCGGGTGTTGGAGGTTGAGGTTTCGGAGGGGAAGTGTTTGCAGAATTTTATTGCTCTTAATATTGTTTTGCTAGTTTCAATATCAATTTCAAATTTGACAAGAATGAGAAGAGAGAGATCATAAATGAGAAAATTCGGGAACTCTGATATAAAAAAGGTCTGAATTGAAAAAGGGATCCATGTTGAGCAGGTGGAGCATGAGCAGACGGGTAAATGCTCTACCAGCAATAGCAGATGATTGCGTAAGAACATGCGCGCCCTGGACGTGTCGGGCGCCGGCGCCCGTGCGAGCCGAAATAAACGTAGCACGAGCAAAAGCTCGACGGGCTCGGCGTCTGATGGTTCTTTACCGCCGTCGGGAAGCGCAACATCCGGTACGGCACTGATCGAGCAGGCACGAAGGCAGATCGGTAGCGGGGCCTTTAGCCATGGAGGTTCGCCACCGTTCCATTCCGGCGACTTCGGAGCTAGCAGAGGAAGCGGAGGCGGTCATGGGGACGCACGTCTTTCGAGGCGAGGGCATACCAGCTCACGCGGAGGAGAGGTAGAGCGGACGAGACATGCTTACAGAGAGGATAGCGTGAAGGGACACAACCAGCATGATGGAGCCTGGGTCAATGCTGAGCATGATCGCGTGGTCGTCGGTCCGCCTTTCTCTAGCGTAGCGTCGAGTCCGGATGTGCATACAGCTGATCGCACAGCAGCAACGATAAACCAGGACGGTCGGCATTCCTTAACGTTGGAGAGGAACAAAAACCAAGGCGAGGAGGGCGAGCTCACAGAAATCGACCCTGTGGACTTGTTGAAGTCCCGTAGCTGTCAGCGGTCATGTGGCTGCCTCACCCTACGAAATCCTATTCGACGCGCCGCATGGGCAATCATGCTTACTGTCTGGTTTGAACCACTGGTGCTGTTATTGATCATTCTGAACGCCCTTTTTATGGCGTTTGTAGACTATCGCGATCCGGACGGCCCTGTGACGTCTTTTATCGAGCAGTCGGAGACTGTGTTTCTGTTTGCTTTTTCAGCGGAAATGCTCATTAAGATGATCACACGTGGCATCATAACTGGCGAACTAGCCTATTTGAAAGATCCGTGGTGCTGGTTGGACTTTCTCGTTGTGGTGTCGGGCCTTTTGGACTTCGGTGCGGCGAAAGCGGCCGAGGCTAATGGTAATGGAGAGAGCGGCGATGAAAGTGGGCTCAGTGTGCTCCGAGTGTTACGCGTTTTGCGGCCACTACGCACTGTCGCGCGGCTGCCCGGTCTGCGGAAGATTATTCGGACCTTTTTCCTCAGTGTGATGCGGTTAGTCGACGTGGCCGCGATGTTCCTGTTCATTATTATCATCTTCGGCATTTTAGGCATGAGTTTCTTGGGTGGCACATTGCATCGCTTCTGTCGGTTTACACCGGAACCATTGATATTCTACGACGGCAGCTCCGCAGCTTTTGCCGCGCTCAAAAGTGACTTCCAAACTTTTCTGCAGCAAGAACCACTCGCCTTCGATATAGCAGGTCTTGATGACACAAGCTTTCGCACATTCTTCGTGACAACCTACGCGGGTGCAACTATGATCACCACCACGTCGTCGACGACATCGACGACAACAACACCCGCGTCAGGTGTGGTTTTGCCGCCCGAAGTCGGCATCGCAACAGTCACGTCCAGCGTGGCTGCAAAGCGTTGGAACATCGTCAACCGCTATTGCGCAGTAGGCAGTGTGTGTCGTAACGCATTTACGGATTCGTCTGGACAGGCAAGTCGATTCTTTGTTGTGTGGCCCATTGACGACAGTGAGCGATCAGAAGGCAGTATTTCCGGATTGGGGGGTTACGGAGGTTACACACCGTATCTTACTCAGGGCGCTAGCGCTTCAGCAGCTAGCCAAGACACCTCCTCGCCTTACTTCCCCTCGATCCGATTAGAGGGCAGCGCTCGTGGTTGTGGAGGCCGCAGTTGTCCGCTTATCACAGAAAAGCAAGCCGCCTTTGGAGTACCAAAAAAACGCCGTCGCGGAAACGCAGCCGGCGCCGCTGCAGCGACCGGGAGTGGGGCGGGAAGCGGGACTGTTACCACAGCAATGTACGACAGAGATTGGTAGTTTGCATCTTCATTTTCATTCTAACAATTTGAATTCCTCCTTAGGTAAAAAAATCGCTAAGTTACTACATCACGACTGCTGCAGTAGCACAGTTTTATTCGAGCGTGATCTACATCTACACTCATGATCAATTTGCGTGCGTCTAATTCGCGGTCTCTTTATTGTTCTTCTTGTTCGTTGTTTAACTTTATGGAGAACTAGGTAGATACTCGTACTCACTAGTCCGTGCCGTAAACTGCTTTCCCCCCTTTGTTGAGCATCATGTGTCATTCAAGCGAGCCTTCGTCAGACGATGTGGCACTCCTCCTGAGCGACGTTTTTGCCGAGCTGAATCCTACAGGGGAAACTTTTTGTGGCAACATGATCAGCGACGACCTGGACACGGGAATTCTAGGAGGGAGCGCTATGCGCAGTTTCCGAGACTACTTGAAGGAGGATTTGGCTAAGGATGGGTCGAAGTTATGACGGTGCTCTACATTTGTATTTATTCGAATATACTGATTACACAAAACTACAAATAGTGCTTTCACCTTAGAATCCCAATTCCCAGTTGTCATATGCTGTGTTTGTCCTCAACATTTTTTCGTCCCGTAGTTGCTGCTGTACGCGCCCCGATTTCAGGAAATTACAGTCCCATGGGAAGGGGGAGGGGCTCGCATTTTTTACCAGCAGAGCACTAGCGTAGTGCGACTAAACTCGGGAAAATTGTACTCCCAAGTAGATGGGAGACGGATCGCAATTTTTCAGAAAAACGCAATCCCATTTAGAGGACGAGGGATCGCAAATCTGTAATTTCTAGCAGAAATAAGACTGAGGCTCAACCACCCCACGCAATCAAGTATAAGTTTGTGATTGCTTTACATGATGCGCGCTCTGCTGCCCCTTTTTCATTTCCCTCTGACGCGGGCACGTCCTTGACCGAAAAGGATTCGTTCCTGATGGAGCTATTCGGTGGGAACTCGAACATGATCGGGAAGCAGTTTCCAAGCGCAGATGAGGCAGGCGTGAAATTTCACACCATGCTCGATCTCTCTCGTATTGAGGACTTCAACTGGGGACTCACAGGATTTGATAACCTTCCCGTTGCAGCTTTGACGCTGTTTCAAGTAGTCACGCTGAGTGGCTGGGTCGATGTCGCCTATCTGTACGAGGATGCGTATGACATCGCTTTTTCAAGGACATTCTTCACGTGCATGATCATGTTGGGGACGTTTTTTGTCTTAAACGTGACTCTTGCTGTGGTTTGCGACGCGTTTAACGACCCGAAAACGTTCATGAAGCGTGATAGTGCCTGGCGGGGCATCGAGGACGTGGTGGAGCAGGCACGAAGTCCAACCCATCAGTCTGAACACGGTTCACCTAGGAGCGAAAAAAAACTTCTGTCTGCAGGTTCACAGGCGGCGATCGGCACTGCAGCAGTGAAAGAACGCACTCCGATGGATGATACAGTTGCACGTGGACAGGATCATGATCAACGGCCCAACTCAGCAGGCGCTACAACCAGTGCTTCATCGGGTTTTTTCAATGTCTTTTCTGCGGATTCAAAGCAAGGACGAACGTCAAAGACTTCTGCAGTGTCTTCGCTAGTGTCATCCTCTGTGCTCGCTGGGCCGCAGTCGCGTTGGGCCAGTAAAGAATCTGCGCGCTCCGTTGCAAGTGGTACTTCGTCCTCCAGTGCGGGCATTTATGACGCGGCAGAACGACTTTTTAAATCGCGAGGCCGAGACATTGTGATAGACCAGTCAGACGGCGCAGTTAACGAGTGGGAGGTCGCTGACAATCGCCGCATCAGCTTGGTCTTGTCGGCGTTTAATCCAGCGAGCAAGCAAACTGTCGGTGGACACGTTCTAGCAGGAGAGAAAGCAGCACAACAAGTGGCGGAGGTTGAGCAGGCCACCGGCGCAGTGGTTGTGGTCGAGGAAGGGCAAGATGTAGGAACTAGTGGTCAGCAGGAACGTACGATTTTAAAGACCAGTAAGGGTTCCAAAGGACTGTCTGAAGGGTGCGCAGCATTCTCCGCCCTTTCGGCCCACGACGAACGGCATCAAGAATTGATGAGGCAGTTCGAGGAGGATAGCGACCTGCAGCCTGAGAAAGAGCCATCGTTGACGCCGCCGTTTTCTACACTGTTGCGAAGGGAGGTAAGCAACACTGTTCTGGAGGCCTATCACTTGGGCTTCTCCGCTCAGGATCTTGCGGTCAAACGGGAAAGTAAGCGGTGGGCATCGATATCGAAGAACTCCGAACCTGGACCAGAAAGCCAGTGTGATGCGCTCGACACCGAAACGAGTCAAGTTCATCTTCTTTCCCCCGGCGCAAGCCCTACGGAGCACACTTCAGGAGCTAGCAGTCCTGTTTTTCAGTTGATGCTACCCAATCTCGGGCATGCTGCAGATCACCTGTGTGGAGGCTCAGCAGCCTCGTTGCAGCAACAGACAAGGTCTACTGGGCTTGGGTTGGGTCGAAGCAGCAGCGGCGCGTTACGGGGTGGACACGCTTCGCGCTTTGGCGAAACCGGAGCGCCCTCTTCCTCGTCTTCGAGCCCCGCCGCATGGCTTTATGCTACATGCGGCAACTTCACGCCAGATGCTGCGTCAGTGTGCGGGGCCAACCGGATGCGCCCACTTCGACGCATCCCAGAAGGTGAGAACGAAGACGAGCTAGTCGTTGCTTCTCCTTGGCGCGGCCGCTCATCGACGATGTTTGGTCTAGATGTTTTGGGGGGCAGCACCTGCGGTTTCAATTCTACACTTGTTTCTTCGGGAGGAGGAGGAGACCACGGTGGTCAAGACGAAGAGTTAGTGCCTCGAGGTGGATTTGGCGACGCGAATGCGGAGGAGGAATTTGCAGCGTTTTTCCGTGAAAACACAGGCGCTCTTTCGGGTGTGCGATCCGCAAGATCTGCGTACACCTTATTTGAAGGCGATTTTTTCTCTCCACGAGGTGGTAGTGACAGCAACAGTTCTAGGCGATATCTCCAGGGAGGTCCTCTAGGTACAGCTGAGGGTGAGGCTCTGGATGGGGAGGATAGCGGCTCCGTCACTCTATTCGGAGCAGATAACTCGAGCGCCGCCTCTGCCTCGATAGGAGTCGACCAAAGCAGCAGTGCTAGTGAAAGCGAACGACTCTGGAATCCCGGAGATAGCGCCAACGATCTTCCTGAGGATGACCCTCGCTTAGAATCGGACCAGGAGAGCGGCTCCTCAGTGCGTCCTGGGATGCTATATCCCGGAGACCGGAATCAGTGGGGTCGCAGACTCGAGGATCCTCGGGTGAAGGATCCGCGATCGCGATTCTACGGTATGGATATCAACAGGATTGCCTACAATGCCTATGGACAGCCGCTCAAAGATCAGCCGTGGGATGAGCTGCACCAGCAACGAGCCTACATGCTTTTCCGCAAAGGGCAGGCGGCACAGAGTCGTCGACACGCCAAAGAAGCGGGTGACTTATGACACTGAGATTCTGCGGACTGCGACTTTGAGTTTGACCATTGATTCGATAAACTTGATCAGCAAAGCCTTTGCGTTTCTTCGCAAATATGTGTTATCCGTGATGAAACATGTTGGTAGCAGGTGACTCCCACTCGCGGATAAGTTTTTAGTCCAGCTTCGGAGCACAGCCATACCCTATCTGTAACTTTGTTACAACAGATTCAGATATTTCGGCTGTAATATTTTGCTTGCCATCTTCGAGGACGCTGACATGATGGTGCCACCACTAACAAAGGATCGACCGTCAAGCGAGAAGTCACCATCAAAGAGCTTCAAGAGTACGGTGGCCCGCAAGACAAGCGTCTTTGCTGAGGCAACTGGCGACAGTATTCTGGAGAGTAGAAGCTATCGACACCTGAAGACTGGCATTGCTGCCGGTAGGACAAGTATGCTGCAGGCTAAGAGCGTAATTATTACCGCTCACGAGAAAACGCAAGACGTCAAAAAGCACGTGAAGGGAAAGATGACGATGTCGCGGGCTCGCTATCATGCAGCAGCTCGACTCCAGATCCATCAATATGAAATGCGACGGACGAAGTCCAGGTTGCTCGCAGTGAAGAAAATCGAAAATTCTATCGATAACGAAAGCAGTGCCAGGAGTCCAACCAGCGGCACAACAAGGAGAGCAGGCGGTGGTGAAGAAAGGACCGGTAGACTTCGGAGAGCGCCAGCGCCCCCTCCGGACTTAGATATAACGAAAGGCGACATCGTCATAGTACAAGACGAGTCCTCTGGCTCTGACGGAATGGAGGATAGCCGCGCTGTGGACAATGGGCAACAAACAAAGGGAGGTGATACCACGTCAACGTTCAAAGCTACACTAATGCGTCGTGCTGGAAGTTTTCTTTCGACTCCGAGTAACTCGCGTTACGCAGAAAAGAATTCGCAGAAGCCGAGTTCGCCACTGAGTAACAAGCCTGGTAAGAATCGACTTGAGGACTATCGAAGGCTCATGGCAGAAGCGTCTAAGGTTGATTTCGAGGCGGCCTCGCTCAATGAGCGGTACCTCAACTTTCGGGCGCGCATTTTTGCTTTCGTGGAGAAGCCAATCTTTAGTCAGGTTATCATGTTTGTGATCGTAGCCAACGCTATTACCTTGTCCCTAGACAAGTTTCCGCCTCACTCCAAGCCGGCTCGTGATGCAATTTTTGGATTGAACCTGTTTTTCTACGCTGTCTTCTTGCTGGAGGCCATTCTCTTGCACATAGCGTACGGCTTTCAGCTCTATTGGTTCAAGATTGGCACTTGCTTTGACGGCGTTATCCTCATCGTGTCTACCATGGAGTTGGTCTTTCGCGTTGGTGCGATCCGCAGCTCAAGCACCGCTTTCCGCGCTCTGCGAGTCCTCAAACTCGCAAATGGATGGCAGAGCTTTCGCCTGTTGCTTAAGTCTGTGCAGCGCACACTGTCGCAAATCGGGAACCTGCTTATCCTGCTACTTGTCGTCATCTACATCTTTACTCTGCTTGGGCAGTCGTTTTTCGCCACGTGGTACATGTTCGATCCAATGACAGGACAGTTTTTGAACCGGTGCGCGCCTCAGAAAGACTTCGCTCGCGACGAAGCCTACTGCCTAGAGACTTGCCACATGCACGACCCACAACAACCTGGGGACCTCTCGCAATCTGCAGGCACCGTCGCTGTGTCGTGGACAACAGCAGGTGCTGGAGCAGGGCCTTCACAACCGGCGACACCGAGTGCAAAGACGACGCCGAGTACCGTAACCGAAACAACATCTGCTAATGCAGTGATCAACCGCAACCTTTTCAAGTGTTTACCTCGTTGGCACTTCGACGAATTCTTTTGGGGCGTTCTGAGCGTGTTTGTGCTCATCTCGGGTGACGCCTGGGAAAGCGTGATGTTCGACGCCATTAAGGCACGTGGCTACCCCTACTCACTGTACTTCATTTTCGTGTTGGCGGTGGGCGTGTTCGTCGTTCTCAATGTTTTCTTAGCGATCCTGATCGGAAACTTCGGCGATGCGCAGGAGCGGGAGCAAGATACAAGAGAGAAAAAGCTGTTCTTGCGGCGTCGCGCGCCCGCCATGTGGAACCTTGACGCTGTAGGTATGGACCCGTATCACCAGTATAACCCTGTGATGAGGGTCATTCTTCGTGCGAAGGACCTTCTTATTGACGGCCGTGTACGAGAACCCGACATGCCTATCGGTGGATCGACAGTGGATGACGGCTTGTTCTTGATGAATGGACCTGCATCCGGTGGTGTCGCGCTTGGTGTTGTCGCAGGAACAAGCGTTGCTACAACGTCTACTAGGCACCAGCAGAATAATCCTCAAGAAGATGGCAGCTTTAACATTATTGGTAGTACTGTGGTCGTTCCACCGCTAGGTGTACACCATACGAGTCGGCCGAACTTCGCAGAAACTACAACCGGTCGCTTCGACGCATTGATGGTAGCAGATACACCAGAGGAAGCCATAAAGCTACCCCGTCTACCGACCAAAGACACCTCACCAAACGCATCACGAAGTTGCACCAAGACCAAGAGCAAGGAGAAACCATTGGGGGTTGACAACGAGAGGGACGTCGACGCGGCGTTGTTAGTGCAGGTGCCTTTCCTTGGTGGCCCGCTAGAAGTGGCTGAAAGTCAACAGCAAGGGACGGCAACAAATTCAAATCTACAACCTCCTAGTACCGAGCCTGTGTCTATGCGAGAGTTCACAACGTTGCTCATCCTGCACCCGCTCTTTGACGCTTTAATTCTCCTCTGCATCATACTGTCAGCGCTCTTTATCACCGCGCAAAATCCCTTAGAAGATCCAAATGCGGATTGGTATCGACATTTGGAGATCGGAAACCGGATCTTTACTGTCATCTTCACGATCGAGATCACGTTGCGAATCATCTGCTTCGGCGTTTTCGAATTCCCTAGCGCGCCAAACCGCTATTTGCCCTGGCAGACCTACGAGATGATGACTAAGGAAAACCAGCAAGGTGGCGGCTTAGTAGCACAAAGGATAGCACCTGCGGTCGCTGGAACGCCTCCCATAATAAATGTTGTATCTTCGTCAAGTACCCCTGAACTGGGAGGATACAGCCAGCGCAAGAGTATATCCGAAGACAAGGCGAGACGGGTTGCAGCAGAGACGTCGCTTTTCGCGCGTCTGGTGACGCGAATGGAAAACGACACGAGGCAATCAGCGAAGAAGCTGAAGCGAGGGCAGCGTCGCAGAGCGGATCAGCGAACGCCTTTTCTGAAAAATGGCTGGAATTACCTGGATCTCATCGTCGTGGTTGTGAGTTGGCTCGATGAGATTCTCACTCTCATCGCAGCTAGTGGCGGCACAGCGGAGAGTCTCTCCGGCCTACGCTCTCTGCGTGTCCTGCGGGCCTTGAGGCCTCTGAGGCTGGTCCAGCGCAATGAATCCTTGCGCTTGGTTGTGAACACGATTCTACGGGTTCTCCCTCAGCTGTTGCACATTGTGGTCGTCGCTTGTATCGTTTTTGTGGTCTTTGCGTTGGTCGGCATCTCGCTTTTCAAGGGTTCTTTCTACAGCTGTCAAACCAGTGAGGTGATGCCACACGTCTATTCTGTCACTGACCCCTCCACGTCTCCGGAAGTTCCGTGGTTCGATACGACACTGGCAGGACGACATCTGAACGCCTTTTACGGAACAGCTGAGTCGCTGCGCGCTTCCGCAGCCTCCGATCCTACAGGCTTGGGAGCAAACCTCCCTAGTCTTGTTTCTTACCGTCGTAGCACCAGAGACACACCCATTTGCGTTCTGCATTGCGAGGAAGGCAGTTCCCACCCACACTGCTCTGCGGAGAAAATCTGGGGATATCGTGTCCAAAAGTGTTCCCATTGCCTACGGGATTCGTGTCCCTCGCAACAAGCCTACTTCGCTGAAGATGACTACAGGATACGCACGTCGACGACGCATGCAGCGGCGTCACTTGGTGCCGCGGGCCGCATCTCGAACTTGCAGGAACTTCGAAATTTCTATAGCTATAGCGACGACACGGATTTCAACGATTGCTACGAAGGATGCGAAACGCACAGCTTTTTTTGCGTGAACAAACAGGACAACTACGACTGCATGAAACAGTGCATCTCCCAGTGTCTTTGCGAAGATCACTGTGAAGCGCTCGTCGAAGACGCTGCGAATTGCGTGGAACAAGATTTATGGCGGATTTGATCAGTAAAAGCAACAGTCAGTCTTTTTGCGTTTTCCATGCACTTGCATATCCACGTACTTCAGATCATTTTCATCTTCTTGCTTGATATTTTCAATCTTTCCACTTCTGACTTTCTATTTCTTCATATTACGGCAAATGGCTGAATTTCGCGGAGCATTTCGACTCTTTTTTTCCGGCTATGGTGACCTTAATGGAGCTTGCAAACATGCAAGCTTTCGGCGACATCATGTATAGAGGGATCGACGCTCGTGGTGCCTATTTGGAGCCTCGTCGCGACGAGTCAAAAGCATCCAGCGTGTACTTCGTGCTCTTCATGTTCCTCGGTGGGTTCTTCCTTTATGACTGAAGGACATTAATACCATTTACCAGGTCCAAGTAAGTAATTGGTATGCAACTATGTTGATGTTCTGCTTGAATCGATTAGGCATCCGAATGAAGATAGACAACGTCCCTTCTTGAAGAATTGACAAATTCGACTTCATCAAGGGGGTCTAAGAATTGATAAAGACAATTCCCACGAGTAGACCGTTGATTTTCCACTTGCTACCCTCTTCTAATCTCTGTTGAACCTTTGCATAGGCATGATTATTGACAACTTCAACCGTGTGAAAACCGAAAGCGGCGCAGGTTCCCTTTTTATGACACAAAGTCAACGAACATGGGTGAAATGCCAGGACATGCTGACAAGCCATGCACAATTTTTCTTGCTGAAGAACTTGCAGAAGTCGTACTCTAGCGATTCCCGGCGCAAGGTTTTCGTCCTGGTCAGCCAAGAGTGGTTCGATCGTTTGATTATCCTCTGCATCGTGCTGAACACATTACTGATGTGCGTCAAAGTAGTCCCAGAGCCAACAGCAAACTATAACCTGGCGCTAGAAATCGGGAACTTCTTCTTTCTCCTCGTCTTCAACGTGGAATTCCTGCTCAAGCTTTACTTATGATAGGCCTACATAGTCTTAGTCTTAGTCGTAGACTAGAGGTACTTCTAGTAGAATATCATTATGTTGTAGCACACGCAGAAGTTCAAGGTCTAGGGGAACAAGGTCTATTTCAGCGGTTCTACCATAATTGTGCCCATATCAAAGTAAATCCTCTTTTCAAGCACCACTTCTAATAACAGCTATGCGATCTGCTTACTTCGAGCTGGGATGGAACAAATTTGATTTTGCCTGTGTCCTCGCTAGTGACATCGGCTTCATCCTACAAGCCTCCGGAAGCGAGTTATCTTCTTCCGCCGCTTCTTCCTTGCTCGTTCTGCGGACCTTCCGTGTAGCTAGGCTTTTCCGCCTAGCACGCTTTCTAAAAGGTCTCAATAAGGTCTTCACTGCCTTCGTCCTGTCGATTCCAAAGCTTCTGAACGTGGGTGGACTAGTGGCTTTGCTCCTCTTCTTCTACACCATAATAGGCATGCATTTGTTTGCACGCGTGCGAGAGTTCGGGGCAAACGTCTCCATAGCGCAGCACAACCAATACGCAAATTTTCGGACATTCGCCAAAGCGTTCTTGACGCTGTTCCGTACTAAAATTGATCTTGCTTATTAATGTTGTGCCTATGAGAAGTCTCTCACTGTGCTTTCTTCTGCTGCACCAATGTATAGCATACCATGCAAGATACAAAGATCATCTAGCCCAACTATTTGTTTCGGATCTTCCGGCTCCAGTTCCTGACTTCAGGTTGCGTTACCGGAGAAGGATGGAACACGCTTATGCATAATTACGCAGCGGACGAGTTTTTCTATCGCTCTGTGCTGGAGCGTGAGTGTGTAGACTTCATGGACATGGAGAAGGACTACGATTGGTACGAATCGCAGAATCTCATCGCCAATCCGATTGAATGTGGCTCCCGCTGGAGCTACATCTTCTACATCAGTTTCGTTTTCGTAGTCTTCATGGTGTCGCTCAATCTTTTTATCTTATGGCTTTCCCTCTATCCTTAGGCTTATCCCTTCGTGCAGTATCTTATGGCTTCTGATTCTGGGACTTCCATTGCTGTCACAGCTTGTATTCGTCACAGGTCAACAACAGATCATAGCCTCAGAGCCCATTTCCGTTGTGAAGTAGATTAGAAATTGCAACCGTCTAAGACTAGCAGTGATTTTCGAGGCCTTCGACGAGTCGGCGAGCGTTGGGGATGAAGCTTTTATCGAGATCGCGGAAATCTGTCTGAACAACTGGCAGAAGTATGATCCTCAGTGTAGCTGCTACATTCGTCTGGGAGACGCTCAGCAGTACATCGAGACTATGATCCAGGGTCTTGACGTTGACCCAAAGTTCAAGACTGTAGCACGGCGACAGCTAATGAGGGAGCCCGGCAGTTGGACTATGGCATTTGCGAAGTCGCTGTATCTACGGATAGACGCTAGAGGGCGCGTGCCTGTCGTAGCCTGTGTCTTGTCGATCTTGCGGTTTTTGATCATCCATCAGCAAGAAGAGTCGGACGGAAAGACTGACGACGTGGACGATATTGAGATGGTGGAAAAGACGGTGAAAGAGGAGCAGACACGTCACATCCTGGCGGAGCTTGAAGACATGAATGAGGAATTTTATCGAGCCAACACAGTGCTCGACTGGTCTCGACAGGCAGCGGCAGGGACGTATCGAGGTGTCATGCGTCGTCTAGAGAGCAGCATAAGCTTAGTCGGAAACGCCGGGCAAAAAGGCATGAATCGAATCTCAGGCGTTTTGCGCAGAAGCGCATCTAGCGCAGCTATTCTCGAAGGAGTGGACGATGGGGAGACAAGGGGTCGACTGTCTGCATCTCTTCCATCCTCTCTTGACGAGGCTGCTGACAGTGATCAACGGGGGGCAAGCTTTGCTCGTAGGGTAAGCCGAAGTAGTTCTTTCGATGAAAGGGGGTTACGAGATGCAGCTGGTAGTCCTGCTCTGGTGATAGATGACGATAAGAACTACAACACGACACCCGCTTTCATTCGACCACGAACGACCACAGAAATTCTGCGAAAGCATTTGCGGAAGTCGGCAGAGGACGAGGGTAATGCCGGCTCGCCCTCCTCCAGCCCATCAAGAGGCACAGCCGCTAGTCGGAGTCCTACAGGTCTCGGCTTTCGACGCTTGCATTTTGGGAGTAGCCCAGACCTTGAGGCAGAGAACCAAGTCACACTGGTCCCACTCGAACAGCATGTTGCGGTCACGAAAATTCAGCGTTTTCGGCGCTACCTCGCCAAGGCTCGCCGAGAGCGCCCCAAAAATAGCAAGCAACGTGCGGCGATCCGCGATGGCCTGCACGAAGTGGTGCTTGGGCCGTGCGATCCCTAGACACGTGTTTCTTCGTGAAATAATTCAAGATTTTTTAGAGTTCAATCGGGATACTAGTACCTTTATTCGGTAGCTAAGTGCCTGTGTCTTGCTCTTGCCGCAACTGCAAGTATGAAGGTCGTGAAGCACGTTGACCTCACGAATATTCGGGTTCCTACCGTACAAGTACGTGTTGTTTTTCTTATCCTTAGTGCTTTTGAAAAAAATCCATCCGAAAGTGTTTTGCAGTTCGTTGTCACAGGTCTGCGCATTCCGCAGGTTATTTATCTACATCGTACGTATACATTCACCTCTCGCATCATCAAATGTTGAATAGTCCATTTTCGTATTGATAGCATTGAAAAGTTAGGGGGTCGGTCTTACTTTTAGTCAACTCAAGTATCATACTTTTTGCAGAGACATACTTTTTTGCGATCAACTATATTTTCCCCATTTTACTGAGGTGTGCTGCAAATCTTGATTGGCTTCTTCCCTTTTTATAGGGTCGAGGTTTAGGCCCAGCGGCGCTCAAAGCACTAAATAAAACAACCGGATAGTTTTTACCTCTAGCGTGTAGCCCTTCAAAGAACATACTGTCTGTCAGGGCAGTTATGTCTACAAAAAGAAACCTCATGATGTAATCATAATGAATAGCGTTTCCCAGTACAACCGTGGTCAATCATTACGCATATCGTAGATAAATTCTTCGTCCTGCTTCGAGTAATGTATGTTTTTTCTGAGGGGAGATCGATAAGAAACTTTAGTTTCTGCTTCTGATTGTTCATCCTGTTACTATTTTGCGATCGATGCTCCAGGGTTACGTTTAGTCGCGGTCGTCCCCGTTCGAGACTGACCTTAACTTTGGGGCATATGTACTCTAGTTCATGTCTTTCATGCAGAGGATTTTTCTTAATGTATGTCGAGAACTCGTGCCCACCACCAGGCATTCCGCTCGGGGGTTGGACGATTTCTGTGGCTTCTTGACTCGATCCTTTGCTTTCTGGCAAGAAACAAACAAGCAACCACGAAAAGAGAGGACAGCAAAGATTATGCTCTAGCCACGAGGTAGAGGAAACAAAATAGCAATCGTTCTGCACCGGATCGATTCAAGTGATACTGACATTGGCAAGATCAAGATCTTTGTAAATGTCTGCAGCTGTGACCATCGAAAAATCATAGGTGAAGGTGATGCTGTAAGTGATCTCGATCTGAAGAAGGATCGAACGCAAAGCTCTTCTTTGCCCACGAGAATCTCGCTGGACGACTGAATCCTGCTGTTGACAGGCCAAGAGCTACTACAACAAGAAAAGCCGGACTATTTTCTTTCTTGTTCAACATTGCGATTCCGATTCGTTTCGTGTACTTACACGACTCGTGCTGTTGATATACGAACTAGTCGTGCTAGGTGTATACCTAGACAAGTTAGTTGTATGCCGACATACTAGAAGTAGTCCTATGCACCTTGGCAAGTGTCTGAATAAAATGGAGCAGGAAATTACAATTCGTGTCGGCCAGAAGCCTCTCCGTGGATTCTTTTGGAGTCCTGCTAAGGAGCCTTCAACTCCAGATCGTGCTCTGGTCTTGATTTTTCCGAATTATGCCGGATTGAAGCAATTTGATCGCGATGTCGGAAAGTGGGTAGCTTCGCTAGGCTATCATGCGCTGGTTTGCGACTATTATTCGGAAGAAGAGTTTCCGTACCCCGAACGCGAAGCAGCGAATTTTCCCTTAGAGTCGCCAGAACGTGAGAAGCACTTTCAGAAAGGTATGGCTGTGATGAATAGCTGTATGCTGAGCAAGGCGCGCTCCTTCCTGCGCCCGATGGTCAATGAATGGCTGCGCACTGGGATCAGACAGTTGACCCATGAAGATGTTGCGAAGCCTGATTTTACGGCTGGGCACGCACCTGTGAAAAAGAAAATCAAAGTCTCGACCCTTGGCTATTGTCTCGGTGGGGTTGCGGGGCTTGAGCTGTGGCGATCGTCTGGCGGCGGTCAGAGTCCGATACCGCTAGACGCTGTTGTTTGCGTCCATGGAGTGTTGAAAACTGTGTGCTTCGATCAGAATCAGAAGCCAGAGGCTATTGACGCGCAGAAGGAAAATTGTTACAACGCCAAGTCACATTTATTGGTAGAACACGGCGAATCGGACCATCTCGTTCCCGAGGAAATGGTACAGGAGTTTATACAAGAAGCTGACGCGAAAAATTGTTCCGGTGTGACTTTGCACCGCCACCCCGATACGCCACACGGCTTCGCGTTGCCGCTTGGCGTAGGCAATGCCGCTTACCCAGTAGCAGATCGGAATTCCACATTGAACATCCTCAAGTTTTGGCGCGAACAACTATTCCAAGAAATACCACAACATCGCGTCACAAAAACTCCTGGGGGAGTGGATCTCCAGTAAATATAATAAAAATATAGAAGACATGACGACACGAGCATACAGACTCACGTCAGATGAAGTTCCAGTCGGCGGTATAAACTGATATCGCGTCCTGAACAAGCCCAATGAAGAACGTGCTTAGTTACAACGACCGAAGCAAGAAAATTATATTGTACATTACTACTACTTATGAGCACCGCGACCACCCCTAACAAGTACGCAATAAAGGTAAGCATCACGACGAGCGCGCTGCATCAAAGACGACTCATGACCACGCTACAACTTCTCAGGATGAGGATCACTTTCTGTACGCGGCTATTGCTAAGGCTGAGTCTGAGAAGAAGCGAAGTAATGATAGAACTCTTCTGTCAATATGTGTCGGTTTCTTGGAGTCGAAAACGCAGGTGAATTCACGTTGAATTCGTAAATCATGTCTGTCGTGTGAGAGTGAGTTTTCTGTCTTCTGTCATTCTTCTGTCATGGATTTTGAGAAATAGCGTTTCCTTGAGTGAGAAAAAGCAGCAGAGGCACTGCTCAAAGTTGTCTTTTCGGACTCTGTGGCGCATTTTGATCAGCAAGAAATCTGTGTAGCTGAGTGAGATGACAAAATCAATCGAGGCCCTGTTGTAGTCGCGGAAGTTGGTATCTACCAGTCCTGCTCTCGTATTCGTTGTAGTTTAGTTTTTGAGTCTCCTTTGAAAATAAGTGAATAAATTGTAATTGTTCATCCATTTCTTGTTGTCCTTGCAGGCTTCTGTCATAAACAGACTACTTGTCATTTCCAAGCGAAAGACTTCCATTGAGATTGAGTCGGTCTTTCCCTGTCACAGTCACCCTTACTCACTTCTACTAGTTGTAGTGTTTTTGAACACGATATAGGTGGAGTGGCAACAGCTGACTACAGAACAAAAAGTAGAACCACTTTTGTCGCAGGTACTATTCTTTGTTTCGAGGCTTCATTTCCACTTCTTTGAAAATGTCGACTCAAAGTACGTTCTCCACGATTGCCGTTCGCGCTCAGCCGCCCACGAAACGGGAGCTTTCTGGCCTAATGCGTGAGGGCCCGTGCGCGGTGACAAGAATCCCGCTAAAGCGTGGATCGCCTTCTGTATGTGATATGGTCCAGTCAAACAATGACGCAAAGTCGGCCTTCGAATCCATGCACACGTGGTCCGGCTTCGAGCACATCAAGGGTGCCTACACGGTGCTAACCAAAGCGAACGGTGGAGATGCGATGATCATGGCGGAATATTATGATGCACACCAGGTACCTCTACGATTTATCAATTTTGTAGCGCACTCGGCTACTACACGTACACATGATATTATACTTTGTTACCCTAGTACTACTTCTAAGATTATTATTTTTTCGACGATTTCATTCAGGTTCTCAGGTTATAATGTTGAAGGATGCGGAACTAATGTTGGTCTCTGTGTTGAACGACACGATGACTTCATGAACTAAAGGATTAGCAGTACGCCTATCTACATTTTTCGACGATTTGCATTTGTGATTGTGCTTGTGCTACAACAACAACCCGACTAGAGGTTCATGATGATGCAACATGCGCAGATCTATCTGCTATTTTTCCTCTGTAGTTAATGACGATCTGTTTGTCAAACTTTTTGCAGCCTGTGCACATCGTGGAGCAGAACGGTAGAAAATACGACTTGCTAATGAGCAGTCTTGCGTCCTTCACTGAGGGCGCTGCGTCCCGAACACCGGGACATTACGTCGTCCTGACTCAACCCGAGATTCTTTACGGTAACGCCAACTGCTCAGCCCGCAAGCCGACTCCATGCGTGGCCACGCAAGTGTTGATTCCCTACTCTGGTTGCACCTCGACCGAGCAAATCGCGAAGATGAGCGCGTACTTCAAGGCACAACAGCCGAAGCTATTCGATCTCATGGTTTCGCATGGCATGGCTCAGCTCTACTGTGTGGTAGCACAGTCCGATGATAAAAGTGAAAAGCAGCAGCTCACGATGGGAGGTGTCTATTTGAACGCTGACGGTGCCAAAAGTGCAGGAGCTTCCGTGGCCGCAGTTTTAGGGGAGCTGGTCCAACAAGTTGCAGCTGGCCCACCAACGAGCCGCGAAACTCTTCACGACGCATGTTTTCTGTGGAAATAGGCTACAAACGATCTTCGAGCTTGCATGGCCATTTTGAGCGAGCACATGACTTCGATCTGCCGAGGGCTGACACGCATATTATCCATGCATGGCCATGTCCATAAGCAGCATGATAAGTAACACAATGACTGATAATACTGAAGATGTAACTCATCTGAGAATGAATTAACTTCTCACTGGTTCTTTGTATAGCTTTAAAAACAGCTTTAAAAACAAACTTAGTTTGTTCTTCATATGAAAGGCCATTTTGTTTTTCATTTTCAGAATGCCAGCGGAATTCTCGGGCATGAAAGGTAGAAAGCCAATCAGGTACGGGGCTGACAGACAGGCCGATAATTAATGATTACTTTATGACACCAATGCACTTGATACTTCGATGAACATGCTGAATAATGTCGCACTAAAGGATGAGGAGACGAAGCACCTCGTGACATTAAAAATATTGACATCTTAATGAGTATTATAGCATAAACATAATGATAATACTGATTTGGAAAATACAACTATGCCTATTGTAATGCACTTTGGATTATACTTTTCACACTCATGATGTGGAGCTGGAGATAAAGTAGTTACTTGCATAGAATTTTCAAAAAACGGTGATAATGATATTAGTGACGATCGACGGATGCTTACAGGTACAGATCGTAGTGGACACAGAATCACCATGATGAAAATGTTGAAGCCACGGCGATCTGGCACAAGCGATTGCCCGTTGATCACAGATTGAAAGTAGTGAGTTCCATATTTCAGTTCGATCCATGATTTGATTTGAAGAAAGAGGATCCAAGAATAATGATCATGAGACAGCAAACAGCACAACAGGAACAAGCTGAACAACTTCTATTTCTATAGAAGAGAACAAGATCTTAGATCTGTCGCTGACTCCCTGCCACAGCGAGTCCGAGTACTTTAAGATCTTATACTAAAAAAGGATCATGAGACGCGCACAACAGGACTGATCATTAAATCTACTTCGAGATCCGAGAGGTTGAGCTTGAGATCCCACATATCTTCTCACAAGTTGATCAACAAGAATTTTTCAAGATCCTGTTCTAAGTACCAAGTTGGGTCCAAAAATCTAGATTCCTCATCATCACGATCGCTCTACTTACCCGACAGTGAAGTTTCCAAAGCGTAGGTGTTTGTCTCAATCGAGACTCGGCTGCGCGTTGTAATCATATTTTACCGCTTTCTGATTGCGTCTGTGATAACAAATTGAGTAAGTTGTAGGAGCTTGTAGGTACTTACGCTGGAGAGGCAGATTCTGCTTCGAACACAAGGTCCGCCAGTTATTTTGATAACAAGAGGAGTGGGAGTGCATGATCAACAACGAAAACCCTTTTATTGCTGACTAACGGCATCTGCACAACGAACGAATAATTAGTTGCTAGGTTTTTATTATTTGAAAACATCGATGTTCATTGACTAAAAAGGGTAATGTTTTCAAAATTTTAATTTTTTCTTGTGACTCATTCGCATTATAATAATAATCATAGTTTTTGTCCCGTATATACCAATAGCAATATCTGGATATCATACCCAAGAAAAAATGTCGTCCTTCTATGGTCCCATGACGTTCTTGAGTCCGTTCTTTCTCTTAGAGACGGTCGGGCTCGCGAGCGCTTTTGGGCTTTGTTCATTGTATATTCATTTGAGACGGAAAGCCGAGAAAAAGCTAGGCGCTTCCATTACCGTGCATGGGTCAGATGGAGCACAGAAGCATCGCATTGTAGCCATTTTGCCGCAAGCAGACAAGCATGCGGTTTTTGTGCAGGTGGCACATGCCCGCAGCTTTCTCGGTACGGCGCTCTTCGTGTTGGCCATGATTCTATTCCTGTTTATTGGTCTGATCCTGCCGCCGCTGGTTGGTCTGGGCACAGGATTGTTTGTCGGAGACGGCTACAGTCTGACCGTCTTTTACCCTTTCATGCCAACGGGGGACGACCCGTTTACTGTGGGTTTCCGCTTCTGGCTCTGGTTCTCGAATCGATTTTTGGGCGCTAACATGTGCCCGAGACAGATCTATCGGAAGGATTTAGGCCTGGATGACGAGGCGGTTCGCACGCGAAAGTTCGGCTGGGCACTCAATGGTGTTTGCAAAGACGGAGACCAGGGTGCGCCGGTCGCTGTCTCGTGGTTCTTGATCCTATTCTTGGCGCAGATCTTCGCTTTGGTCGTCGTTTTCTTTTTGACCAGCGGAAAGCCGTTCAAGCAGTTTTTCAAAAACTCGCTTTGCTTCACCAGGCGTCATGACGTCTTCCTCGACAACTGCGATTACGTCTCGGTCTTTCGCGTAGATGATGAAGATACCATTTCAGAACATGGTGAAGATGAAGAAGAGGAGCATAAAGATGTTCATGGTGAAGAACAAGAAGATGAAGGTGGAAATCAATCGGATACTAGAGTCATGAGGAGCAAGGAAGATCGCTTGCTTGCACGTGTGGCTGATGGCGAATGCAACTTGACATGGATCTCAACACTGAAGGTGAGTTCTACGGATTGCGCGGACATTATGAAAGAGGCCTCCGGATGCACGGACGGCGCTATGGGAACTGCGGCTTTGCCCACAGACCTGGCGCACGCTTTGAATCACGGAGACAGCTCAGCGGGTCACTCCTTCATCGTGCTGAGCTCTCTGTACCGTTTTTCCCCACAAAGCGGCGCCTTCATGGCTCCGCAGGAGGCTGCTCGCCTGGACTTCGCAGACACGGATACGCTGCGCGCTAGTGCCGACCACACGCGAACCTACTTCGGTTTGAACAAGATGTACGTTTCCTACCCAGGTTTCTGGACCATTTTCGGACGCATGTGGACCGACCGCCCGGTGATGGTTGTGGTCGTGATGTTGGGCCTTTTCTTTGTCTCTGGGCAATCCAATTACGTCTTGGTTATGTTGACTCTATTCACGATTCAGTTCACCATCTCCGCGTGCCAGGAAGCCAAGAGCGCTGAGGAGCGTCGTAAGATTATCCAGGACGGCTTGCACGGGGTTGAGTTTACCAAGTTCACAACGTCATCGGCGGAAATGAACCAGGACACTGGAATTGGAGCCTATATCTCGCAGTTTCAGCAAGAAAAGATCGCCGCTGACACCTTGGTTCCCGGTGACTGCGTGCTACTTGATAACAGCTTCCGCAATCAGACTGTACCAGCGGATTTAGTCCTGCTCTCTGGCGCGGTGGCGTGCAACGAGTCCTCGTTGACTGGTGAGTGTGTTCCGGTGCAGAAGTTCGCACTTCCAGCTGTAAATCGCGCGTCCTCTTCTAGCGGCTACTTGAACCGTGACCTGGCTCCAGCGGAGAAGAGCGCGAAGCGTCATGTTATCTACGCAGGAAGCTCGGTTCTCGAAGTAATTCCGGGTCAGGCAGCGCCCGGCGCGGCCGTGGCTCTGGTGGTTGCCACAGGATCCAGCACGCGCAAGGGTGGGCTTCTTCAGGTTATGTTTGAGGCCCGACCATCGGTTTCCAGCTTCGAGAAGGCCAAGACGTGGACCATCCTGTTACAGTTGTTTTCGGCTATTTTCATCGGAGTCTTTTTCTTCCTTCTGAATCTTGGTACTGCGTATGCTCGAAATTTCGACACGCTGCAGTTCATCCTGATGCAGGCGGCCTTTCTGCGTTTGTCTTCGCCGGTTGGTGCTACTGGTATGCTCCAGGCTGCTCGTATGGCTGCCGCTCGCCTTCGTGCGGGCCGCTTTCGCGTGCGTACCATGGCCCAAAGCAAGTTGGTCGATGCGTCGCAGCTTCGCGTCATGCTTTTCGATAAAACCGGCACTCTCACGGAAGAGGAGCAAGTCTTCCATGGCGTGTTGCCAGTCGTATCGCATGAAGGAGCTATGGAACTGGAACAAACTGTGCTCCCAAGCGTTGCGGACTCTCCAGCGTTGCTCCAACTGGCCGTTGCCACGTGCAATACTGCCGCGAAAATCAACGGAGGAACTGAACTTGCCGGCAACTCGATCGAGTGTGAGCTGCTGCGAGTCGCCCGCGAACAGTTGGGAACAGACTTCCGCGAACAGGGCCAGGCAATGCTGGAGCACCGTTATGTGGAAACAAATGAGCGATTTGCCACCGTCCTCAAGCGCTTCGAGTTCGATCAGAAACTCCAATTGCAGTCGGTGCTGGTACAAGGAGCGCACGAGAAGATTTACGTGCTCACGAAGGGATCCCCGGTTCGGGTGATGCGACGGTGTGACCCAAAGAAATTGCCCGAAGACTTTGAGGCTCGCGCACAGGCGCTGTCTAAGGCCGGTTTTTACGTGCTCGCGGTCGCTGCGCGAGAACTCTCGTCATCTGACCCAAGTCTCGCTTCTGATAACGTTGATCGCGATGCTTTGGAGAGAGACTTGGGACTGGTGGGGTTGTTAACCTTTCGCAACGAACTGAAGCGTGATACACGCGGCGTGGTCACTCAATTCCGCGACGCGAGTATTCTTCCTCAAATGGTGACGGGAGACAACATCTACGCTGGTGGCGCTATCGCCGCTAAGAGTGGCATCTTGGGCGAACACCTGGACAGCGTCTGCCTGGTAGCACTCGATGTCGTAACTAGGGATCATTGTCAACCGCTTCATCAAAATACTAGTATGATTGCTAAGCAGCAACAAAAGCAGGAGCAGGGCAGTCTCAAATGCCAAAATCTTTCCGATGCACACACGCCGTGGAGCAAGATGGACGCAGAGAGCGTTTTGGAACAATATGTAGCTGCTGTGGAGGAGGATTTGGCGGATCCTCTGAGCGCTGACTCAACAAAGAAGATTGACCGACGTGGAAAGAGCGGGAAGAAGGCTCGACAGCTTGAAACTGCTGCTGCGATGCCTGCCTCACCGAAAAAAGACGCGGGTGATAAGGACAGTCGCTCTGGAGCAATGATTACTCTGGTGGACGCTCAGACGGCGCACGGTGAAGCTCCGTACTGTCCCGGTGTGTGCGCTAGAACTCACGAGAACGTTCGCGTTCGCTTTCTGCTTACGCAGGACGCCTTCCGCTTCTTGCGCCGCACAAACGTGAGCGCACTGCGCAAGATCTTGCCTCGCACCGCGGTCTTGGGTAGCATGACGCCGGACGGCAAGAGCGAAGCCGTTCTGTTCTGGCAACGGGCTTTTGGGGGGTACACTGTTGGCATGTGCGGTGACGGTGGTAATGATTCAGCGGCTTTGCGGATTTCGGATATGGGCGTGGCGCTAAGCAACCGAGCCGAAGACGGTGACTCAACAGCAGATGTGCCCCGCAACCACGAAATCACATACCTGGCTCCGTTCGCAGCAGACACCAGCTCTCTGCGCGCGTGCATTCACGTGCTCAAGGAGGCCCGCGTTGTGGCCGAAAATGGTCTGGCGATCTTTCAATTCGTGCTCCTCTTTGGCTTCAGTTTCAACTTCCTGCGCCAGTATTTGCAGAACCAGTCGTCGTGGTTTTCCGAGTCTTTTGGCTTCATCATGGATCTTGTCTCGACCATGGTGGCCGTTGCGGTGCTAGCGGATGGCCGGCCACGGGAGGACGCAAAAATCCCGACAAGGGAGGAGAACAGAGAAATAACAGGCGCTAAGGAACAAGACGCCCACGACGAGGACGAGGCTCTTAGTCGTTTAGACGCCGAGCAGCGCGCCCCGATGCTAGTGGACGCGGAGGAAGCTTCGAACAGCAAAACGCGCATGGCACAGAAGGAGGAAAACCAGCGCGAGCTCTTTCCATCGGCCCCGAACTTGTCGCCGCTTGCACCTGTGCGAGTTTGGGCACTGGGTGTGATTTTCCCACTCGTATTGGTCTTTTTTGGTGCTTACATGTTTCTCTTCGTCAAGACCATTGGACCCGCATTTCCGCGTGCGCTGAATACGTGGTTACGTGAGCCTGCAAGCTATTTTGACGGAACGTACCTTCTGGAAACTTCGAAGCACAACGAAGCCTCGCAGAGTGTGATCGCGGGACTTGGTTTCTCTACTCTGTTCGCGCTCCTAGGCGCACAGGTTCTCTATCTGGGTGCGGGAAGCAAGTTTCGATCGGCTCGCTCGCTCTACCGAAGACCCGCCGTGTGGCTGGCGGTCGGAGGATACTTTTTGATGTTCGCAGTTTTGCCGATTATGTTGTCGAACAACTGGCTCTCCTGCTTGCTGCGCACAAGCTGCGACAACCGCGGTGCCTACATGAAGCTGCCTACTGCCAATTGGCTCGATACGCTTATACAGTTTGTGTCCATTCGCAACTACAACACTGTCCCCGACATGGAGATTACTGGTGCACCGGTTTGGTTTTACAAGCCCAGCACATTTGAAGTCTTCCACAAATACAGCGCTGCCTCTCGGGCTGCTGCCTCCATCAAGAAGAGCGGTGAGACTGGCAATCTACCAGCGCCTCTGATCAGGGCTGATCAGTTGCTTGCTACAAGACATGTGGCTGAAGAAGATGACCGGTGGCAACAGCTCCTGGCGCAGGCGGATCCCGAAATGCTTGAAAGAGAACGACGCCGATTGAGTCTGGCGTACGCCAAAATTCTGCTTGAGAAGAATCAACAGATCCATGATGCCATGCCAAGCTACTTTCCGTCTTCCCCTACCCCATGTGCGATGGACGGTCTCCTTGGAGAGGCACAACGCTTCGCACGTGAACTGCCATCGCCTTTTGGTTTGCCAGATGAAAAAGCCCTCGAGGAGCTCAAGCCCGGATTGAAGACTGTTATTCGACGCAACGTTGCCAAGGAAATTCCGCGTAGCACGCAAGAAGGCTACGTGTTCCGAGTGCAGCTGCATAAGTTCGGGAAGATGGTCCAATACTTCCGGACCAAAGAGCAACAAGCTAGCGGGGTTAGCAGCCCCGACGGTATGGAAGAGAAGTACGAGATCAAAGGAAGCGAGTTGTGCCACCTCTTGCCAGGCGTTCTCTATCGCGCTATTGCTGAGGGTACTCCTTTCGGCCGTGCGAACGATGGAGGTGTAACAATAACAAGTCACCACTTGAGCGAGCTGGCTGTCGTGGACCGCCAACAAGCGCTTTTACGAGCCCTCTACATAGCTGGTTGGGAAGACCTGGACTGCGTAGCCTCAGTGCTGGCGGACAAAATGCACTATATTTCGAAGACTGTGATGAACGACAATTCTGTTGTGGAATGGGCTGTGCTGAAGTCTCAATTACCGGAAGCGCAAGAAGATGGCCATCAAACAGAAATCGCGAGAGGGTGGAGGGGTGATCGCGGTGTCATGATGCGGACTGCTGCGCCGCAGTCGGTAGCTAATGTGCGGCAGCGAAGTTCGGCCGCGAAGGCGGTCTTCGACAAGGTGCTGGAAGCACTGGAAAAGGAGCCTGCACAAGAGGAACACCATGCCGCTCATGCGGCTATGAAAAAGCGCTTTTTCACACTGGATCACGTCAAGGCGTTTTTAGAGAAGTTCTACAAGGCTGTAGAGGACCTGCCGAACCAGCGCCTGCAATCGCTCGTGAGGTCTCCATCTGCGAAGCAGAATGCTGCTACTGCAACTCGCTCCGTGCGTTCAAGAGAGCCATTCATGACAAAGGAGACGCATGAAAAGTCCGCAGAAGGTATGCCATTGGGCCTCCTATTCAAGCTTTATATTCAACCGCGTCTCGACAGAGTTCCAAACAAAGAACTTTGCTCTCTTTCTCTCGTCAAAAGCGACGCTTCTACCAAGCGATACCAGTTCGGCTATAAGGTACAGGGGATATTCTTTTTCTTAAATTTCAGTATGAGTTAAAATAGTGGCTTCTCTTTCTCAACAGATGAACATTACTGCAGCCTGATGATGGTAGATCATGTTGGATGAAAAAGCATTATTTTCGAGGTGGACTTGAAGATAGCGGACGACCTTAAGTCGCTATATTTGTAGAGTCACCATCCAGATCATGGAGGCCTGAGGATGCACTAGGCCAAGCCCTTTTTTACTTTGTCCTTCATCACCTAACTCTAACAGGTTTCATGTCCTGACGAGGGCGATGAGTTATTGCCGGACGAGAGTGAAAACAAGCAGTATGCTTGGAACAGTGACTGCCAGCAGATGTGCCAAGCAACGTGGAGGATGAGCGGCACAGGAAAGCACAGTCCGCTTCATTGCCACTGGGCTGGTAATTTGATATAACATTTTTGCGCGATTGTTTTGAAGTCTGGCTTTGGAATTAGAAAAAGTGATGGGGAACTAGAGCAGCATGTAGTATTTAGCAGAGTGACATGCTACCGTTAAGTGATTTTTGTTTATCAACAGCTTCAACCTGCTGAATCTCTTTTTCGATAATTATGGTGAGGCACCCGTTGCACAAATAGATAAAACTAACAACATTAAACATGAACAACTTTAGGTGTTTCGTTTGCGGAGTCACGTGCTTCACTCGGAGGTAATCTCTCTGAGAAGGCATGCTTGTTGTTTCCGCGAGCAGACCGAGCGATCGGAAGTGAAGCTATTGCGGCTGATGTCGATGATATCAGCGAAAAGGGCAGAAACGCACTTGGTCCTGATTTCGGCCGCTATGTAGATCTTGTTAGTGCAGGTTCGGGCCAAAGTGGAGTCATCTTCCGACTTCTCGGACTGGAAGACCCCAGCACAGAAGCGCAATCAGGAGTTTACAAAGTTCGCGCTTTTTATCAGAATCGGCATGCCGTCGTCGGGTGGACGAGTCTGGTCGTGCCGACTGACGGTTACTCAACCGCGCGGACGCCTACCGTAGACCCGTACGATACCATCTTCACCCCAGGATTTCGAAGTCCGAACATCGTTTTCGGTGCCTGGTTCTGTACGCTTCTGGGGTCCTGTGCACTTTTGGTTGCATCACGGGCACTTATTAACCTGGTAGAGCGAAGGATACGCTGGAAAAGCCTCGAGTAAAAGAACTAGAAGTTCACCCGACAGCGACTCTTTTCACGCTATTACTATCAGACGGTATCAACTTCAACGTCGTCCTGACATCAAAGTTACTTACACAAAAAAAGATCAGATACTTGGAATGTAAAATGGCGCTATTAAATGATCATGTTTATTCACTGTAAAGAAACACGTTAAACAAGGTAAGAACGTTCCCCGAATTCTAGACACCTGGAACGTAACCCTTATTTGTCATCTTTCGTTTTGCTCTTCATATTTTGGCTTTTTGACCCAAAGTCGTTTCCCGGTATTGCAAGTATCTATTGGTATTGCATTGTCCTCACTATTCACCTATTGTTCATGGTATTTATCAGGGTCTATCGTAAGGATTCTAATGCATTATGCCTTATCGGCTGGGAACAAATCTAGATTTTCTGGTTACATCTTCACCGTATCGAATAACGAACAATTTGGAACTGGGATCATAATTGATTCATTGTGGTGAAAAGAAGTTTCAGAAGCAGGTAAAAAAATGTAATGCACTTTACGGTAGTCTACTGCTTCAGCTTTTAATATCCATCGTCCATTTCCATAGTTACAAGTCACATAAAATGTCACATCTCGTCGTCATAGTTGCCGCAATGGAAGACGTACTATTTCCCTATTATGACTTACATCCTCATCCCGTAGCTGCAAGCATGTTGTTGTATCGATTTTTCAGATGTCCACGACCGGTAGTAGCTGGTATAGTTCGTTCGGTTCTCTGCCCGTATGGTTTTCTGATAGACTTTTTGATTATCACGTGTACAGGATTGCATATGTCGTTCTTGTTACAGAGGCAGAACTAAAGAAGGTGCGACAATGTCCGCAGGGATGGCGTGCAGAATGAGACAGAAAGCCGCTTATCTCTTTGAAAGGAAGTAGCACAAGCGAGTAACGATAAGTTATTCATTACGGTTTTTACACGAAATTTACATGTAAGAAACAGGTTGTAAACAAATGAGGCATTTTTCCAGGTATCTATCGTGCTAAGCAGGATGTTGGATTTAAATTTGTATAAATATTTTTTTAAAATCGTAAGCAACGTTGTAGTCCTAGTCCCCTAAACCTATTCCGTTTTTCCTAAGGCGTCAAAAAACACCGACCTCCTTGAAGAAGCAAAAACGATGAAAATTCTTTTTTCGCCTCACAAATGTGAACAAAGCTTCAAATTCACTATGGTCATCCCTCGCACTCTCGCGCATCGCAGCAGTTCAAACTGCGCATACCTTCCCATGCCCTGATGATGAATATTTTCAGATAGTGGTGTAGATGGATTATGAAAAAATTCATCTCGCCCGCATTGTTCTCAGACGATTTAACTATCAAGGACCAGGACGTCGACGAGAATACGGAGCCGCATGTGATCAGATAGAAGTCGAATACACGACTACTTACAATCGGTTTAATATTTAAGCACTTGAGGCGGCTGGTCATTATCTTCAAGCGCTTCATAAGAATCCATAGCTGCTGTCGTAAAGGACTTTGCAGAGGAACTTGTGGTACCAGGCACACGCTTTACAATCTATATCTAGAAGAGACAACGCGACTAATATATTCCTTCTATCGTGAGCAAAAAGAAGATAAAGATTGATGCGTTTGCGTTGACCGAGGACCGGATCGAAAACTGTTCGTGCTGGAATGAGCGAAAGATAAGAAACGAGCGCTAAGTAAGTACGAAGAATGTTAACTCATTCTTGAAGATTGTGATCCTGACGGTACTCGTAGGTAACTGTCTGACAAGAACGATGAACGACTGAGGTATCTTCACAGGTATTGTGCTCTCTCTGACAGACCCACCTGACGGTGACGACTGTATGCAGCGACCTTGAATGGTGCGTCGAACGGTCGCAGCATCAGCCATTGACTGGAGGACGACGTACGGAGCAAGGCCATCTTGATTGCTACTGAAGGCGCCTCTGCTGAACGCATTGCCTGCTGATCAACTGACAAGTCGATCTACCACATCGCTCTTGCATCGGAGAGGGTCAACACCGTAAAAATGCTGGACATCCCGCTGACTTCGTTGGTGGTGACCGTAGCGTCTGCCTTCTTTCTCTGCGCCCTAGCTGTTGGAGGTGGTGTGGGCGGAGGTGCGCTGTACATGCCAGTTTACGTTGGTCTGCTAGAGGACGCGCACCTCGCAGTGCCTCTCGCGAAAATCACGACAAATGGCGTAGCATGGTCAGCGTTTTTTTTCAACCTCTTTGCTGCGCATCCCGACGATAAGCGAAGACCACTAATAAACTACGATGTCGCACTGATCATGGAGCCACTCACTCTAATTGGAACGATAATCGGCGTCGCGCTCAACGTTGTGCTCACGTCAGGTACACTAATATTAAAGTAGTGACCTAGAGCTTTATTCGTCTTTGATATTTTTTGCATTTGTTTCCTCTCACACACGACGAGCACAAATTAGGCCAACTACTTTTGTTGATCGAATAGCATGTTGTCGTACACCAGGTAGATGCGGAACCTCGTCTCAAATGATCTTTCCCTATCGTGCAACAAACCATAATATAGGACACGTTTTGGTCACATTGGTGACGGTTTTGGGATTTACGGCGTACAGGACGATTGCAAAGGGCCTCGCCCAGCGTGAAAAAGAACTCGCATTTTTAAAAGAGAGGGAGGAAAGCGGTAATACGCCTCTTCAGGCTGGCCGATCGATTCAACTGGAGAGATTCCCGTCGACGACTGTGCAGGGCTTATCTGGCAGTGAAGACAGGGACCCGCTTCTAACAGATCCCGCTTCTTCGAGCTCCACTGGTCGGTGGTTTCCGTGGGACAAATTTTCGTACTACATCTACAACTACCCATATCGACTTTTCTCATTGATCTAGTTGAGTTTGCAGTTGCACCATTGCGGATGAGATACTTTGCAGATACAAGCTACACATGCAAGTGCAAAAGCTCATTTTGTATTTGTTCCCATTTGTATTGATTTCAACTTTGAACTTTGCTGCAGAATGATGCTTGCGTTGTGGGTCTTTCACATTTGCTGTTTGACGTACGCAGACGGCCCATTTGCAATTGTCTGCGGATCCCCGGACCAACAGGGGGCGTTAGTTCTAAATCTAGCAGTCCAAACTATCTTCACGCTGGTGTGGAGGAGGCGATGCCTGAAGCAGCAGAGCGAAAAGCAGTTCCAGCAAAGCGCGGCTGCGCAAAGCCTTGCGTCGCAGCCGCTCACGCTTTTCGCCGATGAATCGTCAAAAGGATCAGGCGGCCACCTGGTTCATGAGAGCTTCCAATTTGGAGAGGCAAACACGCTTGTGTATCCGTTTCTCAGCGGTGTGGCTGGAGTTTGCGCAGGATCACTAGGGATAGCGGGTGGTTTGATAAAAGGACCGCTGATGGTCGATTGGGGACTGGCCGCTCAAAGTGCGACGGCGACTGCGATATTCATGATCATGTTCACCAGCAGCTCCACTATACTCCAGTTCATCATTCTGGGACGGCTCGACCTGCACATGTCCATCCTGTTATGGCTGACTGGCTTTTCTGGTGGCCTCCTCGGCTCGAAAATCGTCGCTCATATCCTGAAAAGACTCAACAGGCAGAGTTTTGTGACGCTATTCCTGGGCTTCATCATTGTAGCATCAGCTGTGTGCATGTGCTCCGTCGTAGTGTTACAAATTACAGGGGTTTTCGCGCAGCCAAAGCTTGATGATAATCTCGACTACTGCGCACTCGCCGCTGCACATAGGTGATGACCATATTACCTGATTCTGCAACACAACAACGCCTCGAGTACAACTAAGACTTATCTTCACGCATGAAACTTGTGTTGGATTTGGCTTTTGATATCATGTCTTAATATGTTGAGACGGCAGGAGCAGCATACCTGTGTTGCCGACAGGCGATCCTACTCGAGTTTTTCCTGGGCCACCGGTATACTTCATCTTTCATGGTACGTGTGGGTTTGGCTAAAGTCATGTCGAAAGGTGAAGAGCTTGTTAGGAAGTCTTGGTTGTGCCGGCCTGTTGATCTGAAGATTCTAGAATCGGTGCTTCTTGTTCTTGTCGACTGAAACCAAATTTAATGCTGGAAAAAACAGGTTCTATTCTGTGATTCGCCTAAGCGCCCTTTGATATATTTTGCTCTCCTTATTCGAAAAACTCACTCACTCTCACGAATTCGACCGACAAATGCAGTTCGAGTAGAAACCCGACCTACAACAGGAGGTTGATCCTGTCGTAGTCAACATGATTGGCACCAAATCCATTTCGACTGAATCGATTCACTACCATCTTCACCAGGAACGATACATCAATATTACTGAGTGTGCTTGTGCTACGAGGACGACTGCTTACCCTTTTCGTGGAGCACTAAAAGTATCAGATTTGATGTTGCTATTTCCTTGTCTTTGCGCATTCTGTTTTCAATTTGACACAACTACTTGTACTTCTGTAGACTGACCACATGTAAGCACAACAATGGACAATTCTTCAGCATCACATGATCCGCCGTCTTTTAGTACGTCAAAAGCAAGTAAGAGGCAAAGGTTGCCTGCGCTAGGCCGCAAGACGGGCGGTCCTCAGAGCGAGGCGGACAGACTAGCAGCGCTTGAATCCCTGTGGAGGAAACAGGGAGAGAAGCGCGCGCAGATCGAGCGCACTTGGAGGCAGTCCTGCTCTATCGCGCTTTTGACAGATGAGCTGCTTCTGGAAGCGGTAGAGGGCCTAGAGCGTAGGTGTGCAACTGAGCTGCTGGTTGCAGAACAGACAATGACCAGAGGCAAAGAAGACGGAGTAAAGACGAAAGCAGAGGTTGCAGCGGCGAAGGAAGACCACGAAATGGGTTCTGCAGTCGGTGAAGGTAATAGAGAAGGAGCGGACTACTTCACAGGCGAGCGTGATCCAGGACATACGTCCTTATTGTCTCCATCCCGGCAGAGTGCGAAGACTACGAAGCGCGCGGGGTCCGCCCACGAGACAGCTGATCCTGCATTGCACGACCCATCGCGCCGCTTAGAAAATGGAACAGCCGATGAACCTGCCGCAAAAAAACGAAAGTCGGATAAGAAAACTAGCGCCCACGCAAGCTCCTCCAGCCATGCTACTACATCATCATCGTCACCCTCACCCATTGATGTCTTGGCGAAGCATGGTCCTCCGTCGAGCTATGCAGCTACCCTAAGAGGGCACCAAAATGAACTGCTTCTTGTTCAGACGCGCGGCAAGCTCCAGAAACAGGGACAAATACTGTTTCCAGAGGATGCGCTGTATCTGGCAGAGAGAGGGAGCCTTGTCGTTTTTAGACTTCTGAGTCACAATCAGAAAAAGCAGGGGTTCGAAGATGAAAGACCGCAGAAGCTCAGTCTTGATCAGGTCTACAAGCTTGCTGCTGATGCGATTGGCCTAGATGCCTATGTCGCGTACGCACGCCTTCGAAGAGCCGGCTATACAGTCACGCGCGACTTGCCAGAAATCAATCCTGATTTGCCTGGGAAAAACAAAGACAAAAACAACATGGCCATGGATCAAGCTTCTGCAATAGCGGCTAAGAAAAGTGACGCGTCTACTTCACTTGACCCAAAGCAGGTGGCTGGCAAAGAAGATACAAGCACTGGCGATGGCAAAATCGTAAACATCAAGAGCGAGAGACCTCCTACTGCTGCAGCTTTCTCAGCGATGATATCGCAGAAAGTTCGCGACACTCTTCTTTCTTGGGCCATCGAAGCAAGTCCGGATATGAATGACACGACACATGCAGAAAAAGCACGAAAGGACGCCACCACGATTGCTAACGCTTGTGACAGCACCACGGTGCGCAAGGAGATCTGGTTACCCGTGTCAAAGCAAGCGCCCGGAGCCGAAACAAAAGCCAAAGAGCCTGCACGACCAGGAGTTGAGGGCGTTTACCCTCAAAAACCTACAACTGAGCACAAGGAGGTCAATATAGAAGTACCTTCATCTAGTTCCTCTTGCTTACACTGGCGAGTCAGTAGTGCCCGAGAAGCGGTGAAGCCGCTTATAATCGTAGATGGCCATTCAGATTTTGGTGGTCTTCCCGATGAAGAGTGCTGCGTGGCCTTATCAAGTCACGCTGACGTAAACACTTTGGAACTCGTTCCATTCGATTTTTCATAGCTTTTTTAGACGCATCGGAAAAAGCAGCGAAAAGCAGTCTTTTTTATTATGATCATTGTTTTTGTTAGGTTTTTCATTTTTTGATGGATGACAGCCAGTGTCCGTCCTGATGATCATGTGTGTAGCACCTCGAAGCTACGTTCAAAAGTGTTCCTGGGTGAACAAATCCATCATTGGGAAACTCCCCGCACAAGAAACCTTTCGTCATGTGGTCGGTAGTCGTTCTGCTGGGAGTCGTCGACTGGTGAGGGGTCATAAAACCAACGTTCAAAGGCGACTTTGGTGTAGCCTAGTGGCCACACGCGTGGGAGCTACTTAAGTAAACACAAGAATGTGACGAGCTGCTAATGCACAAACGATCCAAACGAATTTATGAGCATGCGGTCAGAGGGATGAATCTCAAAACGCTCAACCAAAAGCCGAAAATGCGTCGACATTTTTCGAACGAAAAGAGGAAAACGCTAAAACTACAGGACGCGACCTAGAAAGTAAGTCGAAGAAATGAAAATGCAAGGATACATATAGATATACAAAGCCATGAAATAGAACAAAACGAAAAGATTCTAGATCGATTACGATTGAGGTTGGCTGTTAATCTGAGTCAGCAGCGGATAGCACTACGTCGAGATGAATACAACGAAACAGCATTACTATTTATTACTATTACACCCTGAAAATTATGATTCTCTAACTAAGACATAGTCATAGAAATAGACTGTCACTGTTTTCATCTGTTTCTTCACGCGGATTTTCATGATACTTTTCGAGCTGAAGACAATTCATCGACGTAAAATTGAAAAATAGATCCAAAATGGACAGCAGAGGATTTTCTCTTCACAACGCTGTAACAAGTGCCAGCAGATTTTCGCTCCTGGCACTCGTGTCGGCCTCACCGACTATTGCGGCGTATGGCATTGATGCAGCGGGGAATATCGAGGAAAGTAGCTCCTTCGACAAAACAGCGTCATTGAGCTCCGACTCCCGACTTAATGACGTTGCATCCCGACAGGAGGAGCCAAGTAGTGCGAGTAATAGTACTCGTGGAGTCAAATTGGAGGTGGCGAACAGTTGCTTGCTAGAGAAGGAGAAGAAACTACTGCCACCTTCTCGAAAATGGGCATCGAGAAACTTTGAGGACCACTGCCCTGCCTGGGTCATCAAGACGACCGATATCTTGTGGAACAAAGTGCGGGATTATCGCGAACACGAAACAGCATTTGGCCTAACTTCAGCAGCACCCGGAGGGAAATTTCTACCCACATCCCAAGAAGAAAACCCGCAAGATTTGTGGTTTTTCCTACAGCACGACTCAGCTTCAGTCGACGAAAAGATTGGAGCTGCTAGTCCTAGTGCCGAAGCACGGCGACTACTAATTGAGGAGAAATTGATCGGGAAACAAGACTTGCAGGAGATACTAGCTTCTACTTCTCGCACTGGTTCCACGCCGAGGATAAGCTATTCTTTTCATCCTCCAGTGTCAACACCAGATGACGACGCGCACTCCTCACCAACATCAAGAACAAAGCCAGACGTTTCCGTGGGACTGATAGAAGTGGCAAATGGTGAATCTACTGCGTCAACAGGAACTTTATCTCCTCCAATACTGCTAGATGAAGACGCTAGGAAAAAGCAGGAGAAGAAAGTTGTTGACGAAAAAAATTCAGAGTCGTCACCATCATCACAAATTGCTGCTTCTTCTTCGTGGTTTCTGTTCCATCGTGATCCGACGCTGAAGTTACACCCGGAAACCGAGCTGGACCTGAATGCTGTGCTACTGCATTTTTTCTACATTGATTGGACTTCTCATTCGAGTTTCGGAGTAGTGACGCAGGGTTTGGTCAACTTGAAGAAGTTGGTAGTGAACACGAAGCGCGACTACGTTGACTTAAAACTCTACATCAGCGACAGTGGCTGCACCGGTAACGATGTAGACGGCTACAAAACCTTCATGCCGGACGTGCTAGTCGGGATTCCAGCCGGCTCTGACACTGATGATGAAAGAACTCAACATAACTCCAAGAAAAACACTACGGCGAAGAAGATATCGTATTCCGGCACAGCGGTTTGCTACGTGCAGTATGTGGAGCCATATGGCTACCAGTATATCGCAGAGTGGCTCTTGCATGATCAACTTTCAGTTTTAAACCAGATGCGAGTCAAAAGCTTGCAATTCCCAGACGGTTCGAGCGAGCTTTTTCCCAGCCAGCATGCTCCTTTTGGAACAGACTTGAAGATAAACAAGTCCGACAAGATATGAAAGAGAGAGGAAAATGTAAATGAGTTATACATATCCAAATAGTCTACTAGCACTTATTACTACTACTAACACTATCTACGACTAAGCACCATAGATGAAGAAGGAGAAGAAGTAGAGCTACAAGAATTCCGATACTGAGAATGATCTTACTTTTTAATTTTATTGCTTTCACTTCCAGTCTCACCCAAATATACGGATACTCATGGATTATACTCGATTTGCTAGATGTGAGATAGATTAGGGTACGTAGTTCTAGTACTAGTAGGTCTGTTCTTTTTCTTTCTTACAAGCTTGAGAATCAATACTCCTCTTTTGGCTTCATTTGATCTGGCGACGTCGACGGAGGAAGAGCAACCACCAGCCCTGCACGTGTCGCCGAACCAACAGTGTGAAGTGAATTATCCGAGTTGGGGATGGCAAGCAGGTGATCCGGTACTGAGAAATCAGACGGAGAAGCAGCTACAAGCAGTGTTCGCTACAAATCAAGACGGAAACTACGTACGAAGAACTGTGGCGGCTAAGACGGCGGTCGAGGTGTTGAAAAGTGAGCAGGAGACGGAGGAGGTAATCATGGGCTAGGCCACCATGACTACACCACATTGAAGAATTTAACGACTGGTTTCGCTTTCGTCCGATTCATCGCAAGCGCTCCAGGTCCTGCATGTTTCTACAACCATAACTTCACTCGATAAGAATTTATCCATTTTTTGGTGGAGAAGCCACTTCCATTGTGGTTAGCGATAAATGCCTATCTTGAACCAAAGAAAGTGTGAAAAGGTCACCGACTTTTTCGCATTACAAATTTCTTTTTTCAGTTCCTACGCATCGGCATTCTTGTACGAGGAACGAGTACGTATAACTATACCTGTATGATAAAGACTATGTCGTGCAAGGAGAATATGATGAATTTCAGGATACTAGGCTGCATATGACATTGTTGAAGAGACGAGTCTCAAGTAGATCGAGATGACCCGGACAATATCTGTCGATCAGGATGGTGCTGTTGCAAAATGGACAATCAGATTCAGGTTCAGAACAAAACTAGAGATGTTCACGACCACGTTCACAAAATGATAATGAAAGCTATACAACTGACCCTATGGTTGGAAGATTTGTGACGCGCGTCAGCGAGAGATCCATGATCTCAGAACAAGAAATATCTGATCTAAAGCTAGTAAAAGTAGACGATCGAGAAAGATAAAAGGATCAACATTTGCATGATTTCTTCTACAAATCATGTGGATCTCTTCAGATGTCGATCTGGATCTCATCGTATTAATAGACGCAAGTTCTTGCTGTCTGGCTAGCTTTAAAGGCCTGTGATGAGAGAAGCAAGATACTCCCATGCGAGACGAGGAAGATCAAGCCCCGATGAGCTGCTCAATGTCTGCATAAATCCGATTCTGAGGGAAAATTCTTTGTAAGATTCGTCATACAGACGTCTTCGCTGCGCTCGAATAAGGAGCACGCAGTAAAATATCAATTTTACGACCCGATTTCATACTCGTTCTCATTACTCATCATCCTACAGTTTTTGGATTTGGATATTCGCTTTATTTTTTTGGAAGATAATAACAATACGGAAGACCTGCTAACAACATTTTATTTTACCGAGGAACGAACCCCAACCCAAATTCCCAAATCAAATTCAAATTCTCAAGGATTAAGATTAATTAGAGGTAGAGAGGCAGCTAGGAATTTTTTCGCTTTCTGTCCCTTGTGTATTTGAACTTGTTTGAAGGAAGATTGACCAGATAATTTGGATCGAGTTTGCTAACTACGCAGAAGCTTATTAATATATTTTCTCAATTCCAGCACAAAGATCTGCAATCAACTTGTTGCTTTTCAGAGGACTCTTGGAAAACAAGGATTTGGGATCTTTTACCAAACTCGCGCTAACGCAGACACGTACACTTTTTACCTTGATCTACCTTTAATCAGTTAGAATTGTTTTCGGGTCAAGAATAATGTTGAATTCATCGGTCGCAATTCGCCGGCTGGCACCCCTTGCTGCAGCATGGCTTTGCCTTATCCCTGGCCCAAGTATCAACTTCGTGAGCGCTGTGAGAATGGTCGGATCTCGCCTCGACGATGTTGATGGTCCTGGCCTTCGTCACTCTCTAATTGCTGCAGATGCATCGGACTCGGAGCCCGATACTGATGTCGGAACAGGTGACGGTGATGAAGAACGTGCTGCAGCAGGTCTGATCTGTCGTGCGGAAAACATCCAAGAACTGTTGACGCGTTTTGTTGATTGGGCTTACAATCGCATGCACGAATACAGCACAAAAGCACATGGTGAGCAGCAGCTTCAGCATGCCCAAGTTCTAGAAGGTTTGGCGACCCAAGTGAACAAGGACGCTGTTTTGAAGAATCTTAAGCTGGCTCTAGAAGACATGCCCGAAGGAGTAGCCGACCACCAATATTCGATATTTGTAATTGAAGATATAACCCTGGATCGACGTCATGCAAGTCTAACGGATGTTGGACGCAGAAACGTAGACACCTATGGCGAAATTCTTGAAGGGTTCTATCGCGTATTAGCAAATGCAATGCCCAAGAGTCAAGCATCTACGGCCAGTGATACCGGAGAAGTTGTGGATTCGGCATCGGCTTCGAGTACGGCTGAAGCTGCTCACCCTCGTGCTGCAAGTTCAGCTGGAAGTGGAGCTGTGCGTCCGAGTAGTTCGGCGACACTAGAGCAGGACTACGGAGCAGCACCGGACAAGGTAAAAACTTATCTTGAGGAAATGCGCCTAGCTGTGGATGAACTTCGTCAACATCGCGAAAACGGAGACGGACGCCCAGACGCAGCATGGGTGAAGATTATGAATAAGATACTGAAGATTACTGGCGACCCTGACCGTACTTCCCAACGCGCTGTGCGCAACTCCTTCACCGCGCAAGACCTCCACGACGCAGAGCGAAGAGAAGTGCGATGTCCTCGCATATTTGCAAATTGTGTCATAGGCTCGATGTTGGCAGCTTCCGCCGCAGCATACCTTCATTCCACTGTTAATTATCAATGCTGGCCTCACGGGTGCGCTGGATATCCCCATGCTGCTTCATCATTATCTCAATCCGCGTCTTCTTGGGGCGCCTCCAACCGCGGCAATCGAAATTTCCTTGCACGAGAGCATCAACGTCCAGGACGAGAGGCTACAGGGTCACGGGCGGCAGAATACGAAAAGCTGATGAAGGCTGAGTTGCAGAAGTCGGATGGACACTCGCCGCCCCTGTGGATGACAAAAACCATCGTTGAGAACACAGGAGCAGCGCAGAAGACCACCACGAAGCCCTGGAAATGAAGAATAGTGAAGATCGAGCTCAGGGAAATCTTACTTGTGCTATCAAAGCGGTGCCGTCTCTCTGAAGCATACGCTTAATGTGGACGGTGCCGATCTCATTGATTGCATAAAAGATCCTCCATATCGTTAACACCTGTGTGTGTGTGTGTGTCCATGATCATCATGAAAAATTAGGAATTCTGAATGGGAAGCCATATCTCCAGAACATTACGATACTCAACTCCGCTTGAGTATCGTTATCATTGACGTCATCAACTTCAACTGTATTATTGCAGTCATTTCTAGATGTAGATGTAGGTCTGCTTTTTATGGATCGGATGATGTCGAGGAATTACTTATGAGAAAAATGAACATGAAAATTACTACTTTTGAAAGCTATTTTCGAAGATTCATTTGTTCAGGTTGCGAATGTGATTAGAATTCAAAAAAGATAGACAGAAGGAGGCAAAAGGTGAATATGATGCACAGAGCATCTTAAATATGCAGACTTCGTGGTCTAGGCTCTACTGTATTATATATAGAGGTACACCAATCAACACGTTTTTTTGTAGTTTTGTCCCATCATGCCAAACGTTATTTTTTACCCCCATTATAGCAAAGGTGATTGATTACCCCCCGTCTGCTTCATTTTTGGATCTTTTGGAATAACAATGGCATTGCGCCGTGAAGATGAACAAAGTCAGCTTTTTCGCGAGAAAGGCTCAAGCTCAAGCTTAAGCAGTCTAGATGGAGTGCGTGCTATTAGATAGGTAGCCGGCACTCAAGAGGGGATACATCTTGACGGAAACAGATCGCTTAAAAACAAAAGAAAACAAAACTGACAAAGCCACAGAATTCTTAATATGATGGTCATTGTAGTATAATTGTCGTCGTCATCTCCGGTTTGCTCTATCTATGCCTATGCGAAGATGTTACCTATCACGCAGTTCACGCTTAGACCTCGCGGCTAGCTCTACCCAACACCAATAGAGGGCATTTAATTAATCGCGGTAAGCTTGATCACCTTGGGTCGAAGCGTGCGGCTTTTGGTGAGTGAGTGCTGAACTCTGTCGGGACTCCTCCCAATCTGTTGCGTGTTCTTTATAGAATTTGGCGCCTAGAGAACTTAGGCAAGTAACTGCGTCAAGGTCGTTAGCTTGTCGCGCGTGTTCTCAACTTGGGGAGTGTTTCGGTAGAGGTTAGGGAAGGAAGTAATTAAGTACGCTCATAGGTAGCAGAGAATTATTACGAGCTGCAGGGACGGTATGACAGGACGCAAAAACCATTCTTATATTCTTATATATACTTCAAGCGCATCCGGTGCTTATCCTTTGACGGAAAACGAAAAAACTAACCTGGATCTTTCTGCTTGCTTGGTACTGTTCGGCGCTCGGCCCTCGTTCTAAGTACATCGGTAAGACCGATTGATGTGGCTTCGGTATAATCCATGAAGGAAGTGAGTTGAGCGCAGAATTAGTTACAGGAAGTGACCATTTTGAAAATGTCAAGCGACTGGCAGTATGATTTTGATGAGCCACGAGCGAATTGTGTTAGCTTCCTCTATCATGGCCACCTTTTACTGTCCTCTTTACAGGAGCGAGAGCAGGAGGAGTGTTTTCTAGTTTGTGAAAATACAACATTTGATCTTTATCTTTGATTTCGTGATTGTCTTCGTTACCGTTTGGATTCTGAAAATGGGTTGTGTTCCCTTCGCCTTCTCTAGTGCTGCCGTCTGAGAGCAGGTGCTTACCCCGTCTTTATATAAAAGGTCGACTAGTAGTACTGCGAGAAACAGTATGTTCACGAGTATGTGGTCTAAAGCTGTTGAATAGGACATATTGATTTGAACCTCCATCTCCTCCACCTCCTCGCAGTTTTACTCGTACATATTCCCCTCCCGCAGCCACCAAGGATCAATCAACATCATCATTTGCGTTTTGAATAACACAGAATTGTAGTTGTAGGTCGAGCTGATGTTTTTCTAAGAACTATACTTCTTTACGCTGGATTGAATTAATAAATAATACAGGCTAAAGACATAGTCAACACTGATGTGTTTCTATTTGGAGAGAGGACTAAAAGTTCATGTACTAGTGTGGATGCTCGATAAGTTAAACAAGTAATTAAGTTGTGCCTTATTATTAAGGTACTGATACTGAACTTACCACTCCGCAAGACAACATTGACATACGCTGCGCTTTAGAACCGAAAATAATTAGTTGAGAGTACTGCATGTTGTTGTATTTAGCAGCTACTCTCTTCAAATGCAGCATCAATTCTCGTAGAACCGCAGCTAATTATAGTTATGATGATCTATCAGATTGTACTTGTAGATGTAGTGCTAGAGCTAGTGTGAACTTGAAAGGAACATAACTGACAGAGCGTTCTTCTCAACAGAGCGTTCTTCTCAAAAGCTGCTTCATTGTGATAGCACTCCATGCGGTACACCAGACGCTGAGTCGTACGCCCTGCTGCTTATACCCGTTGCCGCACGGCGGAATAAGATAGCAGTCACTTCTGCGCATTGACTTCGGACACACCCGAGTGGAGCGTCAACATAGAGGACCTGTTGAACTCTAGGACTCACTAGAAACGATTTGCAGCACAGCACGAGAAAAATGGCTCCCTGTATCGTAATGGCGAAGAGTACGCCACCTCGAAGAAGCGAGGGCGGCGGGTTCATCATTGCGGACATTCTGGCGGGATACGACTACCAACAGACGGATCCCTTCCTGATATGGCACGAGCTCCCGAAGAAGTACATGCACCGAGGGGAATTCCCCGGTGCGCCTATGCATCCTCATCGAGGTTTCAGCGAAGTGCCATACTTCAAAAAAATGGGCCAGACCACGTACACACGACGTGTAAGCGGCATTGATGAAGATGGAGGGATGGGCGATGGCGATCTTGAATGGGGAATGGCGGGAAACGGAATTGAGCACGGTAGTTGCAATACATAGTTCGGATGTTGTAGAACTTACTTAAAAGCCATAGAAGACGACATGTAAATTACTATCACTGCTAGTAGTACCTAGTAGTACAACGAGTTGTAGATGCAACTACATTCAGTTTTTGACGTAAACTCTATCTTATTTATCTTCTTCTTGATCTTGATGGAGAATAGATATTTCCAAATATTATTATAGCGAAGCACTACTACAAGCAAGAATTATCATCTGCACTCAGAAATACTTCCAAACTTCCTCATCTTCTATTCATGAAGTTTTTACGACTGCATCGTCTTCCCTTTTTAGGCGTAACCGTGTCACCAGAATGGGAAGGAGAGATGCATGGATTTCAGCTATGGGTGAACTTGCCGGAAGCGAATAGACTCGATGCGCCAGATTTTCAAAATGCCAGCTCGAAAGTGCTGCCGAAGTTTGAGTTTTGCCAAAATCTATCCTGCAATTAGGGCGACTTCTACATCATACCCATAGTACGATAGTTTTATTCGGTTTTTAGTGTATTTAGTTTCTGCTTTACTGCAACCTCCTACTGTTCATACTTTTTATTACTAGCTCTAGGTAGCTTGCTGTTTCTGGTTCTTACGCCAGAATGCTCCTTTGCTCATGCACAAAAGCCTATGCTTTTTACTAGAAGAGGCCCTCCAAGTTATAGATCAGCTCTAATCCATAGTTTTAGTCGGAGAGATGAAAGGACAAAAGTCGCCCGTGCAGCCGCGCCACACTGATATAGCGTACTTCGACTTCGAAGTGCAGAATCGGGGGACGGTAATGTTAAGGCGCGTGAGATTGCATTCCTCAACACGTTGCAAGGTTCTGGGTGGGCTTCATCAGACTCGTGTGCATCACACTTTCCGATCACCTATACATAGATACCTAGTCATGATACTTATTCCTAACAAATAATCACTAGTTAGCAAAGCCACACAGCCAAAACGATGATGCACCACACAAAGCCACAGACAAGATGCAAAAAGAGAACTAGATGTAATTCCTCTAATGTCCACGCCGTTGAGCATTCCACTAGCTCAGAAAAGAAGAATGCTGTACGTCTATGAAGGTTCTCTGAAGGTTATTTCGCGAGAAATAAAGCATGACCTCCGCCGGCACGAGTTTCCTGAAGCAGGTCGCAGGCGGGCTGACGGAGCCGCTGAGGTAACCTAGTCTTACTGTGCTGTGAAGGTTTACGTACTTAGATGACTTAGCAGTTAGGCAGCACGTACACGTAGCAGATTGATCACTTCATTTTCAAATACTTAATCGCTATCGTACGCAAGGTGCTATAACCAGTACCGGCGCCTAGTAATCGTCAAGGGGAACAGGAATGCTGAAACTGAGACAAAGACCACAGGAGAAACAATATCGTACAAGGGAAGAATATGAAACGAATTCAACACTAAGAACAATTCCTATCCTTTTTTCTCGTGCAATCAGCTGACGTCAAGATCGGGATTGAGTCATCCGGCGGCGATCCCTCACATATCGAACCAAGGCGCTTCCCGTGGAGAAACGCCTGTGCAGGTGTGGCTTGCTTATCTGAACATGATTCTGTTAAGCTACTACTCCCACTCCAAGCACCAGTTTGCAATTGCATGAAAGCTTCATCAATCTGTGGAGAACGCTACTACTAGTACTTAAGGATGATTTGAAACATCCTAAAGATTTCTAGAAGATGAAAATTCGCCTGCGTCTTTGAAACAGATGATGAAAGAAATTGACATACTGAATCTGAAATTAAGAGTGTAGTTTGAAAACCAAAACCAACACCATCATGACATCAGGTAGAAACCGGAGAAGTGGTGATGTTATCTGAGGACGGGGAGGAGGTTTTACTGACGGATCTTAGCCCCGACTGTCAATTTTTGCTTGCCACCGGGACGCCCTTGCGTGAGGAATGTGTGCAATATGGACCGTTTGTCATGGGCGATAAAGCGGCCGTCATGCAAGCTTTTCAAGACTTTCAAATGGGTAGACTCTCGAAAAAGCCAGCAACTTATACCCGCTACTAGGCGGAATCGAAGTCGTAGGCCGGTAGGCAGTATTGGGACGAGTTGGTTGTTTCAAGAATTGAATGAACGACATTCTCATTCAAGAACAACGGAACGATGACGATAGGACGTGGCGAGAAGGAGCGTTGAAAGCAGTGTCTGATGCACATACCTGCAGCCTTGCGGCATTGAGACAGAAACGAACGACACATGAAAACAAAAAAGATCTACTCACAAAAATATAATCCCATAATAGAGTAGTTTATAGATGAACGGATGTAGGATGGACTTGGATGGATCGGATGGACCCCACTGATTCTTCCGGTCCTACTTGAAATGGTGGGGAGTCCATCCGTTCCATCCGATCCATCCCATCCCGGATCTGGCACCCCTATAAACTGCTCTACCATAAATGTACTCTTTGACCTTGGTGAGTTTGCGGGGAGTCGTCATATGCTGAAGTCTGTATTTATCATGTCTTATCTTAGGGAACAAGAACCTGCTGATCGAGGTAAGTTCACAAAACTTTGGACAGTACAAGAAGGTTTCCCCTGACCGGTTGCTGCTCGTGATTCAGCATGTAATTGCGAACCTGCTCCATTATCTATTACATACTACCAGAACTGCGTCACAAATTTAAAGCAGAATGCATAGAAGTCCCAGTATTGGATCGAAAAACGTCTTCAAGAATCGATAAGAGAGCAAATAGATTGAAATAGTTGATGAAGCATGATAGATACGCAATCGTCAATCAAAAACGCACTCGCGGTCGAACTGATGAAATGGAGGTCGAAATGGAGGTCCTCACGAATATTGGAGGAAAAAATACACTCGATGTAGATGTTGTTCTTAGAGAAACAGGAATCAGCAACATTAAACAAGAACGAAGAGTTGATGAGTTCAACCCGTTGCACAAAAATGTGAATTTTCAAAAGAAGTGTTCGAATAATGCCCACGCAAGAGCTCTCAATGAGCGCTCCTCAAGATCCGAAATTACAAAATCGTTAAGATCCTAAATCTCTGAGGTCTTTCCTCCATGTCCGAAATGGCAATCAAAAACGATCCATCGACAACTGAGTGAAACAAAAAATATTGATCTTGGAATTGCCACTTCCATTGAATTGGAATATCTCGTTCATGTTCATGAAATCCACCAAATTTGAATTGCAACAACTACTGACAGAGATTGAGATCCTTTATGGTTCTCGAGAATGCTGAATGTAGCCTGATTGTTGATCTGGTCCGAATGAGAATGCCTCTGTTCAGATGAGAAATGAGACAACATTTCAACACTTTTATCAAACTTTCCACAGGAGTGGTTTTATTTCCGTTATTCAATCTGTCTTAGACCGTCTGTATTTTTGCGCCTGATCATATTGGAGAGCTATCTATTGGGCTGAAATTTTGTCTTGCCCGGTATTGACTAGTATTCATCTAGTAGTATATTCGTAATTCGTATTCCTTAGATATGCTCATCGCTCTTCTTGTTTGAAAAAACGTTCTTCTTCCATCCCTAGGATGTACTAGATTATATACATAATCTATTGTTTCTTCCCATGTATAGTGCTTACCCTCGCTAAGATATAACAAGAGTCAACGTCATCAAGGATAGTAGTTATATGTTGTAGTTGTCCCACAACCGGGTCTTACTTGGCATGCATTTTTGTCTTGCTTTTTGGGCCGTCCTATGTGCTTCCCTCATATTCCTCCTGCCAAAAGATTTGCCTTCTCCTTGTCAGCATCTATGCTCCACGATGTTGACCAAACAAACTTGAAACTCTATGCTATCGTCCCATTCACACAAGTGTTACTACCTTTACTTATCCGAGGGCCTCCCAATCGTTTTATGTTATCATCTATCTAAGTCTTCCACCTTCAGCTTACTCATGCTTCTCATTCTTGTATATTTATAGGAAGCATGATGATGATGTACTATAGTCATGCCTAGTTACAGTTCGTCCTAGTCCTGGCCCTGCCTTATCAACCTGGACATGCAGATTTAATTTGATAGCTACACCTGCTATTCTCAGGACACCGACCAACACTACTGATTATAGTACAGGAGATTTCTTCTTTTTCCCATTCCCACCACGTCCCCACCTGCGAGCTCACTACCTCCTCGTTTCTTTTCACATTTGCAGATTATAGTACGTTCTCTTATCAATCGATCTCCTTTGAATGATCATTGATGGAGGTGGACCGTATAAATAGATTTCTTTGAGTTTCATGATCTGAGTCAGTCTAATTTGCTGAACTGAAGATCATATCGAATAAGAACGGGCGAGTTTGGCTTTCAGACGACATAAAAATGACAAAAATGACTTCGATCAACGACAAACGTTTCCACCAAAAAGAGTGTCGCTTGGCGGCTTGTTGTCCAGCGACCCCGTCCGCTTCCTCTTCGGCTCCGCGACGCAGAAGCACGCCACTGCTGCTCTCCGCAGCGCTTGTTGCTCTGGGTGCCGAGCCAGCAAGTGCCCATACCTACAGCCAGAGACTCATGTCCGCAGCTTGCAACTGGACGGGTTTCGGCTGCAGCGAGGCTGAGACCAAGCAGAAGCAGCTCAAAGAGTTGCGGGCATTGCTTGGGATGGAGGAAGACGGCGATGACTCGCTAGAAGACGGGTTGGCGCACCTTTCCGCGGAGGACGTCTCCAACCTTCTGACCAATGTGAAGAGGCAGCAAGCCTCTGCCGCATTCAACGCAGATTTGAGTGACGAAGATCAGGAAGGTAGAGGAGTGCTAGCCGGATTGATGTCTTCGTTGCTGCAGAAAAAGACCGAACGGTTTGAGGTTTTCGGTAACGGCGACGTGCTCCAGCATTCAGGCGAGGAAGATGTTCAGGTCGTCCATGCCAGTGGCCCTTTTGGCGGTGGTGGCATGATGCTGGGCGAGCCGGAATTCGCGCAGTCACCTGACGGTGACATTCGTATGCGGTTTCGTATCGCTTTCGAAGGGGAGCCATCTCGCCGCAGCCGCTTGCGGGGGGGAGGTCCAGGCGAAGGACCCATTGATCCTCTCCGTGACATGGACCCGGGTCTGAGCGAAATTCTGCGTGCTCTCTCAAGCGTGCACGAAAAGCACGACGACGACGACACTGATGTGCTGCAGGACGCGATGGCGAGCATCATTTCCGGTGACGAGGGTCCACTCGCTGTGCGCCGCCTTCGCTCTGGCTTGCCCGTTTTACCAGCGCCACCTTCCAAGCAGGATGTTGGCATGCTCGCACTTCCCGGCGGGTTCAACCCTTCTGCCATGTTCGGCAGCATGTTCGGAGCAAGCGATGAGGTGGAGGAGCTGCAGCAAGCAGCTGTTTTCACTTCCACCTCGCAAGATGGTGGCGAGCTGCGTCGTGTCGTGCACGTGGTGAAGCTGGGCTCTCCAGAGGATGCGCTGAACGCATTTTTTCCTCGCAATCTCTTACAGAACTTGATCGAGGAACAGGATATTTTGAAACACATCATGGCCGACATCTCCGCGAAGTACGTCCAGGAGCCGCCAACCGAGTTCAAAGACCCGGTCACCGACGCCTTGCTGGACGAGCCGGCGTACATCTACTGGCCATCGTCCACGGAGCTCTGGAAGAAACGCGCGTTCGAAATGGTGAACATCAAAAACTGGTTCAACAAAGTGGGCACGGTGACGAATCCTGCGAACGACGAGGCCATGGGCTACCCGGGACCCTACCAGGTGGTGGCCGCCACGGAACTGAAGGAGAAAATCACCAAGTGGAAGGCGGAAAATGCGCGCGATAAGCCAGAGAAAACAGGAGACAACACGGAAGATTCATCGGTGCTGACCGATACAACTTCCTCTACTGCGTCGAAGGGCGAGGAGGAGGCTCACTTCGAGAGCGCGATGAAAGACGCTGGCAGCTCCTCGCTGGAGGGCCAGCTGAAAGAAGTTGCAGACTTGCGCTGTCCGCTGACACAGACTCGCGTTGCCGAGATGAAGAACGCCGTGACGCGAGATGGCATCACGTTCTTCGAGGCAGCAGCACTGGAGGCGCGTTTGGAGAAGGAGCTCCGCGATCCGATCGATCACAAAGTGGTCGTCGTGCGCTCTGAGTATATCTCTACGAACGAACTTGCTGGCGAGTTTGCCGCGAAAGTGGTGTTGCCGGCTGCTCCCATGAAGAAAACGAGGAGCTCCCAGGTCAGCAAGGCAAACGAAGATCCATCGTGGGCGCAGGAGCAACACGATGCTCATGACAAAGCGCAGCAATTGCGTTCGCCTATCGCCGCAGCCCGCGCCCTCCGTATTGCCGGCCAACGCTTTTCGACCAAGAGCCTGAGCTTCAACGCGTTCAAGAGCCGCGCGGTTCGTATCTTCACCAACGGTGGCGTTCAGAATTGGGAACCGACCAAGGCCACCTCGAAACGCGTCCTGGTACTCTGCGCGGAACAGGATGAGGGAGCCGAAGAAAAACTTCGCGAGCAATTCCTCAGAAAAGGTTTCAACGAAGTCGATGTCAAAAACTTCAAGACCCCATCCGAATTCATCGATCACAAGGATTTCCATGCGGAAGGATATGTAATACTTACTTAAAGTTGTATTATCTTAATCTTTAGTATATAAATAATATATATTCGAATTGAGGCATTAATTTGTATTCGAATCCATGAGTTCACGTTTAGCGAACCTACGGAGCACGTTCGTTGCTCGTTTTTTCGCATTTCAAATGATAACCACAGTCTACCTCCTACAACTACATCCCTGGAACTATATTTTCAACTAGAACCTGCGACTACGACTTTCATACCTAGTACCGCAATATTCGCTTCTTTCAGGATGCAATGTACGACCTTGGCGTATTGCCCATGTCTCACCGGGAAAGCAAGGAGAAAATTTCAGGCTTTTGGGGCCAGATTCGCAGCTTGTTTATGCGCAGCGACAAACCGGATGCTGAATTCGTTACCCACAGCCAGATTCTTGCGGAGGTACAAAACTTAGCTTATCAGGCTCATGAGCAAGGCTGTCTTACTATTTTTGGACAAAGATCTTCATCAAGCAACTTTTCCGTTAAGATAATACAGATAACATCAACATAAAAAAGAGGAAAAGCATCATCATCGCAAGCGAAAAAGCAGACAAAAACAGAAGAGCTGACTACAACACCAACACGATGTATAAATTCAAAGACCACAAAAAATGAATTGAAAAAGAAATTGAACAACAACAAGGATAAGGAAGAAATAGATAAACGTGCACTCATAATTAAAGAAGCTAGACCCCGCGAATGGGTACATCAATCAATCAACAACAAATTACAGGATGTCTCGGCTGCTTACGACGCGACCTGTTCTGCGAATGAGGAGTGCCACCTGAAGATTCACTCAGACACTCCGATTGGTCGCGATGGCAGTGTGTATCAGACCCGATGGCGTCGCGCCAGAGCGAATGAACGGGAGTTGTAAAACTACTCGATTGTGAAAAAAGATGTAGGTGATGGTAGTCACAATCTCAATTACTCCTGCTCGTGGACCTGGTCGCCGCGGTTGGACTGTGGCCGCCAAAGAATTTAGGACGAATGTGGAGGAAGTGAGGTGGGCTAAAAAAGTTGAGCCACTGCAGCTAATTACCTACAAAGGAGGGACGTTGATGCCTTTTCGATCTACTTTTTAGTAGGTAAAAAAAGCTAAAGAGACAAACTACATTGTACAGCTTGCAGAAGTATGGAATCTCGAACCACGAGGAGAACATCAGCTCGCAGATGAAGCGTGGTCGCATGAACCGACGTGCTTGTCCACAGAAAGCATACAACAATTTCCTGTTGCTCTTTTGCGCGGAACAGGGAGAGGGATTGGAGTATTATACACAGAACGGACGCTCATCGCGAACAAAACGAAGCTGTGATTGAAAATTAAAAAATAGTGATACTTTTTTCCTATGCCAATTACATTTCCCCTTTTCATACGCTAAAACGCGAACAGGATATTCGAGCAGCACCCTATTATGAATTCCTCGTGGTTACTAATCTCACACTTATTCCTATTTAATGATTACTCTCCACTAAATCTAAAACTCTTTCATGGATAATTACTGATCTATTTACTTCAATTTTCTTCTTGAAAAGCCTTAACCTTTTATTTACTTAACGATTCGCATTCGCTTTACATCGCAAAAACAAAAAATAGTAGGATAATTTCGATCGACAACAAATTTTGAAAATGATTTTTGGAAGATAGATCATGCATGGGGATAAAGACCAGCTGGAGTGAAGGACTGTGCTGGTGTCGGTGGTACATTGCCATGATCCCAAGGAAAAACGTAAATCTTCCAACAAAAAATCGATGTGGCATACTGCTGACAATATTGATCTTAGAAAACGGAGTATTTAATGAAGAACAAGAATTGACGATTCAAAGACACATGTGTACAAGCACGCACTTATTAGGGGTGCGTCCATGCTAATGTGCATGTAAAACGGGGGCTACTGGGGGACGGCATGGTCGGGAATGTCGCACGACAACCACAACAGCCGCCAAGAATGATATGACTCGATTGAATTTATATTATAGGCACACAGGAGGAGCTTTGTGTTTGTCATTGCCTTTGACTGTTGCCTCCATGTTTCGTGTTGCATACAATGTCTCAACACTTAGACTCAGACAACACAGCTAAATAGTATATTGAACAGCAACCTAGAACAAGATATGGACAATACCATTTTGATTCTCAGAATGTTGCAGTTCTTATCTACTACTGTGATTTGTGATTCTGATTGACGATCACCGACCACAAGATTCTAGAGCATGCGATATCAAGAAAAGTCCTCTCGGATCGTCTATTCTACGAGCATTGTTTCTCTTGTTGCTTTGGGTTTTCTCGTTTGTTTGAGTTCGTTCGTGGTACGCTGAAGTACGTAAGTATTTCCTTTCAAGTAAAATGATCACAGTCTTCATTTCTTCACCACCTACATAATGTTAGCGATTGAGAAGCACTATGACTATCTTCCTCTTTATTGTACTTCCGTTTCCGATATCCACACCTTGGCTCCTCTATCCAAGTACGGCGAGGCGGTCTTTCCAAAGTGTTAGGCGGCCTCGAATACGTACAGAGTGGTCTACGCGACAACACTGGGATTTGGTAGAAAGAATTTGGAGGAAGATCAAGATCAACAAGCATTCGAGAATGGAAGCCAACATGACCACGGCAATGCACATTCATTCATGTAATGTTAATGTGCATTAATGATGCAACACCAACACACGAAGACACTACATCAAGACAGCATATCATATGAGGGGCGTCTTTTATGATATGGAGACTTAGTACATTTGATTATTAAACACCACTGAATCATCTAGATTGTTTGGATGAAAAGCATTTTAGAAGCATAACCTCCATGCGTCGTGGAACTGGAAGGTGTTCTTTGAATTGATATTCTTGTCAGCCGTTGATGGCTGTAATTGTTGTAGCTTGTCGCAGGGGTTGTATCCTGCATGTGCTTGTCGTTATTTCCAACAGCATCGGTACTAGCAGGATCATTATCATCGCACTCGTGACTCGTCCCATCTATTGTGGGATCCGTCTATCGGTCTGGGGATCAGACTCTGATCACAAGGTATCTGTCCTTTCATCTTCATTGGGGCGGTGATGAGAATGAGATAGAGAGAGAACAATAGCCTAGAGAGATGAGAACCGACAAAATCTTTCAATTTCAAAGCAGTTACCACGACACGAAGCAGTGTACCTTCCGCCCGTCCGTGGTCCCTCAACTGAAGATGAGCATCGCAACGGTAATAACCCGACCCGCCCGTCCCCATCGTACAAGGCAATGTGTGGCAGGGTTTCAATAGCATCCCTAGGTATATCTTAATCTTGTCCTCCACCTTGCTAAATTATTGTACGAAGTTAGTCCGGTTTATTCGAACTATTAATTATTGTACGAAGTAGCATGCCCCTCCGGAGTTGGGTCTGATGGGCTAGACGCCCGGGGGGGGCGCTTGGTGATGTGCCGGGGGGTGACGTTACCGGCGGCGCTGCAGCTGATTTGTGGGGGGCCCTGAGCTAAGGGAACCAGCTTGCGGGTGGGTGGGCGGGGAGTTGGCGCCGTCGGGGGTTTGTAGTATAGGGGGGGAGTTGTAGCCCCAACCATGGGCGCAGCCGGCGGCGCTAAGGCTGATTCCGTGGCCGCCTTCAGGGACCCCGCCCGCGGATGAGTGGCCTGAGAGTCTTCGCAGTCAGGGTTAGCTGATAGGCCAGACGCACGGGGAGCACTGTCTTGGGCGTCATATGCCCAGGCGTCGCGACGTCGCTGGCGGCGCTGCAGCTGCCTGGGCGGCCTGAGGGCGCCGGGCCTGGGCCGCGAGAGAGTTTGTCGGCCCGGGGGCTCTGCGTAGTAGTCGGAGCCGGGGTTGGCAGGTTAGGCGTCTGAGGTGCCTCCCCGGAATACCGAGCTGAAGGCGTGCACAGTCTGACAGAGAGGCGGCCGAAGGATGCCTCGCAAAATTTTCACGCATGGAGTGCATGGAGTACCTGCTCCATGCTACTCCATGTGTCCCATGCACTCCATGCCATGCGCCCGCAGAAACCTTATAGACTACTCTGCTATAAACAAACTAATTATCATGTATCAGTATCCATGATATTGATAGTGTGAGGCACTGGCAGAGTCATTGGTAGTGTGAGTAGCACTTCATTACTATTACACGATGGTCGTGTCGGTTGCATAAGCAGGTGGCATTGCAAACCCACGTGACCAGCTGCAAGAAGATGGCACAGCTTCTATCCGCAATAGGTTGGACCGAGGTCGGCCTTGAGAGTGGCAGTAAGTACTACTGGTGTCCGGAGCAGGTACGTTGTCAGCCAGAGCCGCCGCTCTACGAAATCCTTGGCCTTTCCTCGAACCTTCGTGGTTACAACAGACACGCAATTTTCAAAGCGTACAACTTGATGTTCATGATCTACTCGTACTTGCAGCCATTGCCATTCGCATTTCATGATCTTCATCCTCTTTGTTCTGTTTGATTCCCATCGGATATTGTGTGGTCTCCGTCATCTAGATTTAGCCGCTCTAGTACGTTTGCTATTGCTAAAAATATCAATCGTTCGTTGTTTTTCAGAGCAGCCGTGAAGACCATCCCTACTTCTACTCAGGTATCAAGAAAGGATGGCAGAATTTGGGTCTGACCCTCGAGCAAAGGAACTTCTAGTCGAGGCCTACAAGACTCTCAGCGATCCCATACAAAGCGCCCTTTTCGACAGACGTAAATACTCAAAACTTGACCTCGTGACTATGACGTGATCTCCACCTTGATGAGAGACGAGGAAATCAGTTTGCTACACCACGTCAGCTGAGGTTTGCTCTACTACAACTACAAGGTGTAGTCGTTTAGCTTTTAGTCTACAACTTGTGAGAAGAATATCAATCAACACTGTCTGAATCTAAAGCCTCGTCGCACACTTCGGATAAACAGGGAATTCGTCAACGGAGGCGCGCAAGGTGCATATGGGTCTTGTTGCAAGGCACCTCCGAAGCATTGAACCGAAGATCGTTCCAGAAGTGCCCGCGGAGGCAGAGGTGGGCGATGAAGCGGCAGGAGCGTAACAACTTCGGGGTGTGTTTTTGTAGGGCTTCCTTTGACGTTTGAAGACGGGGAGTGCAGTGCAAGAGCCAAGAGAAAAGTCTGCAAGAACATGAAGGACTTTGGATCGATGTCTGCTGGGTCGTTTGCTGCGCACGAAAATCAAAAGTGAACTCAACTACACATGATGCGTTTCTTTAGCAGGTGACGAACTGCAACAATCTAGTGGCAGAGGAGGCCCGAAAGCCTCCGGTTGGTGGATTAATGCGTGTTCAACCAACTTCTCTACGAAAAAAGTGCAACACTTAGCATCTTTAGTTTCGTGTTGGTGTTCCATTTTCATTTAGTCACTTCTTGAATACGAATGGGAATGATGCTACTGTTCAGAATACGATGATCCATCTAGAGGAATAGCAAAGATGGAGCCAAGAACTGCTGCGGCTGGGGTGTCCGCATGGCACGTCTGGGCTTTTTTATGCTTCGCGGTTACAATGTGCAGTTCCGCTGGCGCAGTATTTCTGCTGATCCCAGAAGTGCCTCCGTTTCTCCGTGCCTCCTGGCGTTTATGGATGCAGTTTCTGTGTCAAGTGACGCCGTTCATCCTTGAGTTTCACTGGTATGGAGATGGTGGCGTACTAGTCGAAACGAATGGGGAAACGGGTGAGAAAAAAATGACGCCGTTGTGGAAGATGACGGCGGATGATGCGCAAAGAGCGTCCTCGCCAGAAGATGTTGAGCTCCACGATCAACCGTACAACATGAACGTGGAGGCATCCACCATCAAATCATCGGAGCAGGTGAAAACAAGGCCGCGGGTAAGCGAGCTATGGCAGTCTTACTTGAGTTGGATGTGTCTGAGTGGTGTTTTCCTCGGATTCCATTTTGCTTGCTGGGTTTGGTCTCTCGAACATACCAGCTTACTGCACTCGCTAATGTGCGTAACAAGCTATCCTCTATTTTTCCATCTTTGGCGCTGGTTTCTCTATGCGATGTCCCTGACAGGACTCTGTGGTCTGCGTGCATTGGATAAAACGCTGACGAAGATGAACTACACGAAAAATTGTGACAACGATTACTCCGGAGAGATTCAACGGGTGCCTAGTCTTCATGGACGTAGTGACGTGAAGAGCACAAGCGACGATTGCGAAATTCGGGACGCGGGCGACAAAGAGAACAAAGAGGCAGTAGTCTTAGGTGTCAGCAAAACTATGAGAAGTGCGCATGCTGCATCAATAGCAGAAGGTCCATTGACTTCTCCGGGAGGAATTCTATCGCGCTTTTCTACCTCTGGATCCCTGTTCCTGGAGTTTCGGAACGCTGTAATGTCGCAGCGGAACGCCGCTCCTGGCACTATGGAGTCTGCAGGGATCGCATTGAGCCTGTTGGGTGTCGCATGTTTGGTTCTCGGACCTAGTTTGGAAGGTGGTCACCACACGTCAGAAGGGGAGAAAGGGAACGCTGTGACGATCCATGGAGACTTGGTCGCGTGTGTCTCCGCCATATGCATGTGCATCTATCTCCTCATCGGGAAGCGCATGGTATCCTGGTGTCCACTCTTTCTCTACACGACACCTGTTGTCTTTTTCTCGGCGTTTACTTGTGCGTGTCTTTCTGCTGTGGCGGGTGAAGATATCACATTTTTCGCTGCTGGTGCAGAATCAGGATCAGGAGCAGCCAGCAAGAACACAGCAAGAGCTGCTTTTGTTATGGATCATACTCAGAGGACTAGGACACTTAATATGCGTTCTGTAAAGTCGTGTAGGGCATGATTTGCGTCCGACAATTAGAACTAGAGCGGAATTCCTTGATGAGAAAAGTGCTTCATTTCGAGATGATACAAATATTCATATTGATGAAAGAACTTCCTATGTTACGCTTACACTAGTAGACTGACATTGTCCCCACAAAAATGTTGACGGTTGCACCAACAACCAACGATTTCCAGCTTCATCTATCGCTTTTTCCAAGACTCCGACTATTTTTTCGCCGCTTTGTATCTCGGAGCCGCCGCGGGAGTGGGTGGACACACTGTCTTGAACTATGTCTTGGGCTACTTGTCTCCCATGGTCGTTTCGACAGCTCTATTGATGGAACCGGTGCTGGGCACTGCTATTGGTGTCGTGCTAGAAGTGACAAGTCCAAAAGTTGCGGAATGGGCAGCAGCGACACTGGCAGGGGTTCCAATTCTACTTGCTGGCCTCGTTCTCCTAGTCAAGTCCGAAAAGCCGTAGAGGGTCTAGAGGCTAGTAGCACCACATGGTACACCATGAACATGATGAAGCTGTGGCGGGAGTGGCCCTGGTGATGTCCGAAGCCGATGTGCAGTAATCGTCTGAGAAGCAGCTGAGGCTCAAACTCTAGAAGGTAGTTAGTAGCTCGTGTAACATCTACTTAGTAGTACTAGAGCCTTTCGGTCCAAAGCGTTCTTAACACCAAAGCAGACACCTACCTGCTCCAGTAGCGCAAACAACGACCACAGGAGCACTCTTCTAAGAGTAGAGGTTTTATCAGTCAGCTGTAGACTTGTCGGAGGTCGGACGAATACCGCAATAAGGGTCAGGCCGAAATGAGCTACAGCCTTTCATTTCGCCAGTGGTACCCCTCGTAAGTTTAATGATCTGCATCGAACGGCTGCATTATAATGTGCGTGGATGAAGCACAAGAGCGACCAGAGCGGCGCAAGCTGGTGTAGGCAGTTACTAGGGGGATATTATGCGACAATGCCAGAGCCAGACGAAAGCAATGCGACCAGATAGAAGCTTCACTAGTGCAAGCACGAAAATCGGTTAACAGTGACTCTCGCTGGTTATATCCGCTATCTCGTTCACTGCAGAGGCTGGCATCAAAGAGACAGCGCTCGAGTGGAGCTGAGCTTCTATCTATGAGAGTGCGAAGAATTATAGTGCTGACGTTCTCGAAGGAAAGGGCTTTCCAATTCACAATTGTTTGCACACTTCGTACTTCCCTCGTCGTGTTTTTTTTGTTCGACAAGTAAAGATTAATATTCTGAGACAGGAAATCATACGAAAAGTTGAAACGGACACTACTCCTCATCAAGGAGATCGATAAACGTGAAGCAATAGAATACAACTTGTTCTACCAATAGCAATGAATTATACTAGAGTCGATTCTACTTCACGTTCTCCTTCCTTTAGAAGTGAGGGCGATCAAGAGTGGTTTTGAATATGTAGAGCGGATGACCATGACGATGAGGATGAGCGTTAACGTTACAAAGGCTGTGTTCGTGTCTCGTTTGCGTGTAGTGTGGTGATTCCTTCATCGAGATCGAGAAACGATTATCCTGTGAGCTCTCTGCTACTTCGTGGCCACTGATAGCATCTGTCTCGTCTACAGTGCAGCGTTAACAACGAAAAGTACGGACCACGTTTGTTTATGTACTCGTTCTTTTTCATACTCTTCGCCAAGCAAAAGACTGGACTGTGAGGGACGAGTCGCAAATTTCTATCGAGTTTGAGGGAAAGAAAAAGTCAGCTCTACTCTAGGTTCATCTAGATGTTGACGTAAAAGCGAAACTATAGCAGTATTTCCGGGTTACCATCTCGCTTGATTTCAGTTTTGGTCCCTCTCGCGCTAGCGCTACCTATTCGACTTCGTTGATCGCAACTCCATGTGAGTAATTTTCTAATTCTATTCATTCATTTTCTGGACGACACTATCGCTATCCCATTGTGTTGAAATTTTCTTTGGACGGTGGAATTACTGCTCTTGTATTAATATTCTTAGTTTTTAAATTGAATTTGGCGGGTCACTCAAAAATAACTACAAGAAGAGGTATTTCTATTTGTTTTTTTCGCGGATTTTCAGACGAACGAACAAACTAGAAGGCTCAGGTAATCTGCATCCAAAAAAAGATGGCGAGTGTACAAAAAGAGTCGACCTTTGAAAAAAGGTCAGCCGAAGCAAGACGGATTCTGGCAAAATACCCCGATAGGATCCCGGTCATATGCGAGAAGGCGCCTCGTTCCGATCTCCCTGATATCGACAAGAAGAAGTTTCTCGTATTTCATCTACACACTTGTATTATTGATTCTTGATTCATTTGCGTTGAAGATGATGTATCATTATCATAGTGTCTAAGGCGCGTCTTATTCAGTACTAAGAGATCTAACTCGTGTATATTGATGTTGCTAGTACTATCCAAACCAACGACCGCAGCTAGTATCATGATTATTGTCGATACTGTCAAAATCACATCATCGCTTACGTCGACTAGCCGACTACCTTGTTTACTCGTGATGAAAATCTTTGCCTTGTATCCTGTAATTTCGCGGCAAGAAATCAGTTTTATGTATGTCCATCATTTTCCCGACAACCAGGTACCAGATACGATGTTGTGCGGCCAGTTCAAGTACATTATTCACAAGCACATAAATCAGTGTGCAACGACACAGAACCAGATAAGCGCGGATCAGACGATTTACCTGTTTGTGAACAACACTTCTCCGAAGACGGGGGCGCTCATGTCGGAAATCTACGACTCCTACAAGGCCGATGACGGCTTTCTCTACATCACCTACAGTGCAGAGAACACTCTGGGCTGATGACGAGGGCCTCGCACCAGGTCGCTGCTGCTGCAGCATGGAGGTACGACTAGAAGGAGGTCGTCTTGTTGAACATGGTCTACGCATCATCAAGAACTACAACTATGGGACTCTTACGAGGAAAGCAGATGCAGAAGACGAAGCATTTTTGGATCGAGAAGAAGAGGTTAGAGAAGGAACTACATACAGCTAAAGAAGAAGACATTGCGTTGCGGAAGCTTGAGCTGCAAAAAATACGGCCGTTGACGTTGAAGCCCTTCCCCTCTATCCTCCAGCGTTGTTGTGTACTAGAGGCATTTACATATCAAATCAACACTTGATACAAGAATCGTAAGGTAATGTCGTGATAGGTTGTATTTTGGCGATGAAATGGAAATAGTAATAAATAGATACATAAGCAGATGAAGAAAAAGAACGCGCACGATCTCCCCTTGAGCCCCTGAATACGCCATAACGGGGTGCAATTTACCCACTAGGATTGCGTTTTTGGTTCTAAATAGCTCGTCCTCTTTTGTCGGCACCTGCATGAAAGACCCTAACTTCTGCTTCTCGTTATCTCTTCATAACCTTATCTTCTCGATACAACTCGTTCGTCCTGCTTTTGAATGACAACCAAGGTAAATGTCAACAAGAACAACAACAGGAAGATTCAGATTGTCGATTTACAGATTCGCTGGCATTTTTGATTTTTTCTAAGATTCGCTCTCATCCTTAACCTTTTCTAACTAGCAACACCAACCACTAGTAGTAAGTAAGGTTTTGTCAACATCTCGTATTCGTCGTCAACAACCAAAGAAGCTCCACCAGCAAGAAATGTAGAACTTCTGAATTGTTAACACAAACTTTGCTGTCGTGAAGATCACGAGGTAATCAGTAGGTCAATGTTTTTCCTCAGCACCTCGAGTTGCTGGTGAACTTGATGCGAATTTCAATGGAAGAGAAGGAGCACGCTAAAGCCGGAAGATGGGGTGCTAATGAGACGGCTCCAAAACGATCAGGTCTAATCTGGACGTCACAATATGATAATTGATAACACGACGTGTTTTCGTTGTTCGCCACCGGCTGTTCATCTTCGGTCCTCGAAGCGATCGATTCCTGTGAAATACTGCTGGTGATGGAACCTGAGGATCTTCAACTGGTGTTATTCAACTGGACGAGGACCTCCAGTTATAGTGTTTGAGTTGCCACCAGGATCAAGATCTAGATCAATTTTTAGGATATTAAAGAGAAACTCGTGGCTTTTCCCCTTAGTATATCATATGTATGAGGCTGCGCAGCTGCAAATCTTGATTGGCTTTTGCCCGTAAAACGGGGTAAGGTTTAGGTCCAGCGACGCTCAAAGCACTAAATAAAACAGCCGGTTAGGCTTATATCCCACGCAGCAAGATATTAGAGAGAAAGAGTCTCACAGGTGAAGCCATATCATAACTTCGTGTTGTGAAGGGTAAAAAAATGAATGAGCGAAAACATTATTATCAGCTAGAATAAGAATAACAGTGCTGTATTGACTTCAACTGGGGCTTGTGAACACCGCGAGAAAAAGCACACTCGCATGAAGTTCTAAGTACTAGATTTGGTAGACGAACAACATCTAAAATTAACAAGTAGTAGCGCTAGAGGTTTAATATCGACAAGTTCATGTCGGTGCCTTATTTTTCGTCCAGAGCTAGGCTCGCAGTAACACGACTGAGCACAGCCCAACCTTCATCGCGAGGATTCCGCAAGAGCCTCTCAGCTTTCTCCTGTGCGGTGCTTGCTACCAACACATTCACTTCGCTCGTTTCAGGCAAGCGTGCTGCTTCCAAAAGCATGGCGTGGTTTGCAACGACAATTGACAACACGGAAGGTGCGGATCGTATCAAGAATGCGGTTCGAAAACTTTCCGGTTCGGGAGAGGCCAAAACCATCGATGTGCACATTCGACATGTGTATTCCTATTTTTGGTGGGACGGAAAGCTCGACGAGGCAGCGGAGCAACGACTAGAAGTTTCAGTGGATGAAAAGATTAAGGCTCGAAAAACCACCAGCACCAATGTCTCTCGTAAGTTGACTTCTGGAGGAGCTGTGAAGAAGCGATGATTGTCAAGGCAACATTCCTCTACTGGCTTCTAACTTGGTAGACGAAAAGTTTTAGGATGTAGTCGTGTGTTGTAAAGCGAGCTATTATGATCTTTCGTGTTCATCAGTCATCACCACAACCACTAGTCACTCGACGTAGACATCATCTGCTCTAAGAGCAACAGTGAAGGCACAGCGCCTCTTGTTGAGCAGACGATTGTGCGTGAACATTCAGACGACGTGCCGATGCTGCTTTCTAAGCGTGGATGGAACGAAATGCCGAGTTTTCCTTGTTACCAGCTCACTTTCCGAAAAAGTCTAGATGACAAGGAAAGTGCGGACGAAGCAGTGCGACAACTCGACTTGCAAAAAGCCGGCCGTGAAGTAGTGTCTCGGAGACAAGCAGGGTGCGCTCAATTCGAGCGGGAAAGACAGACGCTTTTTGTGAAAACCACAGCACAGCGCAAGGAAGAAGCCAAAAAGTTAAGGCCACATTTTTGGATGATGGAACAAGAACAAATATCCAAGAAACTTTTATTTTGAGTGTAACAACTATTTTTTGTTTCACCCGCCATCAACATGCACAAAATAGTAGCGCTTGGTACAACGTACATCTACAAGCTTTTTTCGTCTTTCCTTACACACAAGTGCAAGATTTGACATATTACAGGTGAAGATGTAGGAGGGAGACGACTAGATGAGGGGCTTCTTCTTCCTCTTCTTCTAACAAACACCATCGCAGACATGCCCGGAGGCACCAAACTCCACGTGGAGGAGACTCTCGTAAACGCCAACGAAGACTATTGGAAGTGGCTAGAAGAGCAAACAGAATCAGGGTCTTTCTCTGTGAGCGGTGCCGATTCTAAAGAGAAGAAAGACGATGAGAGCGTGGAAAATTCGAAAGAGGAAACTACCAGAGAGCTTTAAGGTGCGAGCGAATTTTGCAAAGGGGGTCGTTAGCGGTACGCAAGGAGTCAATACCGAAGCGCAAGCTTCTATCGAAATGGAAGATAGCGAAAGCGAAACAAATCTGCCCGAAAGATACGGGCTTTTGGATTGGGGTTTCTCCAGACAAAAGCTGTGCCCCTAGCTCTCCTACTATGCCGTGTAGTTCTCCTCGATGATTCCGCAACCGCACGATCTTCAAACTATGATCAGAAAGATCAAGATGTTGCTGTTGGCCATCCACTTCCCACGTTGGAGGTGATTTCGACGTCAACTAAAGCTATCGAGAAAGGAATGACTCACGAGCCCATCCCCCTTTATAGTAGACCTCCAATTCTTTGTGACACGTACCAAGATCATCACGTTAATACTGCTGCCTCGTTGGTTTACAACTTCAGAGATCGACGTGCATAAGTCAAATAGAATTATGTTCGATTCACGATTATCTGAGTAGCAGGAGGCCTGAAGACCACGCACTAAGTAAGTACGTATGTAGTGTGGACCAGCCTTGTTGCCCGAATATTAAGATTAAGGGCCGACAAGTTCGTCTCGCTGAGTGCGCGTGTTGTAAAAATACATGCCCAGAAAGCGGGCCCGTCAAGGGCCCGCTGCGCCGGGCATAGGTTAGCAACTAGACAGATAAGACTAGTACCAGTACGACGCAAGCCCCTAAGTCACCAGACCAAGCTAGCGACGCACGGCTGGTTCAGAGTGGACTATCGTGGACGCCCCTCATGGCTAAGCAAGCGGGGTCAGCTGTCGCTGTCTTGTGGCTAAGATAGCAAGGCTAAGCTAGCGAGCTAGCCAACATGAGGGTAAAAAGAGGCTGGCTCTGGCTGCCGGGCTAAGCTAACAGGGTGGCCTGCCATGCATGGCCAAGCTAGCTAGCAAGCTGGCCATGGTTAAGAAAGCAGCTACTGAGCTAGGTCTCGCAAGGGAAGCAGCTACCGAGCTAGCTATGGCTACGCAGCTAGTAGTAAGCTAGCTATGACCAAGCAGCTAGCAAGCTAGCCACCATGGCCACGTAGCTAAGTAGCTTGCTCGAGCAGCTACCTAGTAAGCTCGCTAGCTATGGCGCAGAAGCTAGCAGGCTAGCTATGCCTAAGCAGCCAGCAAGCTAGCTATGGCTAAGCAGCTAGCTACATGCCATATCTATGGCCAAGCAGTTGCCTTAGCCTTGCTAGCTAGCTATGTATAGCTAAGCAGATAGCAGGCTAGCTATGGCTAAGCAGCTAGCTACATGCCATATCTATGGCCAAGCAGTTGCCTTAGCCTTGCTAGCTAGCTATGTATAGCTAAGCAGATAGCAGGCTAGCTATGGCTAAGCAGCTAGCGGGCTAGCTACGGCTAACCTAGCCAGGTAGCTACGGGGAAGGGGTAAGCAAGCAAGCTGGCCGTGGCTAAGCTAGCAAGCTAAGGCCCCCATGAAGTGGCGGCGGCCCTTAAGGGAGGGCTTATTATTAGCCTAAGTCTATTACTATTACAGTTACTCCTTAAGGAGCCTCCTTGAGGACCATCTACTTCGTGTCTTAAGGAAAACTTATATAGAAGTGACTTTTTATAATAGAAACCCCTTGAAAAGGAATCCCATTTCCTTAAAGAAGCCCCTTAAATCTAAAGGAGGCTCTTCAGAATTTTAGGCCCATTGCTAACGCTATAAATACTAATATCTGACGGCGTGCTTGCTGTTCTAATTGCTGGAAGAATCCTCCTCGGTTTCGGTTAGTACAAGAAAGAGGGGTTGGCCATCGGTCTCGCAAACAGAGAAAGTATTGTACTGATCTGCTCCACCTTCGCCTGATGAGGTCGGTGCGTTGGCTTAAAAAAATCGGTCCATGTCCATCGTCGCAGAAAAACACCAAAAAACACAAGCTGTGCGTCGGTATCTGCCCGAGCAACCGTAAATTTAACGACATTCTCTGGATTCCCCGAAAAAAACGACTCCACCCGCGGGATCCGCAAATTTCCTGGTGTAGTCCCGTAGTACAGAAGAGGTTCTAATGAATGAGCAATATAAATATTGTGTGCCTTCAGCTCCAACTTGCACATTCAATTCTGAAAAAGGAAGGAACCAATACAAAAGCAAAAATTAGTGTTAATGAAGTGGGTAAGTAAAATAACGACATGGTAACAAAATATCTTCATCTTGTGACATTCATAAGCTCTATCATCTCACCCCTCACGGTGACAGAGGTACGTGGAGATCCTTACTAATCTTGGTTGGAGAAGATTGTACCATCCCACATATCCCTTCTTCATCTAGGAGCGATAGTTATTAGGTGGATCTAGGTCGTGATGATTATTTGCTTGGATTACAATGAGTATAATGCAGTTGTTGCTGTTGAGGAATATCTTCGATACTGATCGTTATTTCAAGTCTCATCTCCCACTCCCATCGATTTTGATAGATAAGCAAGCATCTGAATCTTCTCTTAAATTTACTAACTAGGTTGTCGGATCATCTATTTTGGGGTCTACGCTAAGCACTTCGACTGCAGCAGCAATGTTAGTTTGTTTTACGAGGAAGAACACTTAGATTTACGCGCTATGCCTACGATCCCATTTCGTGCCTGAGTATTTGAGTTTGCCCTACCTTGAGCTACAAATGTTTATGTTTTTTTCTCAGTCTACTTATACTAATACTTATTGTTATTTCTTGTATGAAAGATTATTCTTCTGCGATGGAATACATGGGACGTAAATTTTGAGGAGAATGAAAGCTCTAGCTCATGAAAATGAGGAGTCGTTGCGTCCGACATTCTGACAATGAGGTTAATAAGGAGCTTTCCTGGAGTTCTTTTTCGCCCCGAACCCGAGAGGACGAGGTCGTGCGTCGACATTTTCCAGATGGTGCCGATGTCGACGCTCCGCATCATGGTGGAGGTGCCGCTGACTGCCCTTCCGGAGTTTTCTTATTCTTATGGCTACTATAAGTGTTTTTGATAGATTATTTTGTGGATGAAGGAGATCAAGATCATTTCGATGTTTTCTGTTCGTTTTTCACGCTGCACTGATGCCCTGCGGCTTCAAAGCCTATTCCTAATGCTTCAAGTACATCGTCTATCTGTAGCTTGATAAGTATCTATTTAAGGTTCTTGTACTTAAGTTTTTGCGCGGTACTTCTTACTTTCATCATCCCTTATCTCTAACGTTCGTTAAAGATGCACTCTCTCCACGCTCGGAGTCGGAGAAATCTGACAGTGCAAGCAGAACAATTATGGAATTTTGCTTTTGATGATGATGTTCACCAACATCCAGCCTGGAGTAAGTATTCTGAGCGGATGAAGAAAGCCGGATCTTGTAAGTGTAACACACGCTTTCCTCCATCTTGACTAGAAGAAACTGAGTAGTAGAATAATGGAAGAGGAAAACGACTGTAGCGAATGAATACTTCTCGAAGTAGCAGTCTGAACTTCAGAAAGATTTCAGCCTCTGCTGATCATTTCGCAGAAGGCATAAATCACTCAGGTCTTGTTCAGGCCGATGTAAAACTAAGTAGCGCTAAGCAACCGCAGAATGCTTCGACAGGTCTCCAGAAGAAAAAGAAACAACAAACGGCAGTGCAGGAGTGGACGCAGGGTGGGCAAATTACTGCAGCTGCGGCAGACGAATCACGTTCAGGAGCGTTTGTTTTTGCGTCGCTTCTGCGGCAGGACTCGGAAACGGAATTAAGATAACGGCACCTGCACTTCTACAATTCGTTAGGGAGAAGTTGAAGATCTTCTGCCTTGTTTTGCGAAGCATCCTCTCCTCTCTGTCTTACATTTTGCATTTGTGCGTGCGTGGTTGTTTTAGTTGTAGTAGATTTGTTAAAAAACCCAATTCTTACTAATGAAGACATGGACAACGTTTGGCTTATTTTGTTAACAAACAGAAGGTACTGCAATTTACATACTAATATTATACGCCAATAGCCAGTTGAGATGTGATTTCATTTTATGACTGCAAGAAGATCCCACGCTTGCCTTAGCAACTGTGGCGTGCGCCAGTTTCGACTGCTGCACAAATTCCATCGTCATAGACTCAAACTACGAGTGGGAGTGGAAAGAAGAATGTTGAACGAAAGACATAAAGAGCCTACAAGATCTTCTCTGACAATCGGGCACTGTTTCCTCAGATAAGATCTGTTCCAGTTTTCTTTTCTTCCTCTGAAAAGAGCAAACTGAGAAGAATAATCGGACCCTACCCTCTCCATCACCTCCAAATCTCATCCTCGAAGTTAAGGCTGCAATAGATAAATAAGGAAGCTGCTGATCGTCACCACTTGGATTCCGCCTAAGCCGCAAGTCGATCTATGCAAGAACGTTCCGCGTGAACGCATGAACGCTATCCCAGTGGCGCCGTTTGCCGATGTTTGGCTGTGGACAGAAGAAAGAGAGAGCCTCGTGGTGGACCCTGAAGAAAGCAGTATCACAGAAGCCCTCACATCTGTCTTCGAAGAAGAAGAGAAGACGACACCGGGGCAAATACGACGACGAGTAGCAAGCTATTGCAGAGCACCGGAGGAACATGGTGCAAAAGCAAAGAGGAGAGCAGGAAGCTGCAGAAAGAGAACAATAGGTAGAATTACGCTTGGAGGTGCCTTGTCGTGAGGGAGCACTCCTCTTACTCACTTCTTCCGTTCACTGGAAAGCGGGATGGTTGTGCTTAGCTTTCGTCAGATCGGCAGTGCACCTTTTGGAACTATTGTGAAGCCGGCTGTTCATTTGCTCATCAGACGAGGGACGGGCGCAATGTTCCCGAGTCTTCAGGGAAGCCTGCTAGTACTAGTAGATAGAGACAACAGCTCCATGACCCCATGCGAACTTACTTAGCGCAGGCATTCTTACTGAAGCTCGAAGCCAGTTCTGGCGAGCTTGTAGCTACCGGGAAGTCTTGGGGGCCGGACTGGGAGACTAGCTCCTGGTCTTAGGTCTTGCTCGGTCCCTTGACCCTCAAATTGACTCACTTGACAATAGGGACCGTTGAGAAGTCTGACTTTTTCTTTACTTAACAGGGACCGACGAATAATGTTATTCAGGGTGGGTTAACATTCGTGCTGCTCCGAATGATGTATTGTTCCAATCCATGTTGAGCGAATCGCTGCGCGGATTTATCATAGTCTTACTGTTATCTCGTATGGTGCAGACGCTGTGTAGCCTCGTCCACATGCACTGGATCCGTTACCTAGCCTCTATTCTCTGTCTGTGGTGTAGTAGCTGTTGCTTCTCCTACTCCTTCCACCGTGTGAAGAATATGGTTTATCAATGTACTAGTACTTAAGTACGCAGTCATGTACCACGAGTTGGAACAAGCAGTTCTAGTACGGCTACGTAGTGTGGTTGTAGGAAAGATGAGCTGGTCTATGGAGTGTGCCGTTTTCTCGCTGATAATTCTATGGTATGCATACATATACAACAAACAGAAAAAAGCAAGAAAGTGTTTATGCAGCACCGCACAGATGATTATGTTTATGATGTTGCAGGAAGAAGTAGAGTAGTGTAGTCTGTTAAACCCCTGGAGTGGGTACATTCATTCACTCACTCGCTCACTCATGTAGCTCTAACAGATTCCAGCCGACCTCGGGATGCTGAAGAACAGATATATTCAGGCCGGGTAAGAAATTCGGCCTCAACATCAGATGGAGGTGAGGAGCGCAGAATGCCCTCGTCGCGCCCTTCTGCTGGCTATTTGGAGGATGCTGCTGGAAGGACGAAGACAAAGATAAAGAAGACGAGGGAAAAAGAAGACAAAGCTAGAGAGACAGGAGCTGCGCCGTCGTTCGGTGATGCATCATCAGCACTTGCACGACGCGATCAAAAACGTGAAGATGACGAAGAACAGATATATTCGGGCCGAGCCAGAAATTCGGCGTCATCATCAGATGGAGGCGAGGAGCGCAGAATGCCCTCGGCGCGACCTTCTGCTGGCTATTTGGAGGATGTTGCTGGAGGGACGGCAAAGATAAAGAAGAAGAGGGAAAAAAGAGACAAAGCTAGTGAGACAGGAGCCCCGCTGTCATTCGGGGATGTATCATCAGCACTTGTGCGACGCGATCAGGATCAAGAACATGAAGGTGATGAAGAACAGATATATTCAGGCCGAGCAAGAAATTCGGCGTCATCATCAGATGGAGGCGAGGAGCGCAGAATGCCCTCGGCGCGACCTTCTGCTGGCTATTTGGAGGATGTTGCTGGAGGGACGACGACAAAGATAAAGAAGAAGAGGGAAAAAAGAGACAAAGCTAGTGAGACAGGAGCCCCGCTGTCATTCGGGGATGTATCATCAGCACTTGTGCGACGCGATCAGGATCAAGAACATGAAGGTGATGAAGAACAGATATATTCAGGCCGAGCAAGAAATTCGGCGTCATCATCAGATGGAGGAGGGGAGCGTGAAATGGCCTCGCAGCGCCCTTCTGTTGGGTATGTGGAGGATGCTGGAAGAAAGTCGAAGATGAAGAAGAAGCAAAAAAAAATCGAGACTAAGGAGACGCGTCTAGGTGCACCGCTTACTCATCGTCATCCAGCAGGAAGCAATATCGCATCAGCTACATCATCGCAAGCGCGAAAACGAGATGAGAACTTTAGAACGTCACTTAGTGCACTACAAGACGACGACAACGACGATGACCACGAGGTGGAGAGAGGCAAACTGTTGCTCATTAGTGGCAAGAAATTCGTCAGCACACCCGGTCCCGCAGATCATGATCAAGGCGAAGAAGGGGCGCTGCCCTTTGTTGACACAACACCAGTGCCGGACGCGTCTGGGAGGACGATCGATGTGCAGTGCATGCTGCGACTTCTGAACTTTTTCCTCTCTTCGCTTCTGATGTGGGGTATATGTGCGGTAGTAGCTGTCCATTTGATGGGAACACGAGAGAACCTGGTCTTTCACAAGTGGCTTCGTAACGCTGCGATAGCAGCGAAACTTAAGAGGGAGGCCGTTGAGACTTATGCGAACACGAGGGACTCGCTAGTTGTAGTTGTATTCCAAGATAAGTAAGTAGAACCTGGTAGACAAATGTTGATTTGTATCTTCTGGAGATCGCGATGAAAATACAACAACTAAAGAAAATGTTAAGATATAGTTAGTACACGACCGTCGACCGAAGAAGATGATAAGCTAATTCCCTTCGCCAGTCTACTATTCAGTGCAGGTCGTGTAAAGTTTCATTGTTGATTGGTTCATTCGTACTTAAGCTTTTCGAGCAGCAAAATATTTTTGATACTGCGACCGCCGCCGATTGTTGGAATAAGAAGCGAACACCGAATGAAAAAGCGGCCAGTCTCTGCTCCATTCTGTTGATTAGGTCCCCACCCCCCCCACCCCGCCCACTGCCATCCACTTTTCATTTCTCAGCGTCCATAGAAGCTCTGTTAACGAAGTTGCGAGTGCACGCGCACAGCCGGCTTTCAGACGTGATGACCGTTCTGCCTGAAGCGGTTGCGAGGGACCTAAACAAGGAACGACTTTCAGTACTATCCGCCATGCTATTAGATCCACTAAAAACTACTTTCCTCAATTTGTTTGAAGATATATACTAGCTTCCACAAGCTTCGCCCGGCGTCAAGTTCAGCACTTTCCTGTCTCCCACGGGCTACAGCCGCTCGAGTAGAGACAGCCCGCGGGTGAGCTGTTGCACTCTACGAATTGACTACGACACGAGCCACGTGCCGGCGCTGGCCGACTCAGATGCGCCGACTCATGGGCAGGGCTTTGCGCTGCCTTCGTTTTTTTATGGGACTGCCGGGGAGATCTTGCAAATTCTGAAGAATTTGCAAGACCTTGACGGCAGTCGAACAAAAAACCAGAAGAGAGCCACCAGACACGCACAAGAATCCGCAGGCCCCAACGCGCGCAGACGCCTCGTGGTGGCACCAGGAAAGAACGGGGGGCGACCTTGACGGGCCAAACAAGAAAAAGCAACGCGTGGCCGCGCTGCTTGGGTCTCTCTACGCGCTTACACCTGGCGGGGCTTCTTCTTTGCTTCGTCTGACGTCTTTCGTCAGGAACAGACGCGCGCTCTTCGCGGGTTCGTGGGGCGTCGCGCTTCGGGCTGGGGCCGACGCCTCTCTGCGAGCTGACGTCTTTCGCCGGGCTGACATCTTACTTTCGCCAGGGTGGAGACTGAGGCCCTTCGTCAGACTGATGCCTTTCGTCAGGCCAACGCGCTGCGCCGGGCTGGCGGCTTTCGTCGGGCTGGGGCAGGCTGGCGCCTTGCGGCAGACGTCTTGGGCCAGGCTGAGGCTTTTCGTCGGCAGAGCGTCTCTCGTCAGGCTGGCGCCTTTCGTCAGAGAGACTGAGGAAGCACTTCTTTCGCTTGGCCGACATTTTCCGCCGGGCCGGCCAAGGTTCGCCCTCACCTTTGGTCAAGTTGATGGCTTTCTTGTGCTTGGCGCTTTTCGTCAGACTGATGCACTGACCAGCCAGGTGACCACGCCCCTCGCCAGGCCGGCGCACTACTTCGCCAGGCGTCTGCCCTGCGTCAGAACAGGCTCCCCTGGGCGGCGATTTTCTTCGGGTTGCGGTTGTCTTTTGTCAAATTGATTCCGTTCGTCGGACTGGTCTGACGTCTATCGCCAGACTGACCTCCTTCGTCGGACGGTGACTGGCGTCCTTCGTCGGAGGTCTTCCGCTTCTCTATCGTCAAGGGCCTATCGCGCCAGGTCGTCTTTCGTCAGTTTTTCTGGCAGAGGTCGTTCGCCGGCTCTACTCGATGTCTGTCGTCGGAGGTCTCCCTCATGTCAGAGGTCTTTCGTCAAAGGTCTCCTGCCAAAGGTTTAGGTCTTTTGCCAGTTGGCATTTGTCACAGGTCTTTTCTCGACGGTCTTTCGACAAAGGTCTTGCGCCAAAGGTCTTGCGTCAAAGGTCTTGCGTCAAAGGTCTTGCGCCAGAGGTCTCTGGTCAGAGGTCTCTGCTTAAAGGTCTGTCTCTTGCCAGGGGTCTCTTGTCGAAGGTCTCTCGTCAGAGGTCTCTCGTCAAAGATCTCCCTTCAGAGGTCTTGCATTGGAGGCCTTTCGTCGGCTGTTTCTCTTCGGACTTCTCTCCCCAGCTTGCGCCCCTACCCCCGTCGGGCATTTTTCTGTCTTCTTTTCTGGTTGTCTGCCACGGGGCCGCAGCGTAAGCCCCAACGTGAAAAGAAACGGTCGGAGGCTGTCAGGCTTTGAGATTGAGGGGAAGGGGCCGGAGGCTATGGGCAATAGCGATAGCCTCGCGGAAGAAGCTGACTGATCACCGACGGGGTAGGGGGAGAGCTTTGCGGCGCTGGTGTGATCACTGGGCTGATTATTTAAGCTAGATTAATAGGCTAGCTTAATGGCTTGGGGTTGGGTTAATAGTATATGTTAATAACGGGGTAGGCGGAGAGTTTTGTGGCGGTGATCAGTGGGCTGATTAATCTAGATTAATCCTCTAGATTAATAAACTAGGTTAATAGTATAAGTTTAGACCAAATTTTTTGCAATTGACTTTTAGCAATTGTCTGATCTCATCATAGGACAGCAACAGGGTAAGGGTGTGGCCTTGGGGGGCTCATCGTGCAGGGCTCATGACCTAACCCAGCCCCAGGGAAAGGCTGGAGACCACCGCGGCGATGTGAAAGATGGGCGCGAGATCTTCGCGACAAGTTGCCCCGGGCTGGAGCTGGTCTGCGTTGTCTCTGTGTTTTCAAGGATGGAAATCGCGCGGGCGCGGCCTCGGGTGCTTTGTCTTTGTGTTGTGTTCCTCTGTCCTTTTCCTTAACAGTCCCGGCGCCAGGTGGCTGCGGACCGCCCGCACGTCATTCGCATCGGCGCCGCCTGGTATGCAGCCGCGGCACGCCTGTGCAAGCTCCTCGAGGTGTAGAGAACCTGGGCGGAGAACAGAGGAAACGCAGGCGGGAAGCAGTGGCAAAGCGGGGCGGCGTTGGCCACCTTTCTGCGTGCTGCGTGCCTGGGCTTGGGGTGGCTCTTCGTTTTTTTTCTATGTAAAAAAAAAACCTTGGCAAAAAGTTTGCGAAATCTTTCAAAAGCAAGGATGGAATCTCTGCGGAATCTTTCTGAAAAGATAGGCGCATGAAGTTCCAACATTGTCAAAACTTTCCAACTTTCTGCAAACATTCTGCGAAGATTCTGAAGCATTCGCCTTCCATGTTTTTCCGATGAAGACACGGAGGCGGATCGCTACGAACAAACTCGCAACAATTTGCAACGGGACCGCATAAGGCTCCGCGCTTTCTGTTTCTGGACTCTCTCCGGGCTTCCTTTCTTTGGAGGCTTCTGGCGTTGTGCATTCGTTGGGGAGTTTGGCTTTGGTGCGTGGCTGCGCCGCAGGCTGGTTCGTCGGCTTGTGATGCTCTCCTTCGGCGCAGTGGTTGGCTTGTTCGTGTGTGGGTTGTGTCGGTTTTGTTTTCGGGGCTCTTGTTGGCTCTGTGTTAATGAGTATGAGGCAAGGACAAGGGCCGCGCGCGTGAGCGTCGGCAACTTTCCGCCAAGATTTTCCGCCGCCCATCCATCGGCGACTGTCGGGCCGCGCCGGTGTTCTCCAAGAAAGGGCGGCTGGTTGAGTATGATAAATTAATCCTAGACGTAGTAGATCTAGATAACAACTAAAAGTATAAAATATTTAGTATGATAAATTAGTACTAGATAACAAGTTTACTTAAGTAAGCTATTTAACGTTAAAAGACATTGTGTAATTAACAACTTACTACAGCTTCTGTTGATCTTGATAATCTTCAGCATGATGATGAGTTTCTTTCGTTAATCGAGTACTTAATTTGATTTAGATAGATTGACCCTATTTTTTATCATTAAGGCTTCCCCTTAATTATCCATCTTCGGAAGTATCGCAGAGACGTTTTCAAGAGGGCAACGGTCTGGGGGTGCGTCTCAAGATGCATAAGGGTGAGCTCAAGCTCTAAAGTCATCATATGATTTTTATTTGTTTTCGTTCATCGTCGATTAGTACATTTACAACGAACTGTGAGGTCGTTGAGGTGGACATCAGGAGCTGCTATTGCTTATATTTGCTCGCTTGATGGTGCTGGTAGTTGGAGTACTTCTACGGAGTGGTCAGAAACTAGTAGCATCTTCGGTCAACATGCATTTCCATCATATTCCTCTTCGCGTTCGCCTTCGCTGTTCATTCTCGCGCCTAAGGCTACACGCATCCTCAACTCCAGGAACGAGAAAAAAATGAGAAAGTGTCCAGCGGAGGAGACAGGAGAACTAAATGGCTCAGCATTTTCTCTGACATAGCAAACACGCCGTTCTTAAGGCCTAAGCAATTCCATCTTTCTGAATATATACGCATTTCTTGGTGTCGTTCGATATTCTAAATATGCAACCCTTGTTTAGTTTTTTAGGAATCTTGTTCTTTTGATATTTTCAAACCGCTGAGGACACAAGGACAACAAGCAGTACCAAGATGCTTCTGAGTAAAAAGATGGACTTGCTGAGTAGTTAGGTCTAACTCACGAAAATTCCCGTGGTTGGTCTGTCTATGCCTTCACTGTCTTCAGTCCAGGGACTGAAGAAGGACGCATAACGGTTTGAATTTGATGATTTTCATCCTTTTACACACTCACTGTCATAATTGTATTTTGAGTTTGATATAATTGAGGCCATGTATTAGTACTAGTACTACTTAGTACTATCTATGAGCATAACAAATGATGCTAGGGCTTCCCTGCTGAATTTTGATTTTATTACCCATGTTTCTGGTTCTTCTTTTTCCTTAAGTAAGAGCAACAGATATACGACACTTGTTTCATTTGCAGCAGCGGCTGTTGAAGTCTAGAAGAGGTAGATGCTGTTGTTCTGTACAGCTCAGTAGTGTGATTGGTTAATTTGATATCGTCTAGTCTTTATAGAATTTGATAGCTCAACCTAAATCTGAAACAATAAAACAAGTTGTAAATAAAGGAGCAGCTATCGGCTTCGGGCTAGTCGTGCTTCATCATCATTAAACTTACTAGACTTGAGCGACCGGTAGCACTTCTCCCACTAGGATCATTCACCCCAAGCACGCACTTCCCCAACCCCAGCGCGATCCTGCTTCCCCGGCTCCTTCTCCGCCCGCCAACCGTCTGGCGGCGTTGATCGTTGGGGCGAGAGCTGTCCGGGGGACGGCGTGCGGCCATTGATTAAAAAGGCACAGACTGAAGCCGTTGGCTTGTCGGTGTGCTCTTCTTTTGGTAGGTTTGGCCATGTTTGCGTGCAAGTTGCAGCGCTCGGGCGGGCAATTTGTCGAGGTTCCGCCTCTTCTTGTGATGCGCCCAGTCAATGCCAAAAACTTTGGGTTGGGATTCTCATTCACGTTTCGTTTTTATTGGCTAGAGCCAACTCAAACGCTTTGGGCTTCCAGTCTCAAGTTTGAAACTTTAGGACATTGAAGCGCAGCCTTTGATCTTAAGCGTCCGGCTTTGGGCTTTTGCCCTGGGGCTTTCAGCTTCGCGCTTTCGGTTTTGAGCTTTCAGCCTTGCCTTCTAAGTCTTAAGCCTTCATCTTTCAGCTTTGGCGGGCTCTCGGCTTTGCGTTTTCAACTTTGAACTTTGCAAGTTCAATTTTGGGTTTTGAGTTTTCGACTTTGAACTTTCAGCTTTGGGCTTTCAACTGAACTTTGGGCCTTCAGCTTTGGGCCTTCGACTTTGCGTCTTCAGCTTTGAGCCTTCAGGCGTGGGCTTTCTTCAGCTTGGCACTTTATAAGGCTCAAAGCTAGCCAATTCTTGGGCCATTTTTCTACTATTTTTTTGAGTGCAAATCGTAAAAATTTTGATTATATCGCGTAGATTTTGAATTTAGCGCCCATCAATCTGCGCGGAGTCAGGGCTAACCAATTCCCCGGCCTTTTTTCGGAGAGTTTGATTGGCTGGAAAGCTTGGGGCTTGGGATGTTTGGAATTTTTGAAATGTTTGAAGTGTTTGGAATGTTTGGAAAGTTCAGAAAGTTCATGAGTCAGAAGTGGAAGAGTTTTGGGTTCGGAGGTGGAAGGCTAAGAGTTTGGCGGGGTCGTTGTTGTTTTTTGATTTAGCTCTTTAGTACTAACCTGGAGCGCCCGACATCAACACCCCCTCGCACTGGGATCCCCCTCCTCCCGAAGTAACCCACGGAGCGCTAAGCGTGCCTGGAGTTCAATTTCTTGGATTTGAATCGCCCAAATCCAAAAGTTTTCGACTTTAGCGAGTTTTTTCTGAAATTCAATTTCTTGGGTTTGAATTTCTCAAACCTAGAAACTTACGACTTTAGCAAATTTTTCCTGACCTTGGCACTCAATTGCTTGGATTTGAGAACCCAAATCCAAAGGCTTTCGACTTTAGCAAGCTTCTCGGAGATTCACCCTCTTGGATTTTGATTGCTCAAGTCTAAAGATTTTCGATTTGCGCGAGCCTCGCAGGGATTCACTTCTTTGGATTTGAATTCCTCAAATCCCGGGATTTTTGATTTTGGCAAGTAGCTTCTCTGAAGTTCATTTCTTTGGATTTGATTCGCAAGCCCATAAGTTCGGAAGTTCAGAAGTTCGCAAGTTCAGAAGTTTGGGAGTTCATGAGTTCAAATTTGAAAGAGTGAGAGTTTGGGGCTTGGAAGTGGGAGAGTGAGACTTTGGCGGGGTCGCTGTTGTTTTTTGGTTCAGCTCTTTAATATTGTGATAGAGTTGCCATTGGCCTGGGGCTGGGCTCTTGTTGTGGGAGTTCACTTCTGTTGCCTGCCATTTTGCTTCTAATTATGTAACAGACACGTTTAACTGATTTAAAGGGCGGCGGCATATAGTTGTCATGCCTCAAACAAAAAAAAAATCTACTCTTTAGGTTCTCTACAGAAGTCGAATGCACGGCTTCTCCGATAGGTGTAGATTTGTGTCCGATTGTCCGGCCTTGTGCGCCCCCAGTATGTAACTTGGATGATCTTATATAGGTTAATTAATTGTTTGAAAGGGCGGCGGCATATAGTCCTAACGCAAAAAAAAACAAACTACGGTGGGCGAGAAAGGCCATAAATAAAGGGACACCCACATGACATGGGGCTGGGCGCTCGTAGCTTCATCAACACTAAAATTCTACCAGGCGCGTTTGTATTTGGTGCTTCTTCTATTGTGCTGTGCGATTCGAAGATTCGCAGGAGGTGGGAGTCATTATGGCTGAACTTGAATAAAATTGTAACTATGAATGTTGTATATGCTTGTCTACTTCATCATCAACAGGCTGTCCTCGCTGTCCTTGTCTTACATCTGAAAACTAAGAAATAAACTGTGGAAAAATTTTTGAACAATATGTGCTTGTACAAGGATATTATGGTCGGCCTAAAATGCTTCGCATATTATAACATAAAATATTGATTGAACTTGAAGTGGATTTTCTTCTTGGGACAACGAACCCGGGATCATGACCTGGACAAACTCGACGAGTCTAACTTTACCGACGCTGTTGTGGTTGTGCAACGCCGAGGCCGCCCAGACGAGATTTCGACACATCCTCAGGGATGATGTACTCAGGTAGCATCTGCATTCTTATGGCAGAATCACTTACTTGACTCGGTAGGTCAGATCGGAGCCACCTACGCGACGCATGACTTGACTTTTACTTTGCCATATGATGATCCTACAAGAAAAAAGTCGACAGGAGATAAGAGGTGATGACCACTAGACCTAGAAGAAGAAAATGATCATAAATAATCAGGACATGGATTCCATGTAGAGCGTCATGTTCACGATTCTCCTCAGTGCCTCTAACGTTTTCGCGAGTACCGTCATGGGCTTGAGTCTTCTGCGGCTTAGCCTGTTCAATCAGAAGTGGGAGCCTCTTGAAAAGTATGGCCCTGAGTGGAGTCCGGCATATTATACGCGGTAATTTTTGCAGATCTATCCTATCTTTTCTTTCTTTATTCTTAATGCTAGCTTAGAATCAATTCGCATTTCCATTTTCATGATGTGAAATTTATTTGTACTAACAAAAGGCACAGGTACAGCGTTGCATTCTCAAGAAGTAATACATATGATAAGATAATGAAAGCGCCCACGGCCACCTTCCACTTTCACGCAGCTCGTGGTAGAGCAGTAAAATGAGCAAAGGCTATTTGTAGAGAATAAATTGTGAAGCGCAAGCCAACTACTCTATCTCTTTTTGATAAGAATCAATGTGATAAATTCATTTTCATCAATGAAGAGTGAGTATGATCTTAGATGTACTCCTTGGGGCGTTTTGCCTGCGCTCTTGTCGGAACCTCGTGTGAAGACTTAGCAGAGGCACCCTATCCTTATATCCTATCCTATGCTTTTGTTCATGTTCAGGCTTTTCGCATTCGAAGTACCATTGCAACTCTTTTGCGGTCTTGTGATCCTGTTCACTGTCGTTGGCGTCTTCAAGGACAAGATTCACCCACAGAAAAATCGACATCGACTTGAACCAAGAACATCTGAATCAGTTTATGGTACAGAGGTTTTGAGAATTATTGTACAATCGGTATCGTGTATCTATTGTACTAATAGATACAACCGTGTATCTTCAAGTCTGTATTCAATCCATGATATCATCGATCTCGCCTGGCGCTGCTTATGTCCTGCTATTCTAAGCCTAGATACGCTTATCTCCCCTCTAACCAACATTGGGCGCTAAGCGGGATCTTGGCTCCCAACGCAGATCGCTGGTAGATGCACAGAAAACCGCTGGCGTGAGTCTCTCTCCCGGTGCCGCTCCCTAGCGCGTGGTCAGGTGGCCAAGGTGGCAGCATCTTCTTCACCTATTCACGCTGACTTTGTCTGCTCGGGCGTACCGCGGATGAGACCCAACCTCCTGCTGCACGATTTTGAAACGGCACATTACTATAGTGATTACCCTCGTCTTCCTCTCCTTTTATGTTAGTTTACTTCTTTAGCACTATTCACTCTTGTTACAAGAACCCGACATCTTCTCACTCACACGATGAAAGTGAACAAAATCAACGTGATTGGAAAGCGACTTCCATGAAGATGCGGCAAGTGGGATGTGCCAAATATCTACTACAGCAAGTCTTTTCATTCCATCGTTCGAGGTCCCTTTAGTCGTGCGTCTTCTTGCCCGCGCTGTATTACAGTGTTCTCGATGTGGTGTAGATCATGATCAGGGAATTTTTTGTGGCGATCGGAATGACCACGTGAATACATCATGCTCCTGTCTCAAGTAGAGTCATCAAGCAGGACGGGGGTGAACAAGAACTACAAATGCGACGAAAGACACGCATATCACGGTATAATTTCTTGATGCTTAAGACAATGGCAATTATCAACATGTTTACCAACCTGTATCATGATCCAAATTCGTCATTTATTTACTTTCATCAGAATACAATATTACTAGTACTAGATCACCGCACCAGATACAAGGTAGAAGTGCAGCTACTTGTTGATATTGCTTACAGGAAAGCGAGCTTCATCATCATCATCATCATCATCATCATCGTCGTCATTCGATAACGTTTCCGGTATTTTTATCTCCTTCCTGCTCACATTCAACATCGTATCTATTCTGGAGATTCTCACCACTTTTACCATTGCTTTATCTACATGTACAACTTTGTAATTGTGATCGAAGAGGATTGAGACGATGAGTGGGTTTTCGCTGTCCTCAGCCAGCAAGACGATTCGCGGTGTGACGCATCTGTGCCAGGTTGATGCGATAGCTGTTATGAAATAGGCCCTGATCATGTTCTTTCGGAGGAAAAGCTCAGGACGAAGGTCTGCGCCTTGTTGCTCAACGTTTTGTACTAGCATGTATGTGAGGTACAAAATGAAATTTCATTAGGTTGTGGCCTGGTGGCGGGGATTCGGCTGATGATCGTAATTAGTTTCACGTTGACGCTACAGCTACGCATCACACACACTAGCACTCACATCAAAATCAACAATATTGAGAAGGAGGTCATCACTGTAAATTTGATTTTCCATGAGCAAGACGATCGCCACAACCTAATTTTCCCTTCATAATCGTCGATAAAGCGCTCTTTCGAACGTTTAGCGTTGATTCTCTGATGGAGCTTGCTGGCCTGAGCTGTGCGCAGGTGATAGAGCGAGAGTTTCCTCGCACGACGAGAACCCTTATCATTTATGGTGAGCATCATCTTCTTCCACTTGCAGGACCTTTGTTGATTCCTTCCTCTTTTTGGTAGTCGTTTCGAGAAGTACTACTTAGCTTTGTTCTATCATGTTCAACAGTTGAGCTTGGGCCGAGGAGGCTTGATGTTCTTCATATTTTTGCGGGTCCCGGCAATAATGGCGGCGATGGCCTTGTAGCAGCGCGTCACCTGCATCATTTTGGATACAAAGAGGTTTCTGTGTTGTACCCGAGGCCGGGAACGAGTGACGTGTTTACTCGTCTGCAGCAACAGCTTCGACAAATCGAGATCCCGGTATTTTCTTCCGCAGATGAGGCCAGGATCTTTGGTGGTGGGCAGCAGGGAATCTCCAGAATAGAACCAAAAGGAGAAGCGGACACCTCTTCATCATACGACCTTCTTGTAGATGCAATTTTCGGGTTCTCATTTAGAGGCTGGCGCGGTGGTGGAAAGGACGCCCCCTTCGACGCGCTAGTCGATTTTCTTGCGCAGACATCGACACCGGTCGTTTCAATCGACATCCCATCTGGATGGCAAATAGATGGAACAAGTACAACGACCGGCGAAAACGCCGATAGCGATAAGCACCAGGATGCTAAGACCCTGAATCTGATACATAAGATTTCAGTCCAGTTTTTGAAACCTACAGCAAGTATGCACCGATACTGAATTTTTTCCGACAAGAAATATGTTGTGTTTGCGTGCTTCTTGTTCTTGGCGGGTTAGCGTTCAACTTTTCTCTTCGAAAAGCTGATCACTTTTGAGACACTCTTAGATTTATATCTGCACCTGGACCTGGCGCTGGTCCTGGACCTCATGGCCGGCATGGCGAAAATAACGCTGCATCAGGCAACAAAAACTCGCTGTGGCAGCCGAAAATGCTCATCTCCCTAACCGCACCAAAGCTTGCAGCTGCGAAATTCAGTGGGACGCATTACTTGGGAGGCCGTTTTCTACCCGCAAACTTCGGTCTGACTCTTCCGCCATACCCAGGGAGCACACAGGTGGTTCGCCTTTCGCCATCGGAGGAAAAGAGCTAGATCACACAAATCGATGGTCGTGACTGAGTTTCATTGTTTCAATGCTGTAGACTAGCACTAGTATAGTATAGAAGTAGAGCTGCAACCACTTTTACGGAAATAATGACGCTGTCTGAGCATGAGCTCTCGGTGTCCACGAAGACATAAAGCAGGGTTCGTATTAATTTTTTTCTTTGAAATATACTTTCTTACCTCAAATTCGCTCGAGAATAACCTACATCCTCTCTCATTAATATAGACGAAATGATACCTCGATATTTCGTGATCTTAATATCAATTTTTTTCGCAGACACCGTTGGAGGTCGCCTGATGTTGAAAGTGATGTCGTTCTGAAGAATGAAGCGTCGGTCTTCGTCAACGATCCACTTCCCCCTAATAATGTCATTTCCTAAAAATTCCTAATGACTTACACTTACTACAGCTGGCGGCGCTAAGAAAAGCAAAATCCAACTGCTGGTAGTGCTGGAGCCCATTACGCGATTTTCTACGGCTCTATGTAGTAAATCAAAACCAAATCCAAATGTACGATCTTATTCTTTAAACCTATTTTGACTTTTCATATCGTCCATCTCCATAGAAACAGACAAAATGGAATCTTGATTTTCTCTTTATTATCGCAGTTTTCATCTGCTTCTCTGCCTGTTCTTCGAGTGAAACTGAAGCCTTTATATTTTCTCCCCCGATCTCAAATGCCTGCAACAGCTCCTGATACTTCTGCTTCTACTCACTCTTTTTATTAGCGAAGAAGGAACAAGATCTAACTCTGGAACGGATTGATTGAAAAATGGATGTACGTCGTGCACGTGCAGCATGATCTTGGTCTGAAATCTTAAAATTCCCGGGACAGCGTGATCTTTGTAATTCGAACTTTATTCAGCTTTGAAAGAAAATCCATCAAGATCCTCATCGATCAACATTCCTGATTGATAGCCTTCATAACCTAAAGTATTACTGGAGCTCCACATGAGCAACAGGATGAAGGAAGCGACAATTTGATTTAAAGATCCTCAGACGTTCTGGCCTTCTGTAGATTTAGATATCGGAAAAACTTTAAATTATGGTGAAACAACTTCTAGTACACTCTCACTCTAGATCGGGGGTTTGTCTGTAGTTGCTCAGCGACAAATGATATCACATAATCAAATATCCCAAGTTTTGGCTTTATTGGCTAAATCTAGATTTAACCTACTTTCTCTTCCTTTTTCATTGATTAGTATAATAGTCCAACGAAGACAAGACAACTTAAAGCGTAACTTTTATCTTCGGTTGGCCCTATTCTGAGTTCTTTTTTGTGCAGGATGGCCGCTATGCCGATTGGGGGTTTCTCTGTTGTCGGCGATCTTCCCCCGCCAAAGCGTATGAAATTGGCCACGTCAGCTGATACTTTAAGTGCCCGTGAGTTAGCCGAAGGAAAGACCCCTGAGCAGCGTCAACCGTCAAACAAGAAGAGCCAAGTCGAGCGACATCAACAAGGTAGTCTTCAAGCTAGTGATACTCTCGACTCAAAAACCGCTCAAGCGCCAGCAAAAGAACCCCAACAGGAAACCGGCCAGAATATGGAGTTGCTAAGCAGTGTGGACGTGCTGGCTGCGCGCAAGACTGTCAAAAACGATAATGTCCACGACATCGCTACATCAACAACAGAAGCAAATCAAACATCGTCCTCTAGTACCTATGCTCTCTTTAACGGGAAAAATAAGACGAGCGCTGAACTCGCTTCATCAGCACCAGCAGCAGAGCAGCACAAAAGTGCTAAAACGTCACCGACCACCAGGCCAGAAGACCTATTTGCTAAATCAGGGTCGGCAGCACTAGAGGCAGAGACGAAAAATGAGGCCCTAATGGTTGTGGAGGATCCTCCAAACGTTGATGAGGCCATATATCACATCTCCAATGCAGCCTACGTGGGTCTGGATTTTGAGTTCACGGGCCTCTTCGTTGAAGGCGGGGAACGCCGACGCTTTAACAAAGGCTTTGAACAGTACTGGCTTGCGTGTAGTGACGGAGCGCAAGTTTTCGCGCCTATTGAGATGGGCATTTCATGCTACATGGAGCCCGAAGAGGACGAGGGTGATGCTGAAGATGCGGAGCAACAGAAAAATGTTGAATCTCAAAAGGACCAGGGAGAGCAGAAAGTGCGTCCGGGTGGCACCTTCCACACCTACTGCTGGTAAAATTACATACTTACGTAGTGTTTCTACTACTAGTAGCATTAGCAAATCGTTATGAATGTTGCTGACTGTTTTTGTTGGCCATGATAGTTTCTTTAAGTCGAAGTCCAAAAACTAAATCTTCAACACCAGCATGAAAAGAGTCAAAAGAAACTATAACGTGTAATCGCTTCACTTCAACACGCCTTTGAATCTGCAAACTCAGGAAAATATCACCGGATCGCATTTTTTCTCTGGAGAAGGGCGCTCTCGCTTTCCTGCGCAATGTGGCAAACTTCAGTCTTGATAGCTGGGCGGATACTAAGGTCACTGTGAAGAGAGCTGCTTGCCTCGAGGGTTACGAACGCACGAATGATGTGGAACGCATTGTCCACGCCCTAATCTATCGTCCCGAGTACCGTTTCCGTAATCAAGAAGATTCTACAGCTTCGAATTCGGGCACATCAGATGAAGATGTAGTTGTCACCGGAAATGGTAGCGAGCCAAACAGTCGGGGGCCCACACCGGGCAAACCTCGTCCAGTGGCTGTCGATGAATCTACTGGAGCATCAGTATCTTCGGTTTCAGCACCATCTCGAGGAGCAGGGTTGGCGCCTGCTCCTGTCGGCGCAACTCCTGCTAAGAACTACACCACGACCTCAAGTAGTATCGCCGCTGCTGGTACAGTCTCTTCAAGAACAAATCAAGTCGAAGCTAGCGACGAAGATCAGACAGGAGGTCCTGTTCCCCCTCAGATATTGAATCCTTCCGGTGATGCTGAGAATGGACACGAGGGTTGTACTAGCAGCCCGAGTCGGAGAACTGGCGGTGGCATGCATTACGACTGCTCACCGAGGAAAGACCAAAGTGGAAATCGCAACCGGGACCCACCGCCCACTCGTTTAATCGTTCATCACGGAATATTTGACCTACTGCATTTCTTCCACACCTTTATCGGCGACCTCAGCACGATTGAAAGCATCCCAGACATGCAAAAAGAATGGAAATCTCTAGTCGGCAACAGACTCGTTCTCTACGATACGCGACACATCATGAGAGCTGGTATTATTGACTTCATTCACGACAGTTCATTTCGATTTCACGCACTTGATTTGTTGTATAAAGCCATATCCTAGGCTTACAAGCCTAAGAACCTACTTAATCTGGCTAATATTTGGAAATACTTGATGAATCAGTAGCACTTCTCTAATCTCCCGCTACCTGTAGCTTTGCCTCGAGTCTCCTTTACAGATTTTTTTTAGTCTTCAAGTTTCGCCTGGTCTTCACCATCGTTTTCCTTATTTACCATCCATCCAGGTCGCAATCATATCTTCAAGTACCGGGATGCGGGTATGAGTCTTGGAGTACTGTATGACTTCTTTTGTCCCGACGAGCCAGCACAGAAGTATCATTTTGCAGGTGGTGATGCGGAAATGACAGCCCGTGTATTTCGCAAGATGCTGGAGAAGTCTATAGAGCATGGTGCGAAGAACAGCGATGACGTGGCCAAATACCCTGAACTGTTCGGCAAGATCAAAGATGCAACTCCTGGTATTAACAGCGCAGCTAGTGGAGCTTGTAGTTCATCGATGAAGAAGAGTTCAAAAAAAGCAACTTCGTCTGGCAAGAAGAAAAGAACAACAAGAAAGTATGGAGGCGGCGCTGGCAAGAAGCGATCAAAGAAAAAGAGTAAGTCCGATCGCAAAGAACGCAAGGCTTCGGCAGAAGACGCTGAAGATGGTGTCGCTAGCGCAAACGAAGGAGATGAAGACGACGAGAGCAGCGAAGAGGAGGAGGAATCCGACGACGAGCCTCAGCAACCAACAGTCGAGGATCAGTTACAAGTGTTTCAGCGATACGAAAACTGCATCGCTGGTTATGCCTGTGCACCGCAGTTTTTCCGACTCGTGCCGAACTACTCGTGAGCAAGAAGATCACGTTGATTGTGAGCTTCAACGTACAAGTGCGTACCATAGTGGATGTTGTATCTTCTCATTTCTAGAATGAACTAGAGTAAGAGTATGATGCTTTGACTTGGCCGCTTGGGGCTGCAAATGAGGTTCATCCAGTTCCCCTATTTGCTAATTTCCCTTATCTTAAGACGAGCCCCTCGTACTACAGTTTCATTGCGCCGCTCCTTTTGGTAGAAAGAGGAGAAGAAGCACAGTACAACTCCCTACGGCTGTCTACCCACATTTCTCGCAAGAGAGCTGAGGCAAATGAAGAGGTGACGTGTTTTTTTGTGTTCTCGACGGTGAAATTGCGCTTGACAATCCTTCGCCAATATGAATTCCTGCGCAATCTCCGGATCATTATATCCATGGTGATGAAAGTTCGTATGGCTTGCAGTGGCACAACGAGATGAAATAAAAGTGAAACAAGAGAAGTTGTGCTAGAGGGTAGAGCTAGAGAGAAAAGCACGGTTGCAAAAAGGGAACCTTCAATAGTCCGCTCATCGTTTCGTAACAGTCAGGAAACGGTAAAGCGAGAAGGCAATCGTTACTCATCAAAATGGTGCTTTTTGCGCGTTCCGTGCTCTTCGGTGGCGGTCTCATCTTTCTCGTAAATTCTGCGGGCGGTCGTGCAGGAGCAGCCTCGGGGCGGGACGTTCAGGCACACTATGATGCAGAAAGATCGAAGGCCTCGAAAGAAATGGTAGATGGTGCAGTTTTTCTTCAGGCGGGAGGGCGAAGGGTAGCGCAAATTACCTCCTGTCCCGCGTGAGCCCTAAACGCACTGCCGAAGCTGAAAGAATTTTTGAAGGATGAGGAGAGGAAAAGAGGCGTTTCTCAGTACCCAGGTGTGGTGCTCAATTGGCATCGAGGAGAAAAACCGCGGATGGACATAATCGAGGTACTAGTTACCACAGTTACTAGTCCTGGACTCAACATAGTCCTCGGTTTTATAACACATAGTTAAAATGCAGTAAGTAGTACTTACTTTATTCTGCTGAAAAAGACAAATCAAGGTCATTACGATCGTTCCATTAGCACGTACTAGCAGTAGTATCATGTGTGTTATTTTTGTTATAGTCTTCGTCCCCTTGATTTTGTATTTGTTTTTCCAAACTTCGTACTAACCAAAAGTGTCTGTTCATGTGAAACTACAAGACAGGCGAAAGAAGCCCACGGTGGACTCCCGAAAGCTGCTGTTTCTGAAACCTTACACTTGTCGAAGTTTACATTTACCGACATGCACCTTCTGCTGCTATGCAAGGGCTTTCTGCGTGTGCGCTCGCAGTCTGCAGATGCCGACGACGACGATACAGGGGATCTTGAGGTATACTCCGCTAGTAGTAGCACCAGCAATGACCGGCAGAGGGTATGCGACTCTTTCCGGCAGAAGTATCCAGAAGACTTCAACAAGGCCGATGAGCGTTTGACACTGTTGGCACCGATTCAAAAAGTTGTACCAACCGATCTGTTAGAGCAGTTGCGAAATGCAGCGAGGAATAAAGTCGGTGAGGTTTTCGGACGTGGAGCGGGTGCAGCACTGACATCCCTTTTTCATCGATTTGTCGGGGCAACACCTCAACAAAGAGCTTCCGTATCAACAAATGCCGGCTCTACAGCTTCAGGGACACCGCAAGAAAGTGCAATTTCTTCGCAAGGCGAGAACTCCGAGACATCTGCGTCAAGCGGAAAATCGCAAGAAAGCTTAACATCGTCAGAGTCCTATGGCATCTCAACAGCTGCGACGCCTACGTCGTCGTCGATCGCATTATTCGGATCACTATGGGAGCTCATCTTTCTCGGATGTATGTTGTCTTCGCTGTATGTCTGCTACCAATACGGGGATCGAGCGATGGTACGTCTGGGAAGGCGCTCCGCTTCGCGTAAAAAAGAGGAAGAGGTGCAGGAGCTAGCAGAATACACCGTAATCGGATATCCGTCAATTTCCGGAAGGCCTACCGGTGACAGTTTTACTGGAACAAGCGTCGCCGCGGACCACGAGGGCAGTAAGTATATCGGACTTGGAGCTGGAAGCTATGACCGCGACGAAAGTCCCCATGCAAATTTGATTTAGTGAAAATTCGTTTGTCTAGTACGTGCACAAGGTCCTGCTCTGTGGAGGAGATCGAGGTGGGCAAGAGTGTAAATCTTTGGAAGTTTTTTGATGAAATTTGAAGTTTGTTTTTAAGCTGGAGCAGAATTCGGATGTGGATTGTCGTGAATAATATTTATAAGAAAAGGACCGGAGCTACAACAAGGAGGACACCAATAGAGTCGGCAATTATATATACAGCAGGCATACTCTTGCACAGCAGTACATGATAAAGTACAGCGCCTCTTTCCGGTAGGGCTTGCAAATGTTGTGACTTCGCGTTGTAGGGCAGTAGAAGTTGTATAGCAGCGCTAAGCTAGCCAAGTATCGCAGAGTGGGCTATTCTTCTTCTTGGCTATGTTTTGTGCCTGTTGCCCTGCGTTCGTGATTGATTTGAGAAACAACTGTGACTCTTCCATGGAGCTGCAGCAAGGGGAGCCTGTGCTGCTGAGATGGTCATGCTCTGTTTTACCGACAAACAAGTAAAAGTTATTCAAATCATCACGACAAGCTAACTGCAAAACGCGACCGAACCTGGGACGTGTTTCAATACACTAAGAGACTCCAGCTTTGCGTTGAGACCGTTTTTTTTTTAAGCGGACGACCGAATGATATTGCCAGCGGGACAGTGTAACGGCGGGGCAGTATATGCTTAGATACTTGTTGAAGACATCATTACATAGCAGTAGACTGCACTCAAAAAGGTGAAACATGACAAATCGAAACCGTGGTAATGCCTCGTCATCCGCACCTGAAGAGCACATAGGGAGCTGCAAAAATAAAAATACTGTTTTATTTATGCTTTTACTCATACTTCTTCCCACTTCATCTCTACTTCTAGAAGTACTAGTACACTTACAATTTCAATATTAAAGAAAAAGAATAAGAAACTCCTTCTTGATGATGTTCTTCTTCTTTCTATTTATGTTGATCGCGGACTGAAGGACTACGTAGCGCAGTCATTGTCATTGACCCTTCGTGTTTATCTTTATCATAACATCCAGAATAATTGAGTTTACTTCGCTTATCTTTGTATATCTATATGCTCAAAAATGGAGTTTGATTTCAATGTCGCGCGAACCCTTGGCCTTTCCGGACACAACGGGATCGCATGCCTCTCAGGCGAGCAAGTGGGCCAGGCGGCTGCGGCATCGGATATCAGACACTTGGGTGCACGTCGCCTCGCCCCAAATGATCCTTCTTTGATCAAGAAGCAGCTATGTGATCTCATAGAATCAGTCGGGCGCGCTAGTCAAGTCGCACAAAATCTAAGGGCGCCTGTGACGGTACTTCTTTTTTATGGCATGAGTCTTGGAGGTTTCCTTTCGCAATTCGATTCTAGAAGAACTAGTGATCATCTAATACGGAAAGAGGATCCCAATGCTTCGAATAGGGCTAAGCACAACTTCGGGATGAGATCTTTTCTACTTCAGTACAAGAGGAGGTTTTTGATATCGGTATTGCGCGAGTGTTGTTGCACACGATGAGAAAGATGAATTTCTGTTCTTGTTTTCACCTCAAAAAAAATGAAACAGAATCTGCTGAAGCTGACGGAGTCTCCGGATCAGCGTGTGTATATTGCTGTGCGCGACCGCAACACTGTCCTGGGTCTGCTCAAGGTCGGGCCGAAGAAACTGTTTGTGCAAAATCCTGGGAAATCGTCCGCAGATCTGTATGCACGTTCGTCTGCCTCTGGCGCTGTGTCGGAGATCACGCCTCTTTGTGTGCTGGATTTCTACGTGCACGAGAGCTCCCAACGCAGAGGCTTTGGAAAGCAGATGTTCGACTACGTGCTGTGGAAAGAGCGAAAAACACCGGCAAAGTTCGCGTATGACCGGCCAAGCGCGAAATTGCTGAGTTTTCTTGGAAAACACTACGACTTGAAGCAATACACGCCGCAGACCAATAACTTCGTGGTGTATCACAAATATTTTTCGAGTTCTTCCGGGTCATCGTCCTCCGCAGCCGCTTCCTCTGGTCGTGGTGGCTCCTCGTCATCGTCTCCGTGTCCCATCGATTTTGACACTTGGGCAAAAAATTTACCGCCATCCTCAGGCGGACCCGAGCATCGGCAACGACGATCGTCCGGCGAACAAGCTACTTCGGCTTCGCCAGGCTATAACGGTAGTTCAGCTCATGCTCAGGAGGACTATACTGTTAATCTTAATGTTGACCAGGAGAAGCTGATGCAGATGAATCCAATTCCAGTTCAGAATTCAGTTGCGGCGAAGGTAGTGCGTGAGTTGCAGCCAACACGACTGAAACCGGATCCTTCGCCAACGGATTCGAATGGAGGGCACGGCTCCCCGCGGCGCGCAAGAGAGCACGGTGTGGATAAAATGCTGGAGGTACTGATTTGCAATATCATTTTGTAGAATGTACTTACTTAGTACTGGCGACCAGAAATGAAAGTACTAACAGATGATGAGTCACTTTGATGCTCATCTTGATGAACGAGGAAGCTTTCGAAGTAGAAGCGCTCGTGACCTAGTGAAAACTTTTTGATAGTATCACTTAATCTTTTTCAACTTCTAATAGCTACTACAAGTACACCGGTCACCACGAGGTCCCACTTTATTATTTGTGTACATCTTTTCTGCTTCAGCAAGTCTCGTCCGCCGTTCATCGTCGTTCTGAGCCTGCTATCGTCCCTGATGCGGCGGCTCATTTTCGGTCCGCAATTCAGGAACAGAAATATGTCCTTCCCTCCGGCACTGGCGTGATCAGTAACAGGGAACGTTCCATGATCAACAATCGGCAGCATGGAGGTAGGTCTCCGCCTGGTGCAAATGGTTCGTCTACATCTACTACAGGAGCTTCCTCAAGCAGTAGGGGGATGAATGGCAGTGCACCACTCGTCAGCAAAGGTAGAGGACGCACTTCTAGCGGAGCTTCTCCTCTCGACAATTCGTCGAATGGGGAACACTTTACCCGGCCAGCGTATCTACACTACCGAGAGCGTCAACAATCAAGTAGTGCTGTCGCGAGTCTCATCTCCGGTGCGAACCCCAACGCGACGTCGACACGGAGTGGAGCTGGAGCAGGCACACAGGATAAAATTCCGGCACGCGGCGCGTCGGGTAACAAAAGCACTGAAATGCTGCACTCCCAACATCGGCTGGACGCAGCCATGCGAGACGTCCACAAGGGAAGCTATCGTCCAGGCAGGGGATCTATTTTCTGACCTGCTTGATGATTGAAATGGTAGGTGCACTTCTTACGTCGGAAAAACTCAATCTCAAACCTACTACGTACATGAAGTTCAGTACTCTCATACGATAAGGGGATGACCATCGCCTTCCTGAGTTTAATATGGCTTGACAACCACCGATTCGCATGTTCAACTTTCTTCTCTTAAATCAAACTCGGGCTAGGAAGGGCTACTGAGGGGTTGAGATATTATTTTTAAACCTTTCATCTGGACAAAAATGGCAGTAGTAGCTGCGTCTGCGGCGATTCTCTTAATATCAACTGCAATTCAATAATTGGCCATGCTCTTTCCGAAGCAGAATTAACGTAGACCAAAGACTGCTTATTGCAAGAAGTTGTATCAATGTCTGGGGTTGGAAAGCTGGGCAGTTCCTGCTGGATGAAGTAGCGATTGTAAGTGCGAGTTTTTCCTTATCTTGACATTGAAGCCTGCAGTTGTACCATTATAATTATTTTCATTCTGCTTCGTCATCAAGCATCAAGCCTATGGTCCTTTGATTTTTGCATGACCTGCTCTGCTTGTCAAACAAACTTAATTTAAAGAATGGTGGTTGGTACAATTTCAAGCATGAGGGCGTGGGAGAAAAAATGACAGCGATACGAACGGGCAAAAAAATGTTATACATTCTCCAGGGGCCCTGATCTAGTGCTGCTAGAAACTCAATGGTGTCGCCCATTCTAATTCACCCATGTCCCAAGCCTGCCAGTAAAAACCCACTTCTTCTTCTCAAGTGTTTCGTCCATACGGGTTTCGTACGATGCTGCTGTTGGCAGTCTAATTGTAATCGTAACCGTTACACTGTCCTCTACTATTCTCGTTGTTCTCATGATCTTCCTATTTCTAGCGCGGAGTTCTTTGGCTGTTTCTCTTCGACGAAGACGATGGATCATAGGTTAAAATGTGAAACATTCAGTGTTTTTTTATGTTTTGTTACATTGGTGACTGAGCGAACCCCAACCCCTTCAGTTTTTTCTACCTTCTTAACCTGTACTACTACTTGCAGATGTGCGGTGCTGCTGAGGGTAAGCGGATTTGATAGGTGTAAATTTAGCGTTCAGTTCTTCGCCTCAAAGCATATTAAACATTCAGCCAACGCTACAATAGCTTGCCTTCTATAATTCATGAAGAACAGCATTATAGTTATTGGTCTTGTGCTCGCTTTCGCGTGGAATCAGGGCGTGAAACCTATGGAGGTTCGTCATTTCAGTACTAGCAGCGTCGACTTGAAAGAAACTACTTGAGATTCCATTAGCATTAATACCCTTTGACCTATAACGACAGTTGTTCATGGACAACATAATACATAGACAATTCTGCGATCGACACAAAGACAAACATCACAACCTAAGAACAACTTACAACGACTTCTGCGAGGATCATATTTATAAAGGAATACATTTACATCAAGCAGAATCGACAAGGCTCCTGCCAAGAAGAAGAGTGGAAGAAATGGGAGTAGAACGCAACGGTCAGGTGCTGCCGATCGATCGCACGTGTTGCGTCAATCCCCGGCGCAAATAGCCGAAGACTACAGGAATATTGCGGACCCGCGTCAGAAGGCTCGTCTAAAGGCTGAGAGAGCCGACAAAGGCATTGCATTGCGGTTTCCAATTGTCGGACGCATTCGAAATTGCAAGTATTTTTCAATTAGAACTAGCAGAGGACCGATACTGATTTTCATCCTATAATTTGTGATCAGCCTATGGGAGAGCGCGAAATTAAGTATGTGCTGAATATGGATAAGAACGATTAGTATCTATGTACTTGTTATGTTCCAGGGAACTGGATATGTATCAACATCGGTGAGCAGGCTGACGCTCAGCTTTGCCTCCTGTGGTCAAGCACAAAATGCGTTGTTGGCTTTATCTCTGTGGTCTTGCGGCATTGGCGCCGTGGGTGGTGCTCCTTTACCAGCGTATATCCTGGAGACCGCCCGTTGCGGATGTGGTGCTGGGGGAGAGGATGACACATGATGAAAAGATGGAGTGGCTCCTCTCGCAGTTGCAGGAGCGGCGATCCTCCACATTGGTGGACACTACGTACTGGCAAGGTCAAGGCGAACAGATAGAAAAGCTTATGAGCACTTTCCTGTATTGGCGACTTTGGTTTGCCCCTGCTGACCCTGATCCTGCTGAAATTCCTAATCAGACAACAAGTGGCGTCGAGATGGAAGCTGTTCTTGGTCGTAGTGCTGCCGCTGACAGATACTTGATGTTGTTTCCGGGAGGTGCGCAAGAAACTACGGTGGACGCTTTTGTTCAGGACGAAGAACAGAATGGCGATTATATTACTGACCGGGAGGGCTTGGATGTTCTCGAGGTCACAGGTGCTCTCGGCGTTACCCTCGCGTCGTATCAGGGATTGCTCGAAGAGCAGGAGCGAGGAACAAGGTATGCGGCATTTACACGAGGTGACGCGTTGGGCATCTTTCGCAGGTATCGCGACTCTGCAGGTCCTCGTGGGGATCACTACAACTCTATTCGAGTTCTTCCGAGCAGTGCTGCCCATGTCGACTTGATTTAAGGCTTAACAGAGTACTAACTCATCGTCACAGGAGTAAGATGAAAAGGCTCTCACTTCTCTTCATTTCCTTCGAGTGTGACTTCGTGGATTCTCAGAATATGGCCCCAAGCAGTTGTAGACGAGTCATCCTTGTAGTCGGCTCTACTTATTGATGCTGAGTTTTGGACGCTTACCGATTTACATCGTGGTCCCAGATGATTGCGCCTAGTACTGGAGCACACACTCCTCGAATACCACAGCAGCAAACATCAACAAGGTGCCGAGCGACGACTTGAACACAAGATGAACGAGCGGAATCCCGGCAGTTGTGTTTTGAAATGTTTACGTTTCGCCGTGAAAAAAAAAAAAAAAAGTGATGAGTTGGATTATCTAGAAGCATCAAATCCTAATCGTCCAGCAAAACTAGTACAAAAAGCGCTAGCGTCCATAGTGGGAAGATGCGAAAGAAGGGATGATGAGACTTGGCGGCTAATGCTCGAGCTTTATTAAATCTTACTACAACAACTGCTTCTACTACGTACTACTACAACCTGCAGATGAGGGATTTCGCCGGCAGACTGGACAAAAGGCACTTCGAGAATGCTTTGAAGATGGAGAGAATGCTACCAGCAGCACGACTAGAAGATTCGAATGCACTGCGTTCGGCGGCGATGCTCATGCTGATGATGCTGATTATAAGACAATTGCGTCAAGAAAAATAGTAGCACTAACCTCCCTGGTGGAACAACAACAAGTAGTATCCCAAACGTCAACGAAAAACGCATCAAAGACTAGTCGTGAAGCGGGTCATCGCTATGAAGTCCACGACCTCGACATGAACTACGAAGCGGACTTCTACAACAACCAGGACCAGGCATATTGCGATGCTACTGGTTTTGGCGATCATGGTCCTGTCGCAGGCTCTTTTCTTGAGCAGCAGGGGAACGAGAAGGCAAACAGATTAATCAATCTTTCTCCTTTCGATGGTCCGGCAAGCAGGAGGGGCCTGAAGATTTTTGTCAAGGACCGGCTTCTCAGGCGATCCCCTTCACGCGGGTTCAGATACCACCAGATTGGGAATACAGTGACTTCGCGTCTGCGATGGAGGGTTTGGCCGACGCGATGCGTACTACACAAGAGAGGAGGCCAGATGACCGGCAAGACCCACAGCCACACGACGCGCTCTACAGCATGGCACACGTATTCCGGAAAGGGCCCGCCGCGTCAGAATCGGATGATCGTGACGGGTCTGACGTAGATCAAAGACGAAGAGGTATATCTTCATCAAAAGAAGAGGAGCGTTTATATGAAGAAGGCGTAAGTACTCCTTGCACTAATTGTGAAACACCCACCTTGCTTTAAATGCAGTGCATTTTCCGCCACAATTCAAAGACAAAGATTCGACGGATGAATATCAAAAGAAGGTGCAGCTCCGTCGCGAACCAGACGAGATTTTAGATTTTTCGGTGGAGTCTGATACTTACTATAGTTTCTATGCTTAACAACGCGGAGCTTGTGTATAGACGAAATTGTGAGAAATTGTTGGGGAGGCAGGCTGGCAACTGGGGCGGGTTCTTGCACAAGATGTTTGATAGAACTCTCGGCGACTGGGTGCTTGAGAATCTTAGTGACCCAATAGCACGCGAAAGGGACTTAGAAAAAGGGCCTTTCGTCACGGCCATAACGATAATATTTCCAAACAATTCGTCTCAGGAAATTGATTGTGACACTCTTGCTTTTCCAGGATACGACCAGTGGAAGATGCCTCATCCAGAAACTGCAGAATTGTATGACTAAATATACCCTTGACTTCATCTCAGATGATAGTAGAAGTCCATCTGTCATAGCATATTGATTAATAAATACATGAACAGACCAGAGCCAGAGGAAAAAAATATCATAACAGATGCAGAAATCATCATCAGACAGGAGTCATGGAGTTTAAGCATTCAAACAGGATTTGAAAGAGTGTATAAGTCCGAGCAGATTTGGAGGACTAACGGTTACGCAGACGGAGTCTCGTACTTCATCCGCTTCTACCACGACAAGCAGGCTAGAGACCACGATCTCGATCAAACAGGAGGAGGACGAAAAGGAAGTGCACTAGTAGTGGAACCAGAGGGAAATGCGCTGGTATTGATGGTGGGACTCATGGAAGCACGTTCAGGCACTAGTGATTACAGATGGAGATCTAAAGCTTTATTCAGCTTATGGGGAAAAGTAAAATAAAAGACGAGAAAATTGTCAAGGAGCACAGATCCAGATGAAGAGCAATCAAATCAACAGGCATTACCAGTGAATTCTTACACGCAAGTACAACGACAAGAATTGCCTTGGCCGTTATGGAGTAGTAGCTGAAACATCAGGTAGATTCTGATAGATAGTGCGATAATCCTGGGCTCTCATCTCCACTCCGAGACCGAGTTACACTCGTTTCTACACCAAAAACCTGAGATTGTCACCACAATTGTGTCCCTCTCCCAGACCAACCGAACGCTAAGGAGTAGAGAAAGTGTCTCGACAGAATGGGAAATTTCCAACCACGTCCAAATTCGAAGTATTTGTGTTTTCCACACCACTGACCACATGGTCATTCTTAGTCTTCGAAGCCTTTAAAACTAAAAGCAAGAACTGCAAAGCTAAAGAAAGATCGTCTTCTCTTCTTCATCTAGCTGAAGAACTCAGATCTCCTGCAGCACTCTACATTCAGTGGCGTAGCCAAGCCAGATCCCCCTGATCCACCTAGAACTATCTTAGATCAGGTCCTGTATCTACCCTACGGGACGCGGGATGAAGATCATCGGATCAGTAGTTTTGATATTTGTCACCTCAAGCAGAACCATACATCTACTTTTCATCAATTTGCCCATGCCTCCCAACTACTACTAGTACTACTACTCTACAGCTGCTAGCACAGGAGGTGCTCGAGGACGGTGACCCAATAAATTATCTTCATCATACATTACTCAATAGCTATAGCGTTTTGTTTTCTTCTTGCCAAATGATGAATGCGACTTGTGGCTAAACGGATTCTTTGTTTACTTGCTGCCTGCTTTTTGCTAGGAGATAGATAGTCCTCGTCATCTCTGCTCCTTAAGTGCTACTAGAAGATCTAGGAGCCCTAGAAGAAAAATTAACTCGACCGATCCAGTACGCCGCTGAGCTGTTCCCCTAATGATCATGTTTCAATGACTGACAGAGGTAGACGAACTTGTCGCAAAAATGACGCAGGCGGAGAACCTACCTGTGGGTGTCTCGGATGAGGCTACACCACGACTTGACGCCGTACAGTCAAGAATAAAGGCAGAAGCTGTGAATAGAGATGAAGCGATCGAGCCTCCTGATGAAGAGCAAGAGGAACCCGCAGTTGTGAAGTTGTCGAAGCGTGCGGCAAGTAAGCTACAGCATAAAGCGCAGAAGAAATTGCGCCGTCACGATGATCGGGTAAAAAAACATGCGGATCTTCTCAGTGACGCTGTAAATCTCCGGAATAAACTACGCGATCCTGTACCAAGTGACAATCTCTATGCCCATCTACCTCAATTCACGGACCAAGAGCTTGTCGTCCATCAACAAGGTGGTGAACCTGCCGGGCCTGACGTGTTTGCATCTGCGGAACACGCTATAGGAGAGATGATTTTGCGTCCAGCAGCTTACCACGCAAAATATGCTAGCCAGGAGTTGAGCCTCCTTTTCCAGATATTTCGAGTCTGCTCGCTATCAACGGTGGCTCGTTACGACCATCAACAAGAACAAGAAACTGCCGCTCGAACATTAACAAGAGCAGATGATCATAATCAAGCAGAGCATGTCAACGGCGAGAACGAGGTCGAGGAGAAGTTCGGACTTTATTTCTCTGGAACCAGTGCGTGCAAAAAAGCACCAGATGCCATTATTGATGTCGGCGCGGGTAACGCGAATTTGAGTTTACTCCTCGCCCTCATGTTTCCAGATACGGACATTCTCATGGTGGAGATGGATTCACCGAGAGAGGAGCTTCGCGCAGAGTACTGCCTCGACACTCGGATAGACCGAGGAGCACTAGGAGCTGATGCTGAAGAAAATACTATTATAAATATATTAGAGGTTGCTGCTCTTGCTTCCACATCTGTTAGAGATGGAGATGACGTGAGACAATCTACTTCACCGAACAACAGCTGCACTCGGAAGTTTGGAGAACGAAAAGACACGAAAAATAGCGAGGATGTGCGTAGTGCCATGTTGAGAAACTCGGTTCGTAAGCGTTTGATCCGAGTTCCAGACACGAAAATTGAGGACTTCGTCTTCAATCAGGGGGATTACAAGAACGTTATTGTTGTGGGGAAGCATCTGTGCGGACCTGGTACCGATGCAGCGATACGCTTTATGGAAAGGCAGACGACTGACAGAATACAGGGATGTGTTTTTGCAACCTGTTGTTTCAACAAAATAACCGGCCAGACGTTTGCAAAATGCTTCTACCCAGAGTACTTTTCTGAAAGAGCATGGACGTCTTCAGAGGTCTGCGAACCTGTGGAGAGAACCGGCACTACAGGTAAGGTGGAACAGGGCCATAGCGACAAGTCCACCAGTACTACCAGCACTAGGGTGCTAGATGGTCCATCTTCGAGCGACCACCCGGCCTCTTTTTCGCCTTCGTTCACCTCAACAATAAAAGCGAATAAAGTTGGTCAAATCCGGCAGCAGGAAAGCAGTAAGCATCGGAAAAACTACGAAACATCGTCTTTGTCGTCTCCAGAACATTTGGACTCTCCCACTACCACAAGTTCATCTTCATCATCGCCACGTCAACCGCTACCGCAGTCAGTAGAACAAACAGCTGAACAAGCAGCGCTTAATGATACAACTCAGCTGCATCACGCACAACATGAAGATGAAGCACAGGAGTCGTCTGCGGAGATGCTAGCCATATCTTCTCTTGCCAAAATGACGTCCTGGCGCAATACTGAGTTGACGGACAATAGTCTGATTACGCCAGCTATGCTGCGGGAAGCCGAGTACTTCGAGTCCTGGATGCAGCAATATCGAAAACGGAAACTCGCGACCATTTTTCAGAGCAGAAGGAACGTAGACGAGCTCCTATACTGCCATTCAGGCGCTCACTCGCAGCAAAACCGATGCCTGGTTGCGTGGCGTGGAGCAGTCGATGAAGAAAACGGAGATCATGAGATCCTTGAAGACTTCGACGGTCTTCAAGACCGTCGACAGCACGGAGATCCTAGGAGTATAGTACAACTAGGGAAGGCATTAGAACTAGAAGGTGAAAAAAGAGGATCATCATTTTCAACAGCACCTCTGGAGGTAGTTTCAAACTCAACGTCCTCGTCTTCGACTTTTTCCTCAAGAACGCAGCAAAGGCTCATTGCTGAGTTCTGGGCCTGCTTCCGAGAGCGAGTGGACAGGTACAAGCCGCTTTTACCCGTGGACCTGAGACCGGTTGGACTGGTTTCCTCGAAGTACGGCTTTGATGGTCGAAATCTGGTCAGAAATAAACCTCCGTTTCAGCCCACGCTGGAAAGCATACCTTGGAACGCAAAGGAAGAGGAAGACGAGGCAGAAAAAGATTGACTTTGACGTCGCCTGAAAGTTAATAGCAAGCAGGATTAGATTCTTTCACCTGAAAATAAATGGCTTCCCGGCCCAACAAGTACCTAACGCAATATCGCTCAAAAAGCTCAGGTTGCTAAACTTTTACTCCTGAGTGTGGCTTTGATCAAAACGTATGATTTTCGTTTCCGTTTCCCGCCGTTCAAATCGAAAGCGAAATCGTTTTCGTTTCCCGCCGTTCAAGTCGAAAGCGAAATCGGTACAATACGACGTCGGTTACAAAGCACAACGCGGCCGTGATTACGGTCCTCCCGATCTTGATGGTACTATACATAGTCTACTGACAGAAGTGACTTTGACAACTACGAGTGGAACTTGAAAAGATAACCGTAACCCTTACGTTTGAAAATTTTTCGGGAAATTATCGGTTGCATGATTTTTCGTCCTGGTCCTTATCCCTGACGAGTGCGCATACATGCTAAGGATGTCTAATAGCTGTGATCTGAGTGATGTCCACGATGGTGGATGTACTTCTTGTTGCAGAGTTAGTAGAGGAGAATCTCACTAACGCTATCGGTAAACCAAAAGTCGGAAAATATCCGCGGAGCCTCCACCACTAGACTTCAAATCCCATTTGTTAAGTACATGTAGGACATATTAAACTTAAAGTCTGTCAGCAACACTGATATTGATAGAATCTCGTATAAGCTAGATAGAATGAAAACCGAGGCTCGTTCTCTTGCCCTCTTGCAGCACGGTATACTACGTTTTTTTCCCTCATATATTGGCCTAAAGATGGGCTTAGAGAGACGGAGAGACCTGTCTTGCTTTTACAATGGCAAAAGACAAAGAAGAAAGACGAAGGAAATCGGCGGCGAGCTTGTTGCTACGTAGTCAGATTGTCTGAGGCCCGCCTCTGTCTTTGTCTCTACGCCATCCAACCCTTCAGCATTTTGCTGACCATCAACACAACACAAAAGCGCTTCGATCATCAACACAAATCCGCTGCATTGAAGTAGCGCCCGCGTCTCTTTTTCAGTTCACGACTGAGAAGCGACGGCATAAAAGCAACGAGCGCAGCGCCATCCTTTTACGTAGTTGCCTTTTCTTCATTACGCTCAACCTAGCCCCATCTATCCGACTTTCGGCTTTCGTTCTTGCATCAGTATGGACCTGGCAAAACAAGACGAACAAAAAACAAGCCAAGACTCGTAGCGCTTGACTTTATTCCAACGAAGCAAGCTCAAGGTGACGAAGATGCCCCACGGATTGCAGTCGAATTCGCTTTCGCTGCGTGGGTGTCTTATTGGTCGGCCGCTTTAGATTTTCTCGATCCTTCTGTCGGTGTATTCGTCGAACCTCTTGCGCCAGATTTGGGCCCCCAAGGCTCAGACAGAACAGCATCAGGCAAGCCAGAGGGCCATAGTATACTCCTGCCTTTTTTTGGAAGTCATCCAATCCATTGCAGCTGCCTCACTCCTTGGGCTTAGGCATCCCTTGGCCCAATAACTTAGCGGGGCCCTGGCTCTTTTTTCGTGCTAACGGCCAACAGTTACAAGCGTGCCGGCTGTAAGTTATAGCGACAAAGGTGCCACCTTCGCCCATTTAGGAGCTTCGTTCGCGGTCTTTGAAGAGCACCGCCAAACTGGAAAGAGTGCAAATGTGGAACCATCCAAGGCACAACCATAAAAAAAAGCCCAGCCGTGTCGATTCTCACCACTATGCGGAAGAGCGTGCTCGCCGATAGCCTCTTACTGTAGGCCCATGCCCATTAGTTACTCGCTAATCAATCAAGAGAAAGGACATAACGACTAGAAACTGCTCGCGAAATCGACGCAATTACATCCACAGGGTTGGCTTCTGGTTTTCTTCGCAATCTGTGAGATAAGAAAGGAGAAAAGCCCGCTGGTGTCCGCCGTTCTTATCTTTCTATCGTGCACACCGAGCAGCTTCTGCAAATGTTCAGCGCCCAGAATGAAGGCAAGCAGCTACGTAAAGCCTTTGCCATGCTTTTCGATTCTTCCGCGGCCTTTCTAGTAAAGCAAGGCAGGCGCTAAAATCTGAAAAGCTTAGAGATGCAGCCACAGTAGCGCGAACGCCTTGCAGCGAAGTGCGGCCGTGGAATGCCGTCACACACTTGGCGCGCTTGTTCGGGGCTTATCAGGCTGATGCGTTCGCGATTGACTTGGCGGCGCACGAGTTCGCAACTGCTGCGACATGTGCTGGCGGCATCGTCTCGAGTGAAGGGCATGGCTTGGCCCGGCGTCCGTTTTTCGTGGGAACCCGTGAAGAGCGGACCGCGCTGCGCGTTATGCTTGTGGCCGTCCTGGTGAAGAAGATGCTACCCGCGGCGCGTGAGGTATCTGCTGGCGGTGTCGTCTCTAGTGAAGGGAGTGGCTTGGACTGGCGTCCGCTTTTCGTGGGAACCCACGAGGAAAGAGCGGGGGGCCGTGTTGTTCGTTATGCTCGTGGCTGTCTGTCGTGGGGAAGACGTTCCCCACTAGGTGTGAGGTATCTCTATCAGCTATCTGGCATCTGCTGGCGCCGTCAGGGTCAGCTCTAGCGGAGGGGGGCGCTTGGCTGGGAGTCTGTTTCTCGTGGGAACCCACGAAAAGCGGACCGCGCTGCGCTTTGTGCTTGTGGTCGTCTTGATGGAGATGCTTTCAATTGGGGCGCGAGGTATCTGCTGGCGGCATCGTCTCGAGTGAAGGGCATGGCTTGGCCTGGCGTCCGTTTTTCGTGGGAACCCGTGAAAAGCGGACCGCGCTGCGCGTTATGCTTGTGGCCGTCTTGGTGGGGAAGATGATAGCCGCGACGCGTGAGGTATCTGCTGGCGGTGTCGTCTCTGGTGAAGGGAGTGGCTTGGACTGGCGTCCGCTTTTCGTGGGAACCCACGGGGAAAGGGTGGGGGGTCGTGTTGTTCGTTATGTTGCTCGTGGCTGTCGTGGGGGAGGCGTTTCCCAATGGGTGCGAGGTATCTCTATCAGCTATCTGGCATCTGCTGGCGCCGCCAAGGTCAGCCCTAGCGGAAGCGGAGGGGGGCGCCTGGCTGGGAGTCCATTTTTCGTGGGAACCCACGAAAAGCGGACCGCGTTGCGCTTTCTTTTGTTCTTGTGGTCGTCGTGATGGAGATGCTTCCAAGCGAGGCGTGGGGTCGGTATCTGCTGGCGGCATCGTCTCGAGTAAAGGGCACGGCTTGGCTTGGCGTCCGTTTTTCGTGGGAACCCGTGAAAAGCGGACCGCGCTGCGCGTTGTGCTTGTGGTCGTCTTGGTGAGGAAGATGCTACCCGCGACGCGGGGGGTATCTGCTGGCGGTGTCGTCTCTAGTGAAGGGAGTGGCTTGGACCGGCGTCCGCTTTTCGTGGGAACCCACGAGGAAAGGGCGGGGGGTCGTGTTGTTCGTTATGTTCGTGGCTGTCGTGGGGGAGACGTTTCCCACTAGGTGCCAGGTATCTCTATCAGCTATCTGGCATCTGCTGGCGCCGTCCGGGTCAGCTCTAGCGGAGGGGGGCGCTTGGCTGGGGTCCGTTTTTCGTGGGAACCCACGAAAGGCGGACCGCGTTGGGCTTTGTGCTTGTGGTCGTCTTCCTTGATGGAAATGCCTCCAAGTGAGGCGTGAGGTATCTGCTGGCGGCATCGTCTCGAGTGAGGGGCATGGCCTGGCCTGGCGTCTGTTTTTCGTGGGGTCGTGAAGAGCGGACCGCGCTGCGCGTGATGCCTGTGGTGTGGTCGTCTTGGTGAAGAAGATGCTACCAGCGACGCGCGAGGTATCTGCTGGCGGTGTCGTCTCTAGTCAAGAAAGTGGCTTGGGCTGGCGTTCGCTTTTCGTGGGAACCCACGAGGAAAGGGCGGGGGGTCGTGTTGTTCGTTATGCTCGTGGCTGTCGTGGGGGAGGTGTTTCCCACTAGGTGCGAGGCAGCTCTATCAGCTATCTGGCATCTGCCGGCGCCGTCAGGGTCAGCTCTAGCGGGGGGGGCGCTTGGCTGGGAGTCTGTCTCTCGTGGGAGCCCACGAAAAGCGGACCGCGCTGCGCTTTGTGCTTGTGGTCGTCTTGATGAAGATGCTGCCAAGTGAAGCGTGGCCGTGAGGTATCTGCCGGCGGCATCGTCTCGAGTGAACGGCATGGCTTGGCCCGGCGTCTGTTTTTCGTGGGAACCCGTGAAAAGCGGACCGCGCGCGCGCTGCGCGTTATGCTTGTGGTCGTCTTGGTGAAGAAGATGCTACCCGCGACGCATGAGGTATCTGCTGGCGGTGTCGTCTCTAGTGAAGGGAGTGGCTTGGGCCGGCGTCCGCTTTTCGTGGGAACCCACGAGGAAAGGGCGGGGGGAGGGTCGTGCTGTTCGTTATGCTCGTGGTTGTCGTGGGGAAGACGTTCCCCACTAGGTGTGAGGTATCTCGGTCAGCTATCTGGCATCTGCTGGCGCCGTCAGGGTCAGCTCTAGCGGAGGGGGCGCTTGGCTGGGAGTCTGTTCTTCGTGGGAACCCACGAAAAGCGGACCGCGTTGCGCTTTGTGCTTGTGGTCGTCTTGGTGAAGATGCTTGCCAGTGAGGTGTGAGGCATCTGCTGGCGGCATCGTCTCGAGCGAAGGGCATGGCTTGACCTGGCGTCGGTTTTTCGTGGGAACCCGTGAAAAGCGGACCGCGCTGCGCGTTATGCTTGCTTGTGGTCGTCCTGGTGAAGAAGAAGACGCTACCCGCGAGGCGTGGGGCATCTGCTGGCGGTGTCGTCTCTAGTGTGTGGAGGGAGTGGCTTGGGCCGGCGTCCGCTTTTCGTGGGAACCCACGAGGAAAGGGCTGGGGGCCGTGTTGTTCGTTATGCTCGTGGTTGTCGTGGGGAAGGCGTTCCCCACTAGGTGCGAGGTATCCCTATCCCGAATCTGCTGGCGCCGTCAGCTCTAGCGGAGGGGAGCGCTTGGCCGGGAGTCTGTCTTTCGTGGGAACCCGCGAAAGGTGGACCGCGCTGCGCTTTAGGCTTGTGGCCGTCTTGGTGAAGATGCTACAAGTGAGGCGTGAGGCATCTGCTGGCGGCATCGTCTCGAGTGAGGGGCATGGCCGCTTGGCCCGGCGTCTGTTTTTCGTGGGAACCTGTGAAAAGCAGACCGCGCGGCGCTTTACGTTTGTGGTCGTCTTAAGGAAGAAGAAGACGCTACCCGCGAGGCGTGGGGTATCTGCTGGCGGTGTCGTCTCTAGTGCAGGGAGTGGCTTGGACTGGCGTCCGCTTTTCGTGGGAACCCACGAGGAAAGGGCTGGGGGTCGTGTTGTTCGTTATGCTCGTGGTTGTCGTGTGGGAGACGTTCCCCACTAGGTGCAAGGTGTCTCTATCTGGCATCTGCTGGCGCCGTCAGCTCTAGCGGAGGGGGGCGCTTGGCTGGGAGTCTGTTTTTCGTGGGGGAAGGCGGACCGCGTTGCGCTTTAGGCTTGTGGCTGTCTTGATGAAGATGCTACAGGTGAGGCGTGAGGGATCTGCTGGCGACATCGTTTCGGGTGAAGGGCATGGCTTGGCCTGGCGTCCGTTTTTCGTGTGGTGTCTGTGTCTGTGTGTGGTGTCTGTGTCTGTGTGTGGTGTCTGTGTGTGTGTGGTGTTTGTGTGTGTGTGTGTGTGGTGTTTGTGTGTGTTTGTGGTGTGGGTGTGGGTGGTGTGTGTGTGTGTGGGGCTATGGGTACGGTTGTGAGTAGGGCTATGGCTACGGATATGGCTATGGGTGTTGTGTGGGTTTGTCGTGTTGGTTTGTTGTGCACGGATATGGATCTGGATATGGATGTCGTGTTGGTTTGTCGAAGTGGTTTGTTGTGTTGGTTTGTTGTGTTGGTCTGTTGTGTTGGTCTGTTGTGTCGGTTTGCTGTGTTGGTTTGTTGTGTTGGTTTGTTGTGTTGGTTTGTTGTGTTGGTTTGTTGTGTTGGTTTGCTGTGTTGGTTTGTTGTGTTGGTTTGTTGTGTTGGTTTGTTGTGTTGGTTTGTTGTGTTGGTTTGTTGTGTTGGTTTGTTGTGTTGGTTTGTTGTGTTGGTTTGTTGTGTTGGTTTGTTGTGTTGGTTTGTTGTGTTGGTTTGTTGTGTTGGTTTGTTGTGTTGGTTTGTTGTGTTGGTTTGTTGTGTTGGTTTGTTGTGTTGGTTTGTTGTGTTGGTTTGTTGTGTTGGTTTGTTGTGTTGGTTTGTTGTGTTGGTTTGTTGTGTTGGTTTGTTGTGTTGGTTTGTTGTGTTGGTTTGTTGTGTTGGTTTGTTGTGTTGGTTTGTTGTGTTGGTTTGTTGTGTTGGTTTGTTGTGTTGGTTTGTTGTGTTGGTTTGTTGTGTTGGTTTGTTGTGTTGGTTTGTTGTGTTGGTTTGTTGTGTTGGTTTGTTGTGTTGGTTTGTTGTGTTGGTTTGTTGTGTTGGTTTGTTGTGTTGGTTTGTTGTGTTGGTTTGTTGTGTTGGTTTGTTGTGTTGGTTTGTTGTGTTGGTTTGTTGTGTTGGTTTGTTGTGTTGGTTTGTTGTGTTGTTGTGTTTTGGAAAAGTGTACAACTATTCCTTACTAAGTAGTATAGTTGTTAGTTATAAGGTTAAGGAGTTATCCTTATCATAAGGATAACTATTGTTTGCGTCTTGTTCACTTTCATGATCTCAGACATATGAGAAATAGAAATTATCACTTTGATTTTATTTTGAAGCACTGTTCTTCAACAACTACAAGAACATCAACAACTACAAGAACATCAAGCAACCACCATATTTCATCTCTAAGAGCATCAAGAAGATGCCAGGTGCTTCTGACATTGAGAGGTGTCATGGGCACGGGCATGGCGAAGCAGGGAAAGTGTGCGCGCGACTTGTTGGATACGCAATACCTAGCCAACAGCAGAATGGTGCAGTACGTTGTGGGCCACTTCATACAAATCAAACACTGAATGCTGCTCTGAGTGGAGTTGCAGGTCAAAAAGATGAGTCACCATGCGAAACGAGAGGTGCTAACTTTCACAACAGTTCTCTCACTCGTTGTTCTTGTTTTTGTTAGACCTAGTATTTCAAGTAGAAGCATTAGTAATCAATGCGAGGAATGTTCCGGATCCGGTTCAGCTTTGATATTAGTTCATTCCCTTGTCTCGGACAAAAACAAATATCATGGCTGAAGTATGACGTTAGGATATGATCATCTCCTTCAAGCAGAACCCCAACCCGTGGTTATTTTTCTTCCTCCAAATGCAAATGGATGCAGGTGGTGACAAAGCGGCTGGCGAAGGTGAAAGCGCGTTGACGATTAGAGAGGGATCTGCATTGGATGGTGGAGAATCCGTGCCAGTTTACGAGTGGGGATGTCCTATGGACGGCAAAAGAATTCCTGGGTTGCAGGTGTGCAGTGAATCCAAACCCGACGAGACGGGTGAACCCAGTGAAGGAGGAGACGCTGCAGGTGACACGAAAGCTGGAGCACCGCGCGAATCGTGTTACTACCTGAGCTATAGCAACTATCGTAAGACCCATCTGGAATCGCAAGGTGAGGGTGACGCAGACGGCGGTGGCGGACAGTCACCGCAAGATACCCTGAGTCAAGCTGCGACAGCAAAGAGCGTTTCTAAGAAACTCTGTGGCCGTGTCGAGGTCGAAGGTGCAGCTGACGGCTCGCTCGCTGGTTGCACATGCGTGAATGCTGGTGCGTCGGCGATAATCAAGGACTCGAAGGTGCTCAAGAGTAGCAGCGGCGCGGCCGTGCCATTCTACTATACGCATCTCTCTTCTGATGAACAAAGGTCTAAAAAGATTTTGGTGGTTCCGCATACCGTATCAGCACCGCTGCGAGACGGGGACGACCCGGTTATGGTACCTCAAGAAGTTGCTGCCAGCGCCGATGGATCACATGGACAACATGGAGTCGTGCCGGGTAAAGAAACAAATATGCTCGAAGTCAGCCGTGAGATCATACCTTGGAAGTGGAATCCAAAAAAGTTTCAGCAATGTTTCGATTCATCCGGGTTTCTCGCTCCGATTGGGGATCCATTGGAAGCGATTCTGTCACCGATACCGGGGTCCGCTTTCTCTTCATCTGTCTCCTCTTCTACCTCGTCGTCTGCTCTAGTTCATCCATATTTCGTAAGATTGCCGAATGCGAATGCAAGAGGAGTACCGTCCACCTTTTTGTCTTCGCCGTTACTCTTGTCAGAGGCCAGCGCAGGAACTACAACTGGGACTACCAGTAGCACCAGCACCAGCAGCACAGGAGGAAGAGGAGGAGCACGATTACATCGAGGAGTCTCTCGACGAGTACTTCAGAGACGGAATCAGTGCGATGCCACTTCTTTTTTCTCAACAAACACTTCATGCAACCCGTCAAAGTACCGTGATACAGGATGGCTGGTGACGAGATCGAGAAGGAGCAAAGGACAGACGAGTGTTTTCTACAGCATTATCGGTCCGCCAGCACCCACGAGTGAGGCAGAAAGTGGCACGGCTGGGAAGGAACCTGCAGAGAACATGGCTAATGTTGTCGCTCGATTCCTTGAAGACTACGATAAAAAGGCCTCTGATTCTTTAGCGACACAAATGAAATCGCAAGCCGAGCAAAAGAGCACTGCACAAGATCCACCTCAAGCCATCTTTACTCCGAATGATGAGGAGCTTTGCAGGAACAGTGTGAACGGATCCTCTGCCAAAGGACAGGTCCCAGGAAGTGAAGTGCTCTTTGAAGCCTGGAGCCGCCTCAAACGGTGTATGCGGAAAGGGGCGAAAGCAGCGACTGAATGTGCAGGTGTACACGTTAAAGCGTCGTTGACTGGCGAACCGATCCCAAACGATTATAGCCAAGCTTCTGCTTCACCTGTAGCTGATGCAGGAGGAGTCACTGAGCAGCCAAACAAAATGATTACACAACAAGACGAAAGCCACCCGATCTCTGCCTTGCTAGATAGACTTCACATGTACGTATTTGAGAGATGTGGGAAACACAAGATCCATCCTGGACCACTGGCAGCAGATTTGGCTGGACGCCAATGATAATAGCGAAAGCACTTTTCGTAAGTGATTGAGTTGTACAGCATGCAAGCATTTTGTTCGTGGTTCCGTCTCAACAGTCTTGAGGTCGTGGAAAGCTGTCAAGGTGCTGCTGGTGCTGTAGGAGCGCAAATGACCAGCATTGACAAAGTAGTTCTATCGTCGCGTTACTAAATGTAGATCTTCACTAAATCATATTTATTCATCTTCATTCTCGGTTTCCGTTCTTTTCCTCGGAATCGGTCATTTGATCGGTGAGCTTGTAGGATTCGGATGCTTGGGAAAAACATGAGTCAGGTTTTCGAAAGCGAGGCACAACTTGATGGCGTGCGATGTATTAAACAGCATATGAGTGAGATTCCCCTGCTCCTGCACCCAATTGGTCATATCAATCACATCTACCGCTACCGCATCGTATATAATATAATTCAACAAGAACCCCTTTGTTCTTTTGCCTACAACTACGAATTAGGTAGTTGTCGATACATGATGATGACACACATTTTTTACATGGACTTGGACGTGCACGATCAGATGACTTCACCAGTATTCGGTCTGTTGGTGTTTCTGTTGTACGCCTAGTAGCAGAAGTACCAGTATAGAAAGAAACAGAAATTTACTCAGTGAAGATGAATGAAGATGAAAGATTTTTGACGTCGCGTGTATCTTATTATTTTCAATCTTTTGGAGGTAGACGCAAAGCCAAAGGGTATTAAGTATTGTCGACATCCTCCACCAGAGGCAAAAATATGTAGAAATATTGAAATAGGAGTTATTGCAAGAGCTGGTGTAAGAAGTCTATCACTAATATCATATTTCTTGGTGTTGTCCTGCTTGTTCTGATAGATACTCCTTTATTATCCCGCCTCGTCGACATAATCCTTCTAGAACAAGTGCTCACACTGCTAGCCGCCCTAACAACTATGACCGTCCAGCCGCCGATAGCGCCCCCTGCGGGCGTACCCGACCCTTGGGCTGGCGTTCCGGCTGATCATGGACAGAGCAAGATTCTCCCCAATCCGCCCAATGCGAGTCATCCTTCCGGCCACCCCGAATGGGTCGGCTCCGTCCCAAGCAAATGGACTGATCGAGCCAGTGGAAACCTCTGCTCAAGAAACATCGTCTATACAGCAGCGAGAAGTGGCGACAAGGATTCGCTTGCGAGGATGTGTACCAATCTTAGAATACTTGTTAGTTACCCTCGATCCATCCATTATAATTTCATTTAAAAATACAATGATCTTGCTTGTCATCTGAAGTTTTTAGATCTACTTCTCGAAGATGTACTAGTACAACTTACTAGCTATGAGCGTCCGATAACATCCCTCCCACTAGGATCCCCCTCCTCCCGAAAATAAGAAACTAAGCACGGCCTGCCTGCGTGGGTTTTGCTCGTCTTGTTTCTCTTCTTTCTTCATCTCATGGCCGAAAATTTTCCACGGCTTTTCGTCGTCTTGGGATTGAATTCACTGGGTTTGAAGTGCTAAAGTCCCAAAGTTTTTGACTCTAGGCACTTTCTGCGAAAGTCAATATCTTGGACTCTAATTTTTCAAATTTCGAAAATTTTCCGCGTTTTTTCGTCGTTTTGGGGTTGAATTTCGTAAGTTTGAAGTGCTAAAATCGCAAAATTTTCGATTTTGCGCACTTTCGCTGAGGTTTAATCTCTTGGAGTCGAATTTTTCAAATTTCGAAAATTTTCCACGTTTTTGCGTTGTTTTGGAATTGAATCCGGTGAGTTTGAAGTGCCTGCTTCTGCTAAAGTCCCAAAGTTCTCGACTTTAAGAACTTTCTGCGAAATTCAGTCCTTTGGCCTCGAATTTTTCAAATTTAGAAAATTTTCCACGTTTTTCCGTCGTTTTGGGATTGAATTCCGTGAGTGTGAAGCGTTAAAGCCCCGAACTTTTTGACTTTGAGCACTTTCGTCGAGTTTTAACCTCTTGGGCTCGCATCTTTCAAATTTCCAAAATTTTTTACGTTTTTTCGTCGTTTTGGGATTGAATTCTGTGAGTTTGAAGTGCTAAAGTCCCAAAGTTTTTGACTTTAAGCACTTTCGCTGGCATTCAATTTCCTGGATGCGGGTGCTTCAAATTCCGAAAATTTTGCGCGTTTTTTTTTCGTCGTTTTGGGATTCAATTCCGTGAGTTTGAAGTGCTAAAATCTCAAGGCTTTTGATTTTGAGCACTTTCCCTGAAGTTCAATTAATTTCTTGGCCTCGAGTTTTTCTTAAGTTCGTTGGCATTCAATTTCTTGGATGCGGGTTTTTCAAATTCCGAAAATTTTGCGCGTCTTTTCGTCGTTTTGGGATTCAATTCTGTGAGTTTGAAGTGCTAAAATCCCAAAGCTTTCGACTTTAAGCCCTTTCGCTGAAGTTCAATTTCTTGGCCTCGACTTTTTCTTAAGTTCGTGGCTCGTCGTTTTGGGATTCAATTCCGTGAGTTTGAAGTGCTAAAGCCGCAAAGTTTTTGACTTTAAGCACTTTGTTTCTCTGAAGTTCAATTTCTTGGCCTCGAGTTTTTCTTAAGTTCGTGGCTTCCTGGTTTCTTGGGTTTCCTGGGTTCAGTCATGGGTTCATGGGTTTGGGGTTTGCTGGTTTTTGTGTCGGAGGTTGTGGGTTTAGGTGTTGGAGGTTGAGGCTTCGGAGGGGAAGTGTTTGCTGAATTTTATTGCTCTTAATATTTTGGTACGACAAACAACATCAACATCGAGGAGTACTAGCAGGAAGATCAAAGCCTTTTCAATCTTACCTGCACAGCATTTGGAGGCTATTTTTCGGATGTGCGGGGGCTCGAGCGACAGACGGGTCGCAAGTACATTCAAGAAAAGCAGTACCCAGAGGGCGAATGGAAACCGCTTGTGAAATTATGGTCCTCCTCATTTCGTCAGACCAACCATGTGCAGCTTTAATTGCGTTGAAAAAGTACTAGTGGAGTATCAAATATGTAATCAGATCATATTACTGCTCGGTATCATCAATAAAAATTAATTGACCAAGAAATCCAATACCATTGGGTTTTTCTTCTAATCCTCAAAGTAGACGAGGTCTCCGGGTGGGATCGTCCGGCGCGACCTGAAGGCACCAAGCGACCGCAAGTGATGGAAAATCAGCGACCAACGATGCGTCGAGAAAAGCGGCACATCAGGCAGGTTGAAAGTCATCAAGAGTCGTACGACGTACCAGAGGGCAAGCAAATCGTGCAACACAACTTCACTAGTGCGGACGGGAGTGAGCTGCAAATGCGTCGGGCAGATAAGATCGCGGCAGAACAGACTCTGGAGCAAATGATGAGCAGGAAGCAAGGGAAGCCGAAGACGCTGTTGGAGCAGCGAAACGGAGTTGGCGTGGCCTCCTTGGGAGACAAATACTACAAATATCCAGAATACAGTGACCGGTTTTTTCGCGGTATCGACTCGTGTGGCTACGCGAGAATCGGTCGAACAGCAGAATCTATGACTTTCTTTTACTACATTCATTCATCTTGTTCTCGACGAGAACCATCTATCTTAAGTAGAGGCAGAGCTCTGTTGCAGATAATGTAGTGGTCTTTCTCTTTACAACTCGTCATTCGTCACTCTGCTTTTCAGCGACACTTTTTAGCACTTCTAGTCCGCTAAGGCAAAGCCAGTACTTCCCTCTCCAAGCTCAAAAAATAACATTAACAGCTATTAACAGATTCAAATAAAACCAACTTTCATTATCCTGATCCCTGGCAGCGGCTTTGTGCGTGGTAGCTACCAGAAAACGATCCCACGAATGACGACGAATTGGCAGGCCTTCGCAGCCGAATGTTATCCTGACAGCTGTCGCCGGAAAACGTTCGCGCAACTCGAGGCTGAAGCAGCTCAGGCGGAAGCGGAGAACAGCGTGACCCAGCTAACGAAAACATGGGAGAAAAAGGAGCTGAAATTCGGAGACCCAAACTACGAAGAGCCAAGCGACTCCGATGATGAACAAGGAGGTGGGGAATAGAAAGAAGTGGAGAGGGCAATAGGGATAGTGCCTAAGTATATCTTCAGGAAGGAAGAGATGAAGAGCAAGAGCACGACCTACTTGGATGTTTAAGTGAGGATTCATAATAGCTAGGAGGAGAACTTCTAAAGCAAAATGTTGACCATGTTCTTGAACACCCTGATTATGTTAAGCAAACTTTCGTGCCTCCGCGCGATTTCCATTTCATCCACTTACAACTTATCTGGTGACCATAATTCGACAACTTGACCTTACTACCAGTAATATGATGTCAAGATGAGACTGATTTTGACTACTTATGCAACGTCGTCGGCACAAATTTTGTGTGACAGTGATTCAATCGGCGGGAGACGACTCCCTCTCCCACACGTGGGATAATGAAATAGGTCAAGAGCATTGACCAAATGATGACTCACCCAAGAATACCAATATGCATGTCGTCGTGAGACGTGAGTCGTGTTTATGCATAGCTTCTGATACTGACTTCTCACAATTCGAGGGCATACTACTAGACTTGAGCGCCCGGTAGCACTCCTCCCACTAGGATCATCCACCCCCGGCACGCACTTCCTCAATCCCGGCGCGATTCCGCTTCCCCGGCTCCTCCCTCCCCCGCCCGCCAACCGTCTGGCGGCGTTGATCGTTGGGACAAGAGCTGGGCGGGGGACGGCGTGCGGCTATTGATTAAGAAGGCACACACCGAAGCCGCTGGCTTGTCGTTGTGCTCTTCTTTTGGTAGGTTTCGCCTTCTTTGCGTGCAAGTTGCAGCGCTCGACTTTGCAGCTTGTCGAGGTTCCCCTTCTTGTGATACAATCAAAGACTTCGGACGGGAATTTTTCAAATTTCGCTTTTATTGGATATACATAGTAAAAAGCTTTGGGCTTCCAGTCTCAAGCTTGAAACTTTGAGACATTGGGGCGCAGCCTTTAGTCTTAAGCGTTCGGCCTTGGGCTTTTAGCTTGGGGCCTTCAGCTTCGCGCTTTCAGTTTTGGGCTTTCAGGTTCCCCACTGAGCTGTCAGTCTTGAGCTTTCAAGTTTCAACTCTGGGCGCTCGGTTTTGGGCTTTGAGCTTCCAGCTTTGAGCTTTCAGCTTCGAGCCTGCAACTTTGGGCTTTCAGCTTGGAGCCTTCGAGATCTTTCTTGGGGCTTTCAGCTTTGCGCCTTGGGCTTTCGGCTTTGGATCTTCAGCTTTGGGCTGTCTGGTGTGGGCTTTCAGCTTGACACTTTAAGGCCCAGGGCTAACCAATTCTTAGGCTTTTACTTTTTCAATTTTTTGAGCCCATTCAAACCGTGAAGGCTTTGACCTTATCCATCGCGTAGCTAAGTTTTGAAGCCAGAAAGATAGTGCTCATCTGCGCGAAGGCAGGGCTAACCAATTGATTCCGGGGCCTTTCTTTAAATTTTTTGGGTTCAAATTCTATAGATTTTGGCTTTATCGCGTAGGCTAAGGCGTTAACCTTCGCGCCCATCTGCGTGAGCTCAGGTCTAACCAATTGACTCCCAAGCCTCGCAGGCTCATAAGCTTGCAAGTTCGTAAGTTCATAAGTGGCGCCGATGATGGTGGTGATGATGATAGTGGTGACGATGATGACGCAAGCCCACCGATCGGGTGGGGCGGGAAGCGTGAGCCCCTAAGTTCCTAGGCGCAGGCCGCCTATTTATAGGCTCAGAACCTCTGAAAGTTTGGAAATTTCGGAAAGTTTGGAAAATTTGGAACATTTGGAAAGCCTGGAGTGGCCGGATGAAGGCTTGGGAAGTTGGGAAAGCTCGTGAAGCTGGGGAAGCTGCGAAAAGTTGGGAAAAGCTGGGAAAGTTGGGGAAGCTTGGAGAGCTTGCAAAGCTGGGGAAAGTTGGGAAAAGTTCCGAAAAGGCTCGAAAAGCTGTGAAACAAATGGAAAAGGTGCGAAAAGTTGCGAAAAGCTGGGAAAAGTTGCGAAAAAGTTGGAGGAAGTCGGAGAAAGTTGTGAAAAGCTGCCAGGCAAAAGCTGGGAAAAGTTGGGGAAGTTCGTAAAGCTGGGAAAGCTTGGACAGTTTGGAAAGCTTGGAAAGGTTGGAAAGTTTGGAGAATTTGGAAAGTTTGGAAGGTTTGGAATGCTTGGAAAGTTTGGAAAGCTTGGAAAGCTTGGAAAGTTTGGAAAGTTCGGAAACTTCGGAAAATTCGGAAAGTTTGGAAAGTTCGGAAAGTTCTGAAAAGTTGCGGAGCAAAAGTTGCGAAAACAACGCTGCGAAAACAAACTGGCGAAAAGTTGCGAAACACACAAAGAAATAAAAGCTGTGAAAAAATGCGAGACAAAAGCTGCGAAACAAAAGCTGTGTGTGAAACAAAACTTGGGAAAAGCTGGAAAGAGCCAGAAAAAGTTTTTGGGAAAAGCTGGAAAGAGCCAGAAAAAGTTGGGAAAGCGGGGAAATTTTGGAAAGCCTGGAAGCTTGGAAGCCTGGAAGTCCATGCGTCAGAAGTGGAAGGTTGAGAGTTTGGAGGGGTCGTTGTTGTTTTTTAATTTAGCTCGTTAATATTGATGGCCGCGACGAACGGGGAAGGCGTTTGCTTGCAGCTTCTTTCTTTCTTGTTATAAATGAGTCTAATGCACCGACCCGTTCTAAAGGAGCCACAACGGATACCAGGAGAACCGCTGGACGCTGCACATCGGTAGTCCTCAAGAACAACGTGCATGCCCTTTCAGGATAAAAGATAGGCTCGGTCGCAGGTAATACAGTACTGTAGTAGAGCAGTCGATCTGTTGGTGTGTTGCGCATCGGTGAATTCTCAAGGTCGCAACTTTGAACACGCCCACACCTCTTCTTCCTCCATCCGTTCTGATCGTGTCGTCACTCTCGACGAGTCTAGTTCTAGTATGTCATCCCTTCTATTGGACAGTTGAGACTAGGTGGACTAGCCACATTCTCAACATAAGCTCGTGAGTATAATCTGTCACAGGAGTAACTTACTACATTTTTAACTACTTCGTAGCGATGTAAAGACAAAGTGCGTTACTTGATGCAGATGCAAATTTTTTTGCACATTTTTTCGCTTCCATGAATAGGGTGGTGTCTTTCAACATCGCTCCTTAAGACGTCTTTCCAAGAACATCTTTGATCGTAATTTCTTTTCGCGATCCCAGAGTAGTCGAAAATGCCGAAGAACAAGAAGAGGAACAATTCCAATAAGAAATGGGCGCCGGCGAAGGTCAGCAACTCGCCCGCTCCGTTGCCAGTGCCTCCACCTGCAGTACTGGGACAAGAGAAGCATCAAGTAGAATCCACCGAGACCGCAGCCGGCCTCGATTCCGCGACCCCTCTTGCAAATGAGGCTGAGCTTGATGCTTCACACCTCGGCCTTGACGATCTGAACCACTCAGTCGGCTCATTCCAGGAGTCGTTTCATACAGCGAGCGGCTATTTCTCGGCCGCGGAACAATTTCACACTGCTCATGACTCAGCCCTGCATAGTGTGGCTTCGTCATCCAAAAACAGTGGAGCCGGATGTGCAGAAGCAGAGGTGGGAGAAATCAGGGCAGCGGGAAATGAAGAGGCCAAGAACAATGCGCCAGACGCAGAACTGAGCTCGAACTCATCTGGCACGGACAATGGATCTTCGCAGGGTATTATTTCGTTTACTTGCAGCGTGGTGAAGCAAAATGGCCAGGAGAATGTGGATGAAAGGGTTGCCGATTCCATGACATCGTCCTCTGAATCCAATGAAGAGGAACTTCTAGGACGACTCGGAGAAAGTCCATTGGAGATGGAAGGGCTTCATTGTCAGCCAAGAGCGGATAACGCGACATCGTCGTCGGCGGGTTCCGGATCAGAAGGAAACGGTGATGAAAAAGAACGAAGTGATCATGAGAACAGTGATCAAATTGTAGACGAAAGTAGCCGTGGAAGCGATAGCGCTGGACGACATGAAGAGCCTATAGTATCTTCTTCTGACAGTGCGGCAGAAGCAAAAGGTGAAGCATCTCATGATGTCGCTTCCTCTGATGTTGCTCCAGAAGCGGAACAAGAAACACCATTTGCCGGGAACTTTATGCGTGATGTACCGACTGAAGGCCAACACCAGATGAAGGTATTACGACACAAGCTATCCGCCTTAGTCTTAGCCTGATTGGGTCTATAAGCAATTATATGACCGTAGGTATAGGAATACAAATATGAGCATCTTGATGCACATGCTGTACTAAGGTGACTGTACGTACAAATACAGACACCCACCTTACTCTAGGCCTAGTTGTAAAAGTCTAAGTGATGCTGAAAAAGGTGCATAGTCACTAAAAGATGAATACTTCTCTCCTCAATGTGCCATCTCACTACCTAATGCTAATCTAGGGTCCGCAGTCGGCGAGCGGTGGTCGAAATTCTTCCGAAGATGAGCGATCTTTGAACATCGCAGACGTTTCCTTTGGTGGTGCTACAGCATCAGCGACAGAAGCATATCCTGGCGATGTGTCTGGTGGGAATGCGGAGCACGATACGACGAGGAAGCCGACAGAAATGCAACCTCCAGAAGTGCCTGCCTCTCGTTCCTCAAGAAATATGTCACCAGGCGCTCTCGAGGCACGCGCGGCACTCCACGAACTGAAAGCACACCAAGTGATGAAAGAAAAGCATGGGCGAGGAGCGGTTTCTCCAGTAGATGCTGCCTCGTTGTACACCACACCTGCGCCCTCTGCGATAACTCCCGGTGGAGGCCGAACGAGCATTCTGAAATCGACACTGGCGCGAAAAAGTTCCACATCAGAGCAGGAAGGTACGTCATCCTCGTGTGGTGGCAGCGAGCCTGGCGGAGTTAGCATTCCGTCCAAGATCCGACGATCCGGCTCCGGTGCTCGCACTAACGCGGCAAACCCTGCTGCGTCTCCTACCAATAGCAGCAACGTCACAGTTCGAGCCGGAGCAAGCGATGTTGATCCGCTTAGCGCAGTGGGAGAACAATCAGGCACTCGACGAAGCAGTAAAAGTGGAAAGAGCAGCAGCAAGGAGGACTCAATTTCAATAATTGGGGATCGGGAGCAAACCACGGTCGATAGCAAAAAATCTTCACAGGCGGGTCCTCAAGAAGTCATGAACAAAAAACATAATGTGATCGGCAAGTTGAATTTGGAGAAAAACACGTCATCTAGGAGTGTGGAACATCTGCAACGCGAGGTAGCAAGGGGTTTGATGGCGGGTGAAGACGAAGAAGAGGAGGACGACGACGTCCTCGACGATGCAGAGGACGGACGAACTGGTCGCGCTGTGCCAAGGCACCGTGGATACTACACAAGCGAGCGCCTTCAACGCTACGCGCGTGAATACGAGGAATCCGAAGAGGAAGAAGGCGACGTCATAGAGGACGTCACTCTTAACATGCTGAGTAGTGACGCACTCTTGGGATCCTGTCTAGAGACTTCTCCCTCCGCTGGGGCGGGACGCGCTGGAGGTGCAGACCAGCATCAACCTGAGGAAACGCCTAGCTGCTCCTCTCGGGAAGGAGAGGAAACTCCATCCAGCAAGAGAGACAGCACAGCTGTGTCAGCGTCAGGCACGACACTGAGAACACCAGGAGCAAATCGAGAGGACGGCGAGGGCGTCAGTGGCCGAGCTCCCCACCATCCTGGTACGTTGCCGGTGCTGAGCCCCGAAGCACGCAAACTTCGCCTGCGCGGTGTGCCGCCTATCACTCAGTCGCAAGAGGACCGAGCAGATGATGTGGTACAAGAACAAGCGCAAGGCAAGACGGCTGTTGAAAGTGCGGCTATTCCTGCTTCGCCTGTGTCATCAAGCTCGTTCACTGACCAAGCGATTTCTAAAGGTCCAGTCACCGACGTTTTTCCGCGCCCAGACGAGGGACGAACAAGGGCACGAGCTGAGGGCGAGGCAGTCTCTGTAGAAGAAGGCGCAACCGTCAACAGTTACAGCGCGATAATAGACTCACTGAATCTCGACTATGCCCCACCGGCTGCTACTGCTGCACCACAGACGTGCGGCTTCGATCGCGACGCAGAGCGTTTTTTCACGCGAGAATTGTGCCCCAGTCCCGAAAAGATGGAGATGATTAATCTGAACTCAGTTGAAGAACCAGCTGGCGAGCAAGGCGTATGCTTTTTTGATGACGCCAATGCGGATCGGTCAAGCGAGCAGTTTTCAGCACGATCGAGTGCCGCAGGAGGCGGAGGCAAGTCCTCGGTGTTCACGGTGATGGATGAAAATGGGCGTCCAACCGAACTTAGCGAACAAGAATACCGCATCTGGCTCAGACGACCGACAGACGCAAATCATGAGGAGGTACCGCCACAATACACCCAACCGAAAATTCCAATGCAAGAATAGGTAGTTTTGGTAGTCATGAAAAAGACCTTTAACAAGATCACGACTCGATGTTAACAAGATTCATTGCTTAATGATCAACGCCGTATGATCTCTCACAGGTTGAGCTGACGCCTCGGACACAAGGCTTGATCATTACGGATGAAGCATCAACATCTCCAGCGCAGGAGCCCACCTTGCATCCGAAATTCCAACGGCGACGGGAAAGTATCAAAGTGGCGCTTCCTGGCGTAGTCTCAGAATTTAAAACGAGTCTGGTACTACTTACTTTTTACTGTAGCCTCGCAACATGTAGATGTACTTCTTGAATTTGTTTCCTATTGAGTATTCGTATTTCTTTGTTTAAGTTTATATATGTTCCAGGTCGCGGGGCGACGCCCCCCCCCCCTAGCGGGGGGGGGGGCGAGCGCCCTGGACCCCTTTTTGAGGCGTCTACCGGGGGAGGAAGGCCGCAAAAGGGGGCCAAGGGGCCACCCCCGGTCCCTTCCAGGAGCTTCGTGTCCCCTGGAGGCCTGGGAAGTAGGTGGAAGGCGTCAAGGGGGACCAAGGGGCTCGCTGCCTCCTTCTCGTTTGCGTGTACCCTACAGGCTTGAAGGGCTAGATGACTACAGACAAAAGGGGCCCACGGGACCGCCTGCGCCCCCGCCCAGGTGCCTGCCTGTGCCCTCAGTGCATCCCGCCGCAGCAGTGCACCGGCAGCGGAAGGCCTCCGTAGACGGCAAAAGGCAAGGGGCTGGACCTCCTGGGCCGTGCCGCCTGTACCCTCCGGGCCCTTGGTCAATCATCGGCTTCCTTGCTCTCGCGACCGTGGCCCTTAGGAACGCGCCAAGTCTTGACGCCTGCGTGCCACCACTAGAATCCGCGAAAAATCCGCGCGGAAAAGCGCGCGGGCGCGCCACCACAGCCAAGACCACAGGGGGGGAGGGGGGGCCGTTCGGCCCTGAGTCATATACTCGTTTTCAAAATGGCTACTCGTATTCATCGATTTAATGGTCTTGGCCATTTTGTCGAGGCCTATTTGTGTTGTAATACACCGTCGCAGCGGCTCTTGCACTGTTCGTCGAAGTTGATCCTCCTCCTGTGTGTGACCTCTACTAGAGTTATTATTTTGCGACTCCGTCAATGAGGTAAACGAAGTAGGATATCCCATGCGGGGCATTGGTCACAGCCAGTTCGTGTATACTTTGAACACGGGAGATCTTGCACCAACGCGTATCGCGGCACCGGTTTTGAAGGCCTTACCTACGGATATCGTCCGAATCAGCAGCGCCAATGCTTCAGGCTTCTTCCCCACAACTATTGTCCAGACAACGTCTGGCGGCACTGGGGGTCAGGGCAAAGACGCAAAGGCAGCGACGGGTGACAAGAATCAGCACAAGGGTGCTGTTGCTGGTAAACAAGCCGATCCAGCAGCGGTGCAAGAAGATGATACCAACAAAGGCAAGGTGAAAGACAAGGACAGTGCACCATCTGCCGGTGCCGATAAGCCGAAATACGACAGAAGTGTTTCAGCACAGGAGTTTGTTCAGTCTGCGGGACAAGCAGATGCCAGTAAAAAGGGTTCTGCAACATCAGCATCAGGACCTACTCAAGCACAGCTACAACCACCTCCACTGCGCGCCACGCTGACGAAACCGGCAGGCATTTCGCGAAACATGACAGCCGCTCTGCAAGCAAGTGCCAGCTGCTTTGGACACGTCGTGCGGCGATCGTCAGAATTCGAAACCACTGCTGACGGAATGCGAAAGAACTTCAAAGAAGAGGTGTCTACATCCAAAAAGACGAGCATGGTACTCACTCATTTTGTTGATCTTTGGACTTGCATCTAATCTCGAGGACCTCCAATACAACTCATCGTAGTACTTACTTTCTTACGTAAGACTAAGAGTACCAAATAGATATCATAACAGCCTGCCAGTTTTTAACGCAAGTTGTACTTCTCAAAACGCAAACAAGACTAAGAATAAGATCACGCAGGAGTGTGACCTACATTATATAGTAGAGTAGTTTATAGACGGTGGGAAGGTGGGCACGCTGGGCGGCCACGCTTGGCACGGTGGGCGGACCTTTGGCACACATGGGAGGCACGGCGGGCGCACGCTGGGCACCTATTGCGTTGCCCCGCTGCTTCCGCCAATGTACAGGGCCGCAGTCGAGTCGAGTCGAGTCGACTCGAGGGCGGCGCTGCGCTGCGCTCCTTTGCGGAGTGGCCACGTTCTCGCTGTTTGCGGTGCTTCGCTGCTGTATGAAGTGCCGCCTGGGTGTGTAGAGCGCGGCGCAGCGCTGCCGTGTGCCTCAGTGCTCTGCTGCAGTGTGCGGACGGCGCTGCCGAGGGATATTCCCAGGCGGGCCAGTAGTTGGGCGTCCTGATTCGTGTGCAACTTGCTGCGGATCCAAGGCGCAAGCGCTTACTCTGCTGGGGGGCTTCAGAAATGGGCCCCGATTTTTGACCCCAGTCTCATGGTGGGCGCACGGTGGGCGAAATCTTTCGCAGAAGACCCACTTTGGGGTCGCCCAGCGTGCCAAGCGTGCCCACCGATCCAATTCCGGGGAGGAAGTGAACTTTTCGAAAGTGGTACCTTTTCCCACGTGGCGAGTGAGAAAGGGCGGCCTGCCGCCTGCATAAGTCCTCTGTGATCGCGTCCTAATTTGCAACAGGTATTGTGCAGTCCGCGACTTTCGTTACCACCGTCTCCATTGGTGCCCGCTGGTCGCGACTACCAAGTGGCACCTGCGCCCGGGGCTGGTCTACTCGGTATGGGGTCATCTGGAGCAGGGCTACACCTACCGGAACATCATATTGGAGGCTTACCATTCGTCCCGTTGCAGACGATCGCCCAGCCGCGGATCTCAGCACCACCGGCTGTTGCCAACGATCGCGGAACGCCGCGCTCGAAAAGCAGTTCTGGAATCCGCAGTCGAAGTGAGAACACATGCCGTGAGGCAGCACCTGCGCAGGCCCGCGAGGGCGCACGACCACGGCAACCAGGCACAGTGGCGGAACACGCAGCGGGCGGAAGCTGTTTTGCGTCGCCACGAAGTTCCTGTACGCCACGTCATGTGGAAGACATGAATAAGATCACGCACGGACTGAACTCGGCGGCATTCGCCTTCAAACGCGAGTCTCTCCAAGTCCGTCCGATGTTCGCTCCAAAAATCAGCACTGTAGCGGCAGTAGCTGGCCAGCAAAGGGATCCACAGGGGGAAGGTGAAGCCAGTGCTCAATTGCTGCACTTCGGTGGAATCCAGCTTGCTGGAGGGCGACTCTCGCTTGGCGGTCACCAGAAGCAGTATTTGAAGTCGACTGTTCAACAGGACTGCGAGGCAGAGCCGACCACGACGAGTGATCAAGCTACAGCACAACAAAAGGCGAACATGCAATCCACATCTGAGATGCACCCAATTCTTAATGGCACGGACCGATCCATGGAAAACCCAGCGGGTATGATCGCGGTTTCTGCGATGCGCATGCCTTCCAAGGTGCCTTCTCTCGGAGACAGTCAGCTCGTCTACGGAGAGGGCAGCGAACTAGAGAACCCATGGGCAGACCCAGATCACGAAGTTGTAGAGGACTTAGCAGAGGGGGCACAAGTAGAGGGAGGAGATAAGGATTTTTTCGGAATGAAGGCTGCAGTAGAGCAGATTCCACTCCATATTCTGAAGAACGATGAAAACGATTACAACATCGAGCGTGCGAGGATGATAACGGGAGAGCCAGGGACCTCCGCTTCGCGGGCGTCTTCACCAGCTCAGCCACCGGGAGCACTTGCAATGGATTTCCTGAAGCGAAACTCAAAAGCATCGACCCCCGGTGGAGGTATGCCAATCGGTGTGCAGTCAGCACGAGGTGGCTCGACCATCTGCTCACTGCTCCAGCAAGCTCACTTTCACGACCGATTGAGCATAGCGAAGCAAGCACGCGCAGCCGCCGCGACCGATAGGCTCTCGGCGACGCAGGAACGTGCCTCCTTCACGATGCCAGTGCAGCCGAAGGCTCCTGGTGTTGGATGGATGCCCACGCAGGCTCTTGAGAATTTCAAGCGGCACGCGAACTCCGTCGGATTGGATCGTCCGACGCTCGATGAAAACGGCTTCCTTGTACTAGAACGTGCGGAGTTCTACGACGCGAGTGACGCCGAGGGAGAAGCGCTGCTGGCGAGCTCCCGTAACGTTTCCCCATCTGCGGGAGGCTTGAGCAGAACAATAGAAAATGCCAACCACAGTGCCGGTGAGGAAGACGAGCGCGGCGCTGCCGAGCCAGAGGACGGCGGGGCAAAAGGCTTGACCGCATCTGTCGGTGCTTCAACTAAAGCGAGGCGCATTACAGACCGCGCAACTTTGTTAGACGAGGAGAACGAAGACGAGCTAATTCAAGCGTCATCGATCAGCGTCAACCAAGTCCAACGATCGCAAAGTGCGACTGCTGGCGCAGGCCAAGGACGACGCTGTATCCTCGCACACGTTGTTCCGCATTTGCGGGTTAGCAAAGTCCTCGATGCGCATCCAAGCGAAGGACCTTTGAAAGCACCGATCAATCTGCGGGCCTCGCTGAGCAAGCCACCTGTGCCGCCTGCTCCGCGGACACGCGCTCCTACCGCCGAGAGAGAGGATCAGGCACCAGCTACTTATGAAGAGGGAGGGGGCGATGCGCCCTCAGAGAGGTCCCGACTTCAGCCACCTCATCTGGCCTTTCCGCAATTAAGGCCACCAGGTGGACCCACCATGACTGCCGCAGATGCAGTCGACGAAGCTCGACGTTCAGGTGGCGGCCAACTCCTGGGCGGGATTGCTCCAAAGATCAAAGGCTTGGAACCGCTGGCACAGATCGTTCCAAACGACGAGGAGGAAGAACGTGACGAGAACGGCGAAACAGCGAGAGAAAGAGAAGCACGCCTGAAACGTGAGCATATCGAAAAGTACGACTTGTGCCCGCCGAAAGCGATCACACTGTCAGCGCCAATTCGTGTGAGTATGGATTTCTTCCACGAGAAAGGGCATCACGCGCACATCGCACGCGGGGGAATGGCACTAGCGCACGCCAAAACTAATTTCGCACCCATCGATGAGACAGCGCACAACATTTTCCGTCCACCAGCTGCGGGAGCTGCGGCAACTGGCATGAGCGTGCCGGGTATGGTTCCTGGACCAGGTCAGTGTTTGCTTCAAGAGTCTCACCTTCAAGGCCCGCAGCTTTTCGCGTCACCCCGGACGCTACAATCACCACGAGGTCTACTAGACTTCATCTGTGATGGCGCAAACAACGAACAACAGGCCTTCGGGTCTGCGGATTTCCAGATGAATATTGAGGACGATCAAGGTGGCGTAGTCAATGAAGCAGGAACTGCAGCAACCTCAAAGAAGAAGCGACGCAGCGAGAGCAATGCGAGGGCCTCTGGGAATAGACGGCCCTCTACATCTGGCAGCGGTCGTGGTAGTGTCACGGGGCGCCCCTCTCTTCCTGCATCAACAAGGCTCTCATCGACCAGTCCCAACAAAGGTCCTACACTCTCGCGCGCAGCGCTAGCCCCTCCTATGGAAAATGGCACAGTTGAAGCTGGAAATGCTGAGGCACAAGGTACTGCAGTAGGCGTCCTGATCGTCAAGCAGCCACCCCCAACCCAAATTGATGGTTTTGTGGATGTTTCGCCTACTCAACCTACTAACGGCAACGTTGCTGCTCCTGGAATTATGGGAGCCGGGCTCGATCTAAGGACGGCTCTTGGTGCTGTTACTGTGCCGCAACAGCAAGGACTACTGGCCGCAGCTGATGGCCAAATTGGTACCGCAGTGACGCCAATTCAGTTGTTTCCTCCAGCCAGTGCAGAACAACAAGAGCAAGCAGCTGCGCAGCCGAGCCTTCAAGTTCCAGGCCTCATCTTCAAGCCCATGTCGGCTCGCGACGCGTTGAAGAACGCAATGGTCCGCCCGGGTGACCGCAACTACGCGAGAAATTCGATCGCGCATGCCCATGATGTGGACACGCATATGCCTCTGGACTTTCTGAATAGCTCGACGCTGTCCGGCAATGCGGGTAGTCGCAGTCAGTCGAAAACGTCAGTTGACGATGGAGCAGGCGGGGCAGAATATCACGCGCCCCCGCGCAATAAATTGCTGTTCGACGGAACCGGAACGACGGGAAGTGGCGGTAGCACAGTAACTAGTGCAAACAATAGAAAGTCTTTGCCAGGTGGTACTTCAAGTCTCAACAAGCTTCGACAGGCAGCAAAATCTGTCGAAGCAGCGGTTGGAATTACCTCAAAAGCGGCCACACGAACTTCCTTGCCGGTTGGTAGCCTCAACGGTCGGTCGCCACCGCCTTCCCTATCGAGTAATGCTCGGATGAAGCAGGAGCAAGTAGTGGAGAAGCAGCGCCCGTTGCAACAAGGTGGCGCCTCGAAACCTCCTATGGCACCTCCTCCTTCAGGCACGACAGTTGTAGAGCAGGACGAGGACGAGAGCAACAAGCTTCTGGACTGGCGAAAACCTGGGATTACCAAACGAGCGAGCGTGCAACCTGGGCTTGCTGACGATCATCACGAGCGATTTCGGGCATCAATCAACACGAAACACGCTGACATTCGTATGCGGATGACGCCACGTCCTCTGCCCAACGCAACAGAACTTATGGCCAGCACGTTTTCCAACGGAGGCACCGATAACACAACATCGGATACTCCGCACCAGTTGGGAAGTCTCAAATTTGACTTGAAGCTCGGTCAGACTTCCCGCGTTGATGTCCCTGGAGGTGGTCGGATGAGTGCGCCGGGAGGTACTGCGGTCGGTATGACACCACGGGCGCCAGCGTCGGCGCGCGGAGATAGCCTCACAAAAAAGAGTACCAGCAGCAAAGCAGCTAGGACTAGGGCTGCGAGAACAAGCGTTGGAAAGGCGCGCGTAGTCTCCTCCTCCTCCGCATCTGCACGTGCAGCAGGAAGCGTCCGCACTTCAAGTACGAAGAAGCGGAGCCCCTCGACGACAAGCAAGACAAAGCAGCGCTCGTCAACTGCATCTACCTCTTCCGCTGCTGCTACCGGGAACAAAAACCTAACGTCCAGAAGTCGCAAACGGTCGTCGAGCCCGAAGGGTAGCAGAAAGAGCCGCAGTGGTGGCAGTCAGTCTTCGCCAACATCCAGCGTGGGTGATAGCGCAAAGAAGGGGAGAAAAATCAAACGTAGTTTTTCCCGCTCCTCGTCAAAGGGAAACACTGCCAAGGCATCTTCGAGTGCAAACAAGAAGAGCGCTGATGGTGCTACGGCCGCGCGCCGGTCATCTTCAGGTTTTCCTAACAAGAAAACATCCACCACCTTTAGCGCACCTAAACGCGGAAGCACTTCCGCGCAGCGGCCACAACTATTCTACGAAGCTGAGCAAGTTATAGGCTTACAGGCTCAGGCATTTACACCTGGAGCACGGCCTATGAATTTCCATGCAGCTCCAGCTTTCCCGCGGCAGCCGCAAATGCCGAGCACCAAAGCGATGACTCCGCAACCGCTACCACAGATGCCGGGCATGACCAACATGAGTGGACTCTATGCAGGTTACAGCGACTATTCGATGCAAGCGCGAGCGCGTATGCTGCAACAGTATTGCGATTTCCGTCCGTCTCAACATGAGTTTCTGCAAGAGCCAGCGATTCTGTCTGATGAAGTCACGGACAAAAGCGGCTGCACAGACCAAGATCACGTAGAACAGCACGATCTTGACCACGACACAGGTTCGGGCTCAAATGCAAATACTAGCGTCATGAGCACTACTCCACAGCGCCTTTCACCAACCAAATCGCTGCCTCCAGGGAGCAACGGGAAGGCACTCAAGGTAGCGCTCGAAGCAGAACGCAAAGCAAATCGTCGAGAACGCGAACAGGCACGAAAGGATCGCATCGCTTCGAGATCAGAGCAGTTGAAGAAATAATGATGAGCATTGAAGACACGACATGATCCACCGTACACGTACACGACCCTACTTAGATAGTATCTATAATAAATTTTTTCAGAACATCAACATTAACGTTTTCCCTTTCCAATTGATTCCAAGAAGCAGCTGAAACTCCTTCGACATATTCATATTCTTTCATCGATTAATATGTAATCGTCAAGTTATCAGTATCAAGAAGTCTCTGTGCGGTAATTTATTTGTTACCAACATTTTGATTTTCAGTGATCATGATCATCCATAGGTATGTTGACCCGGAGCCGAATATCAATCGTCTTGGTCTTCATAAAGATACTGATACACTCAGAGTCGGAAATATTAAACTGAGACTTGATAATCGCGAAAGAGCAGCTATGGTATGAGTGTGTGACTTCACACAAATCTTCTAGTTTCTGCAAATATTCTTCCTACTAAGAATACCAAGTATTTTTTTTTTGCGTGTAAAAATGTGCTTCGACTCAACAAGTTGGGACAGACAGAGAAACCGGTGCCACACGCAGTTTATTGAGAAAAAATATGTAGTACGCAGTACCAGTAGAAATAGAAGTTCTAGTATTAGTTGCCCACTGTAGTTGTACTATGGGCTGCATCATGATGGAAACATAACGAACAAGATGGAACATAACTGCAGAACAGTCCTGCACCCACAATTGAACATTGTCACTGATCGAAATCGAATACGAAATACTTACATACTGGTTTAGATTCTTCGGCTTATAATTTCATTCATTGTATGTTGTTTATGACGAGAAAGTAGGATGCTACCATCAAGGAGCAAGGCACGCCCACGCATGACGCCTACAAATACATATTAGGTTTTACAGAAAAAATTGGTTAGCTTATTCAAACTCAGCATGATAATAGAAGGAGTAGATGTCAATGATACAACTTCTTCAACTAAGTGAACGCTTAATTGAAGGAATGTCTCGTCCATTCCTAACACGTTTGGGATTGATTTCCCGTAGACATCGGGAACGAAATCTTCTAAAACTATGACTTCTATGTTAGTGGTACATGAACATGTAATATATCTTTGTAAAAGAAGTATTTCTCGATTCTTCGACTCCAGTGCGCCAGCCTTATCGGTGCCTCGACGTATATCTTCGTTTACGTGGTTCAGATCATCCGCGAACCAAACCGAAAAATAATGTTGTCGAAGCTAGCTGGAGCTGGCTTACGTTTCCAGCAGGCGCTTAGCCATCAACTCGGTTAAAGCCCTGCTTCTATCAACACCTCTGTAGTGCGCTTATCAACGCCGCGACGGAACAACAGCAAAGTTGCTCGAGCAGGTTCCAAATCGGTCCCACTGACACACTCACTCAATATCTTCGGTATCAGCGAGTATGCATCAAGTACTCTCCCTTCGCCTCCGCACCTCTTTCGCCTGTAGTTCTTGCAGTTGCACGACATCCGTAGGATTTCAATCTGTTTGTCACGCCTTCCTTCGGAATAAACCAAGTGGTATCTTGTGCATTTTAGTTATCTTCAGTCGCTTAGCTTCATCGACAACGTTATTCAATCATCCACATGCTTACCTCTTCTGCAACTCGTACTTGTGTTGAGCACAGGCTCGCTCACCCATCGTCCAAGCTGCCTAAATTTAGGCTTGGAAGGACCGCGGCCACCACGATAAGAAGAGTTATATTACTTCTAGGTAGCCAATCAATGTTGATAAAAGGTAATTGAATCGTGTATGCTAGAATGTAAAACGAGCACTTAGCACTAACACTAACTACACGACTATTATAACTAGAAGTGCATAATTAAATTTCAATTTGACGAGCCAAAAATAGAAATAGATCAAAAAAGATGGTTTCCATGGGAATGGTGTGTGGTGGAGGCGTGCTCACGTTGTTCGTCATGAGTATGATTGGCAAAAATGTGAAGAAGCGACGAAAACAAACGGGCGCAAAATATGTGGGGCAAGGGAGAAAGAAGGACACTGATCCTCGAGCATCCTCATAGCATCACGCACTATCTTGTTCTTGATGGGGGAACAAGATCCTCATTTTTATAGCTGAACTTGGTTGTGTTCGGGCCTGCTGATTTCTGTCATTGTGAAGTACTGACTTCTAGTAGGCACAATCACCTCGATGAGAAACCTACGTAGCTGCTACACCACATTCCTGGATTTTTTTATATTTAATCGAAGTAAAATTGCATGATGATGCCTTCTCACACCTTTGTGCGGAGTCAATAATTAGCCCTCAAAGCTATCGAGAAGAGCAATCGCAAGTAAAACCTCCTCACACCACCGGTTGTTAACAGGCACAGTGCTGTGGATGTCTCGCTGTTTTGAAGTGATGTTCGGACTGCCACCTTTGTGTCATGGTATATTGTCGTACTTGTACAACTCGTAGTCGCGGTCGCGAAAACAGTGAATGAATGCGCGGACTGTGGGAAGAGAGGGTATAAAAAACTGATCCGAAAATGCGCCAATTTGTGCAAGACACAATAGAAGATTGGCTCAAATGTAGAAGACCAAAGAGAAAGAATGGCGTCAGTTGTGATGGAATCGGGATGTGTAGATACAGTGACTTCCACTATTTGATTCCAAGAGCAAGATGATCATATGAGTGTTTCACACACTTCTACCTAGACCTCTTCCGATGGCGGACGGTGGAATTGGATTTGCGATTTAGACCTTTAGTATAGCAGAAGTTGTATCCATCATGTTGTTGCGACGACATCAACTAGGACCGCTGGTGCAAAACTTAACTTCGTCTATCCATGAAATCAAAATCATGACGCATTTGGCAGGATGATTTTTATACCAGAAGTGTCTAAGTAGTCGTACTAGTTACGGAGACGGCTGCGCCACAACTGACTCGTTTTGGATGGAGAGAAGTCGAGTGAGAGTACTGTAGAAGCAACTCCGACTGGGAGTAGGAGGAGTCGCGACGTAGTGTGTATTTTTGGTCATCATGCTCGTTTCCTATTCTGATACTACTAATACAGATACTGTTCTTCGTATAGATCATATCAGTTTCTTGAGCTTGAGGTCGGTTTTCTCGTCGTGGTCAATTCATCCAAACTAGAATGTCGGGTGCTGAGGCACAAGAGCAGAGCAGCGTCGATGCGCAACTGTTGCGAGAAATCGAAGCAGACGGCATCGGCCTCGGACCGATCGGCACCAATACTGCTCTCGACTTCTATGCGACACACTTGAAAGCTGGAGGTGCCAAGAAGTTGGCTACTTCAAAGCACATAGGAGCGTCTGGGCCGAAAAGAGAGGATGATAGCGGGAAGCAAACTTTGCACAGCGAGGGAGGACTTGCGAAGAAGAACAATAAAGACGACATTGATCAAGATGGTGGCGGCTCCACCACAGGTCGAGGACGCAAGAGCTGGTCTCCACTGCCTAGCATCATGGAAGAGGGTGAGCTCCTCGCAGGTGGAACCGCGGATGCATTCTCGGATGATTTCGGCTCACTTCCATTCGATGACGACCCATTTGCAATCGATGTAACAGGCCCATTGTTGGACGAATTTGGCGACGAATTCGACTCTTTTCCACCGCACCACAACGCAGCAGCCCTAGGTGGAAAAGTTCCGTACCTCCGATTTTACCTTTCTAGTTTCAACATGATGTTGTCTACCTCGCAGTTGCAACCAAGGAAAACTAGTTTTTATAACATTTATTTTGAATCGCACTCCACGGCTGATGACCGAGCTAACGTACTAGAACTAGAAGCTAGTACGACGAAACGAAAAACTACAGTAACTATAAGTAGTAAGTATGATATTTGAGTAACCTCCTTCTATTTGAGGAACTTGGTAATTTTCCCCATTGGCTTAGAGGTGTGCTGCAAATCTTGACTGGCTTCTTCCTTTTTATATATAAGGATGAGGCTTAGGCCCAGCGACGCTTAAAGCATATAAGTAAAGCAGCCGGCTCGTTTTCCCTCTAAAACTAAATTTTAAGCTTATCCCTTTATGCAGTACGATAACAGTTTCCTAGTGATGCTGAAATTTTAACAGATGGCGTTGCCTTCCCGACGTTGACGCGGCAGAAATGCTGAATCTGCGTGGCCGTGATCCAAATGCTGGCGAGGTACCATTTGTCGGCGAGGACGTTTTGATTTTTCTCTCCGAACCCGAAAGTACTGCGGATCGCTTCATGCAGGGCTGGTATCAAGCGAGAGTGCTGGGGCTCAACGAAGGCATGATGAAAGTACTATAGTTTGTGGCTTTGTGCTCCATGTCAACGATAGTACCTTGGAGGACGAGTACACGTTCCTGCTTCTTTTCCTGCTGTGTAGTGAAGGATGTCTACTTGGCTGATACGTACGTGAGTCTACGCTGGACAGCGAATGTCGTACTAAGTTACTCTCTCGTTCTTGTCGTTCATTTTCCAGCAAGAACACACGAATTCAGTTTTATCATCGCTATTGCTTTAGCAGTAAAAAAAGGTGTTTGAAGTAGGGTCGTAATTATTCATTTCCATTTACAAAGAAGATCTCACTCTCAGGTCGCTTGGGCAAACGTGGAACTCGATCGCAGCACGGACCTTCAGCTCGACGGGATGAAGTGGCACAGCGTACCTCGACCACCTGTTCCAACGCAGCAAGATGCCCGACGGTTTTCTCAGCGCAAAGCCGCAGAAGCGGCGACACGGCTTCCCTGCGGTGTTTTAGTCGGAGCGTCCGCAGCCACAAGCAGTCATTCGGATTTTGATGACGATTTTCATCCTGAAGAAAAAAGCCGCAACACCACGAGTAACAACGTGAAGAAGAACAAATCTAGTTCGCATACTCCAACAGAAGAACAAGCTCGATCACGACTAGAGGAGATGCACCTGCATGGAGATGCAGAGGAGCTGCTTTATCGACTACAGCGAGCCTTAGTAACGGTTGACATTCCGCTTTCCCGTCGTCATGACCGTTTCAATACCGATGCGCGCGACGTAAGCATCATGCCAGCTGCACAAGGCGAAGATGCGGATGAAAAGGTCGACCAAGAGGATGACCTACTAGCAGACAGTGATGACGGAGAATCGAAGCCAAAACGTGGCAAGAAAGCAGGGGGGGCTAAGAAGAGGGTTGACTGCCCTTCCTCATCGACATCCGAAGACGTCAAGGTCATAGGCAAAAAAGCACCACCAGGAATCGAAATAGCAGACTCCCCTTCCGATGCTGAAATGGATACGAAAGGCAAGGGCTCTACCCGCAAGACCAAAAAAGGTAAACAAAGCAGACGAGGCAGCTCCGCATCCCCTCCAAAAAAGCAGAACAAAGACACCAGTTCGAAATCGAACTCTCCCGCAAAAATGAAAATGAAGAGCCCCAGCCCGTCGAAAAAAAAGCAAAAGGAAGAACAAGATGAGGAAGCGCGCAAAGTCATCGACAAATTGAACAACAAAGCTCGCAGTAGCTCAACGTCAACAGAGAATACATCGACAGAAAAGCCTGCAGGCCTCGAAACACTTCGACGAGAAGCCCAGAGACGCGCAGAAGCGGAGATGGTCGATAAGCAGTACGAGAAGCAGCCCGTCCTCGTCGACGACGCAGAGCTAGACAGACTCCGAAATCCATCGTCTACGAGGTGGTTTGGCGATAACACCGACTTTGAGCCGAAGAGCGGTCCGAGATGGCGTGACTGGGCCTTCCGAAAACGAATTGTCTCGGTAAGCATAATCACGAAGCTGAATCTAATAAAATAATGGTGTGTAGAGTACGGCGCAGCGCTGCAGAGTGCTCTGCTGCAATGTGCGGCCAGTGCTGCTGAGGGATATCCCCAGGCGGGCCGGCAGGTGGGCGCCCCGATTCGTATGCAGCTTGCTGCGGATCCAGGGCGCATGCGCTTACTCTGCCGTGGGGCTTCAGAAGTGGGCGCCCGAAGGGCGCTCCGATTTTTGACCCCAAGTCTCACGGTGGGCGCACGGTGGGCGACACCATTCGCAGAAGACCCACTTTTGGGCCGCCCAGCGGGCCAGCGTACCAAGCGTGCCCACCGATCCAATCATGTAGAGGGAGCAAACTTTCTTATATATATTAATGTTATTATTATGAGACACCAAAAATAAAGTGGTAGCTCTGAAAACAGCAAAACCGAGGTTGGTAAAACAATGACACTATTGATAATAGTTTACTACTATAAGCTAGGCATAGGCCTAGCTCTAGTATATAAAACTCTAGCTATAGGTAATATATGGGGTTAAATACCAGTCTTATTTCTCGCGCTATGCGCTTGTTTGGTGAACCGGTACCCTGGGGCGAACCACCGGCTGCACATAGCGCGGGAGCCGAGCACTTCTCTGAGGCACGCATAGGCTTCGGCCGCCTTAGATGAGAAAACCTCCAGGGCAGTTGGACGACAGACGGCGCCTAGAATAAACGGATCACCTACTTAAACTAGATGGCCAATTTTTTGCTAGTCTTATTGTATATACTTCTACCTTTTTCTATCTTTCCTAGGTAGGTAGTTGGCTCCACCACAAATTATGTAATCACTAATATTTATAATGTGGCGAACAGGAGCAGGCGTCATCTCTTTAGAAGGCAGCTGATTGAGCGTGCTGGTATTCGTATCAAAATGATGTATGTTGATCAGCAGTATTAGTGAACTTATCAACTTCAACGGACACGACCACGACTAGGCCCGCTTCTCAGCGGACGACTTAGCGACGTATCTTCACGCCCATCGGTTTTGGCGCAACATGACGCAGCGTATGTACGACGAGAGCCTGACCCATGGTCCTATGATTGACGCGTGGATGAAAACACAAACTAAAGTACGATATTTTTTCAAAATGCACCAGAGGAACAAAAAGCTCTGGTCGGAGTTTCGTGCTTCGATCGTACCTGACCACACACGGGTCAAGGTTGTGCGCTTGACCCATGCTGAATTCGTCATTGAAGATCGTAGGGATAGTCCGCCTGATGAAAGCCTCTTGTTTCGCGTGGATGCGCAGAAAGCCACCCCGAAGGTGTCTGCGACCGCAGCTGCGTTCTCGAGTATGACAAGGCCGAAGCTGGTGCTTGAGTCTGTTGCTGGTAAGCGGCAACAAGATGGGTCTGCTGATACTAAACTGAGTAAAGGCCTCCTGGAGAACGGTGTTGTGCGAACTGGCTCAGCAGTCAGTGCTGTACCTGCTTCATATAACCACGTGAACATGCTGACAACTACAACAGGGTCTCGCGGTAGTGATGAGGAGGACCCAACCGACGGCACAAGAGCACCATCTCCCGGTAGGATAGGCAGCTATCAGGAGGAGAGTCCTGAAATCGTCAAGAGTAAAGACGAGGCTCTGCTGGATGGCATTAGAGGCAAGAAGAAAACCTCCAAAATCAAACCAGATCAAAAGGCTACAGAAAATGCTGTTCCAGGCGAGACATTAGTGCGCGCGCATGGCTGGAAATTGTCCGACGAATTCGTGGAAAAATATCGCGTCCCTGAAGGTGTCGTCGAAACCGTTAGCCGTATTTTCGATGAGCACGATCCGGCGCAGGTTTTCTTCTATCCGAGTGGCGTCTACTCCGCGCCTAGCCGCATCGGAAAAAACGCTGGCTACGGGCTTTTTTCCTTCTATCTTCGCACCCCCATGGAATGCGTAGGAGACTTTGGCGGCAAATGCACATCGATTCCTACCTTCGATAAGACACCGCATGCAGATTTCACCGAAAAGTACGCAATGAGCTTCCAGAACGGAGTGGTCAGTTGCATGATCGATCCCTGTTGGGGCAAAGACATTTTCGATCGTCGACTGCACCCGTTTGCTGTCATGAACGAGCCGCCACCCGGCGTATACGCCAATTGCGAGGTACAACTACTTACCAGTTGATATGGAGTAGACAGTTGTTTTGGTTTTCGTCTTATTTACATAGATGATCTTCACGATAATTATGAGCGCTAGCTCTCCAACTTGCTTCTCAGAAGTCTGCTCTTGGAGCTTAGAAAAGTGTGTTTGAATTCGTTTTCGCGTACACAAAAAATTGCAATGTTGTACATGATCGATGTAGTACAACTACTAGTGCACCTGACGCACTTCTTCGTTTTCAGTTGCCACACCCACCATCTACTCAAAACTGAAAGGTCGTGAGCAAAATCGAGGAATCCCTGACTGTCTCATTGGAGCCCTGGCGGCAGAATTTGTTGCGCGTCTATGCGAATCTGCCAATTCTTCCCTGCGACGAATTATTCATTCATTACGGTCGTGATTTTGCACGCGAGAACAATTACGAGGTTGGTTTGCCCAGCCCTCTATTCTTTAAAGATCTGGGATGGACGGATCACGGCACGGGAGACCTGACAAAACAAGGTGTGCTTCGCGACAAGCCGTTTTCTGTTGTAGTTAAGACTGGTGTTTCGTTTTTCTTCTCTTCTTCTAGACAATACGAACGCCTCCATTCATTATCTTGAGAAGACCGAGACTGTTGAGAAGACTGAAATCGAAATCGTCTTAGATGAGACCACAAATCTAGTTAGTACTGAGGTTTCGAATTCGAAATCGAATCTGATTGCTGCTAACGCTAAGTAATCACTCAAATGATTTCTGGTAGGCTCTTTAGATCTAAATGGAAGAGTTTGAGTTTCTATCCTTCGCCTCTTCTAGCTCTAAACTAGAGTGGAAGCGGAAAGTCGGACTTTGCGTACGTCGAGAAGAGGCGCCCAGGTCGAGAGTGCGGCAAGTGAAGGTTACTAAGGGCTTTCGTCAGTTCTTTAACGGATCAAAGTGTCCAATTACTGGCGACCAGCGTCCTTCGTGGGAGAAACTCGCAGTCCAACCCAGATTCTACAATTATGCTCAAGTTTTGATCTTCTGAATATCGATGTCATCATCGGCATCAACAGCATGATCATGTAGTGGTACTAAGACTAACAGTAGGTACCAGTAGTTGGCTTCTCTACTAGAAGCTTGTGCTTCCTTGTAGAAGTTTTCTTCTTGTACAACCAACGTAGATGTACAACATCATCCTTGGGAGATGATGAAATATTAGTAAGATCCCTTTGTCAGACTTTGACTCGTTTTTTTGAGATGGTGGTCTCTGATCATTTTTTATGGGATCATGAGCTAAATTTCTTGCTCTAATGGTGACGTCGGCGGAATCCAGCATTGTATTCATGCAACGGTGAAACTCGTGCGAAAAAGCCTGACGTCGCTTCGTCCACGACTACCACTTCAGCCGTAACACCCGCACTTGTGGAAACAAACAACAAGTACAAAGCGTTGAGGATGACATCAAAGGGAAACAACAATAAACTAAAAGGAGGTAACGGAGCGCCGCCGGATGTTGTAGAGCAACCTCCCGCGAGTATTGTAGCTTCCCCAGTCACTGCCACGTCTTCCAGGAGTAGCAAAGATACAACAGTCCCGGAAATCACGGAGGAGCTCCGTCGCCGATTTCCGGAGAGGTACGACCCATCGGGAGAAACCTTCGCGTACAACGTTTTGCTTGCCCAAATGCGACGCGATGCTGGCGACACCCAAGAAGAAATCCTCGAGTCCCTCGGACTGCTACGCAAATATCATCAAAGATGATCATCATGTTGAGCCGCATGAAGAGGATGAGCAAGAGCATGACGAGGACACTATCTACTTATCAAAGAAATATGAAAGAAGGTAGTAAATGTTAAGGATGTAGTAGTTTTTGATACTAGTTGTTGTATCAGCGCGAAAGGCCGAGCCCGCCGGATAGTCTTACGATGTGCTTTTCCATTTTTCTGAAATGACAAAATATGCAGAAGTAGCTCCACCAGCTTCTTTCCTCAACATCATTTTCAGGATTTCTGATACAGATAACGTGATCGCTCACGAGTTTCATCCCATATATTCCACATGCTTCTTGTTTTTCTGTAGCATACTAGTTTTTTGGAAAAAGACAAGGTCTTCGCGCGAAATCAGTGATCTGCGTGATGCTAGAACTCTGTATTCCTTTTCATGGCGTTCCTTTTTCGGCAGACCAAGTCTGTAAAATTTCCGCGGCTGACGCTACATCTGAAGATGAAGTGAGAATTGTATGTGGGAATGGGACTCTTGTTTTACTCGGACGACAAAAAACGATTGCTTTTTCATGCATCGTGATCATTCACATTCGGTGTTCATAACTTGCATTTCAATCATTGGTATGGCTCGCTAGATTGATCAACTTCAAGAACTAGTACTCTTAGTTGTAAAAGGATAATAGATGGTGGGCGACACTCATCGCAAATGCAAGAGCAGCAAGAGCGCGCCCGCATTCTTAGCAACCACCTTACACACTGGAGGTTCATTTTGTCTGAAAATCCTATCTGTTTTGCGGCAGTACAGTTTTGACGTTTTGGCTCACCGGTTTTGCCGCTGACTCTCATTCAATTACTCTGGCAGCGTAATTTTTGACGTTTTGGCTCTCAGATGTGTACGCGCGGCCCCTCACGCAGCAACCATCGCAATCCTGTCACTCCCGTTCTTGCACTCCAGGGCGGCGACAGGACTGACAGGCAGTGCCTGGGCGTGGCGGTCCGGCTTTCTACCAAACTGCTGAGTTTTTGCCAAAACTACTAAGTCCGCGCCTGTGAAACGCTCAAGGATGTTACTTCTTTTTCATCTCTTGCTCTTTCTACCTGCTAGGATATTACTCTCGTTGAGGTTTTTAGCCTTTTTAGTTGTGGTTTCCATCTCATTTTTCTTCCTTGTCTCAGATCATTCCAAGCAGATCCGGCTCCCTTTCTTAGCTTCCATGTTTTTGTGCTTGTGTTGTATCCTTCAGCATCCTTTTTCGTATCCGTAGTAGCAAGTCTGTGGTTTCCCCATTTGTCTTTCTTGTCTCGATGTCTGTGAAATGCGCTGATGTTTTCTGAGCCCAGACTTCTGGAGCCCTGGCCGCTGCCTGTCGCAAGCCAGGAATCTCTTAATCTTAATTAAGACCTTGAGGTAGTCTTTAGGCTGGTCCTAACGTTCTACGCTAGATGGCGTGCGGAGTACTGTAGTGCGCAGCCCGCTCCGCCCCGGGTCAACCTCGCACCTTGCCCCCGCTATTATTATCATTTTGTCTGAAATTGTCCGGTAGTTAGACCTTAATCAGTTAGCGTGACGAAGTCTTGTTGATATAAGAGTAAAACCTATCATGTTAATGTTGCAGTTGCAAAGAGCTGTACTTCTAGTGCGTCTCCGTTGTGAGATTTTCTCCGAGAGGCTCTGAGGTCTTCGTCTTCAATAGCAAACCAAGAATTATGTGGTGATCATCCGACGAATGCAAAATGGGCATGATGCAGATTGGTAATAGAAAGTCGGGAATCAAAGACTTACGTAGCCCTTCTAGCTCTTTTGAATATTGTTACGGTCTTGTTCCCAGTCTCCATATATTGCGGTCTTGTTCGAGTTTCCTTAGTTCAAGTTCAACTTGAGCTTGATGGTGAATCAACATAACGTCAACAAGGTTCTTCTTCTTCGTCATCAAAAATTAGAAAGTGAATACAAAAATGCCAGTAAAGAAAATAGAATCAATGCATCATCTATGTGCGACTAGCAGTACACCTATTGGCATGAGAAGTATTAGAAGTTGTAACTTTTTTAATGGTCCAGAGTATTAGCCAGGCGAACGTACTAGGTCTAGGAATATATAGTTTATTATCTATCAGGTAAGATCGATGCCAAGCGACGTGCGCGGCCACTTTTCAGTCAGTTGATGTTGTTGGAGATCCTCTTCGAATATTTTGTTAAGCTTCACCGCTCATCAATGGTAGCGATGAATCTTGCACGAGTGTAGTCTAATAGTTTGAACTCCACTGCTGTCGCCCCTCTAGCGTGATCACTGCTATCAATAAGAGCCTTCAGCGGCTGAGCCCAACTTCCTGGCAACATGTTTATCCATTTGGAAGGATTTTTTTGTTCGTTTTTGAAGCAGTATCCATTTCTCACAAGGTTGTGGATGTCTCACGTCGTATTGCAGTCTTGTTAGATGACTTCGAAGAACTCGTCCTGGTGTTGTTCTAGTATATCAACAACAGTGGTCAAAACTAACGTTATGAAAAATTATACCAGAAGATGCAAAAAAAAATGGGGAAGATAAACGCGATTGCTGCATCCCGACGTATGGGTGCATGCCTGGTTCTTACGTGATGGCCGCGACTGCTAGGAAGTGATCACTATCCGATCGCAGGTAAAACCACGATTTCTCGCAGATTACGGGGGGCACGCACGCCTTTACATAATCGTACCCTAAGCCGCTGTCTCTTTGTGACGTTGCGATGGCTCATGTTGAAATCAGGGGACTACAACAGATTGCTTAACAGAGGAATGAACACGTGGTATTAATCATCTTCATGATTCTTGATGTGGCAAAGTTGACATCCCTACCATTGATGAGTGGCAAAAAAAAAAGGTAATGGTGGAACGAACGAGTAAGAGAATCCGCTTCTTGAATGAGTAGTTAGTAATGCGATCGATGGGGGATGAACTTGGACCTCTATGTTGTGAAGACATCTTCAGCTCCGAGCCTGAAGCCCTGCACAAACTACTAATCTCTCATCTACTTCCACTGCCTCTGCATCTGCAAGAACAAGAACAATAATAGTCAACTTGTTCTTCGCACACGACTGCTTTTATTACGCGATCGGAAACATGATCATCTCTATCATGTTTGAACCCAAGTTCAAACAGAGAATAGACCATCTTCATTTCAACAAGCCCCAACAAGAAATCAGCCCGACGACCTGGCCTTGGAAACACAATTTTGATGAAGGCAATGAATAATCAACCTACGGTGACCCTTAGTCTTGTAAGGAGTGACGCTTTCTACGCCGTCACTTTAACCACTCGCCCCTGAAAGCAGCAGCATACAAAGGCAGCTGTTTCTGCTGACCGTGTCCGTGTTGTTCTTCTTAGAAACTCTGTTCGTGCAGCAAAAGAACAAGAAAGCCGTGGACTTACTTGGCAGCTTTTTTTTAGAAACGAAGCAACAAAATGGTGAAGATGGATAAGAGCCTGGATGAGATAATCGAGAGCACAAAGAAGCCCTCGGTTGTCCTTCGTCCGAATGTCAATGGAGGCTCATCCGGAACTGGTGGGCCAGGCGGTCACTCGGGACCAGGTGGCCACTACAACAATAAAGGCAGTAATCACCAGCAGTTGAACTACTCCAACAACTTCCAACATCATGGGAAGGACCATGGTGGAAGTAATTTCATGCAGCATCAGGGTGCACCAGGATACAACAAATCTTCAAATCAAAAAGGTGGACCACCTCAACAGAACCATTATGGCGCATTCGCGGGATCCGGAGGACCGCCAGGTCCTTATCATCAACAGAAAGGCTCAGCGCCCAGCGGCAAAGGCTTGGCTGGACCAAACACTGGAGGCGGAGCACCATTCTATCAGCATGGGGGCAAACAAGGCGGAGCAGGCCAACATCCGCAGCATCGTGCTGGAGGACCGCATGTGCAGCAAAGCGGAGGCCCAACTATATTCCATAATGGGGCAGGAGCTGCCCAAGGGAATGCTTGTATAGGAGGAAAAGGATCGCAACAGCCACTTTTACAGGGATTTGCTGTTGGCCCGCATTCCGAAAAAGGAGTACAAATGTATCATCCGCAGGAAAAAGGGAAGGGTTCGCAGCAGCCGTCGGGGCAGATCGGTCAAAAAGGTGGCTGGGATAATGGTGGTGCTGGCTTACCGAGCGGCAGCGGCGGTCACAAAGGTATTTTCATTGTTGAGGTTGACAGCAGATGATATCACTGCTCTTTTCACCATCTACATCTGTAGTTCGCCGCGCTGACACTTTACTTTTTATGCATTTGTCGTGTTTATCTGCTCTACAACTACAAGAAGCAGGATCATAGATAATCTGCTTTCTTATGGAAAAGGAGAGCCTCCACCTCGGGTTGTCTAAAAAAAGTCTTCATAAGTACATAAATGTCAGGGGGAGCAGGACAAAATTGGGGAGGTCCTTGTGGCGTGATAAAGCCCTTCGACAAACGATCCGGCGAGCATTCACAACGGACCGGTGGCAAAGGAGGGACGGGTAAGGGTCCCCGGCAGCGTGTTCCGGTAGATCGAAAAGCTGCTAAAAACACGCAGGTTTACTTCGATAAAGGCAAAAACTCTACCACTGGAGGAGGGGGCGGCGACCTTGTCGTCAAATTGTACTACGTCTCTTGATTTACAAGACGCAACATGATTACTAGATCGCAACTACAGGAATTCATCTAGAAGTAAGAAGATCAACATGCTCGAATAAACATCGATCTACACAATTTCACTTACTTTTAGAACAAGATGTAGATGATCTTCTTGATCTGTTTAGCGTTATTTATTTCCTCCATTCTTCTAAAAGACAATGACAACACTTAGTGAATTTGGTCTGGTGGTTAATGGCGTGGACTACCAAAAAGTTGCATACAGGATGATCCCGTACTATCGCAGGATCGATGCCTGGCTACGGCTAGAGATCATGACTGCGAGAAAATGTCGAAAAGAGATTCTGACTGCACGTTTTTTGCGTAGTTCATTCACAACAGCACTGACTGGATCCACGGCTACTTCTCCTTACAAGTAAGGGGAAACCTGAAGATCAAGATCCAGCCACCTTTCCCTAGAAGTAGCTGAGCTAGTGGCCAATTATGGGGGACAAAATGACAATTTTTCCAGGTACGATACACCAGTAGCGGTGTTTCGGAAGCCAAACGGGACAAAACGGACATCACATGCATTGGAGTTAAGGACCGGCGGCCATCATACTGCAGAAACGAGATTTATCATTGGCGAATGTACTTACTTACTCCTTTTTAGCATCTCAATATCTAACAAGAGAAAATTAGAAGAGGAGCAATAATCAATGTTGAAATATAATTTCTACTTTAACCTTACAGTTACACAGATGTTTTAATGTTTGACCTTGTCTCAACCGCCGTGTCCTTGTCAAATTATACAGGTCTTGCCTTGATAAACTTCTCAATCCGGGAGAAGCCTACTGTGCGGAAGGCGACCTTGAAGCCACGTGCAGGCATTCGACTGTCGCCAGCTAAGCATGGCGAAGATGATTCACCGACTGAGGTTGAGGAGGACGAGGATGCTGCTGATGGTCCTGCAGCAAGAAGAAGTATGAATGCGGCGAATGCAGTCGAGGGTGGAGGTGAAGTCGATGGGACAACAACGCGAACACGGTCTAAACCGCAAGTAGGCTCGCCAACGCCTGGTCCGCAGAGGACCGACCATCGCTACGGCGATCTGGATTTTGAGGACGACGAGGGCGACGGCGGCGGAGCAGCCGACCACGAAGACATCCTCAAAAGCAGTTCTTCAGAGGCAGAACCTCCTGGCGCAAGAGAAGACGAGGACAACGGCAACAACCCTGAGATTACTGCAGCTGCGAACGAGAAAGTAGACCCCTCATCTTCAAAGAAAGCCAAAGGCGAGGGAGGTGATGACGAGGACGCTAATCGCAAACAAGCAAACGCCGCTTCTGCTTCCGAGCAGAATCAGGCAGAGGATACTAGTGAATCACGGAAAAATAGTAGTGCTGAAAACCAAGGAGGTGCTGCAGCTGCTACATCAGACAAAACCGTGGAAGATACAACATCAGGGGATGCAGGAGAGGCAGCGGATGAAGACGGCGACCCCAAGAAGAACAGAAGAGACTTCTTGATGGCGCGTCTAACGATGCTCAAGGCGAAGAACAAGCCGAGTGATGTACGTCACGTTCACTTTTACAACAATTATATATAATATGACAATCGTAAAAATTTTGCATGCAGAACTACTCCTAGAAGTTTTTCTTTTCGTACCTAGTATACTACAATAAACATGTTGATGTTCGAAAACAAATCAATAAATCCAACGGCATGGCCCGCTATTCCAATTTTAGGGTAAAAGCGTGGAGCTTGTAGCAAGCAGCGGCCCTTCTACCTCGAGTACGAAGCCGAAAGCATATGCGCCATGGATCGTGAGCGGAAAGCTTCCCAATGGAACTCTTTTTGAGGAGCAGTTCTACGAAGGCATGGTATTGATATTTCTGATCCTTGTACAACTACAACTACTTCTTCATTCTAGAGCCAGCATGATACTGGAGCGGCTGACGCTAATATGAACTTTTGCTTATAACCTCAGTTTTTTTCATCAGAGTCAGGTTATGGAACTGTGCTGTCGCCGCCCCAGCGCACCCACTTTAAGCTGAATGTCTTTCAGAAGATGATTGAAGATTTTCATATCACCATACATAACCTCCCACCGACCTCACAGGAAATTCCGCTTCCGTATTGTTTCGTTTCGTTGGGCCGTTTCCGGTTCCAATTGCAGGAGCGACTGCTGAACATTTTAAATGGAAACACCGCTGGGCCATTAGACGGTGGATCGCATCCGCCCATGAAGGGCAACAACAATCACATGGGGAATCAGCTGTATAGCAATACCAATCGTGGTTCTGGACATCAGAATTCAGGACCGCATCACCAGAGCCGCGCGGTTTTACTGACTGGTCCCAACGGGGACGGGGGACTACAAACCGGGCCAACCGGACGCTCCGACGAAACAACGCCTCAGCATTCTTCATCAATGTCTGGCGCTAGTCTTGTCATATCTTCTTCTACAACACCTGGCGGACAACATCGGCAGCAGCACTCCACCCGATTGGTGGAGTCGGGAGCTCCAGACGCAGCTACTAGCCAGCTTGTGCAGCAGGTGCTGAGCGCTCTTCCACGAACAGGAGGACAACCACAGCAGGTCATCGTCCATCATCAGAGGCCCGCTACAGGAGGAACGATCACAGGAACTCCAGGCGCACCACTCGTATTGGTGCACGACTCACGGGCATCACCCTCTGTCCAGGTGCAGTATGCGACGCCTGTCCAGCAACCACAGTATTATACACTTGAGCTGGTTTGTACTCTATTTTTGTAAGTAAATTTAATCACATTTGTATGTAATCACATTTGTTTGTTCCTAAAAAGCTGCCCCCGCCCCGTATGGGGAAGGGGATGTTGTACAAATAGATTGAAGCACTTCACGTTTACATCTTTAGCAATCAGATTGATATATAATTGTCCAAACTCTTCAGGGTCGTTCACCTAGTGAGTGCTGAAGACACGCGATGGGCACGATCTGTGTCGACAGGCCCACTGACGCCGGCGTCTATGACAATGAACGCGACCACCTCAACCAATATTCGGCTAGTGCCAGCTTCACAGGTTCGCGGAAGAAGCGTCTCCTCCATGTCGGGAGCAACTGGCGGAGGCCTGACGACCTCTAACGCGAAGTCGAACAAAAAGAGGGACTATTCTCAGCAAAAAGGCAGCTCCTCCGCCTCGTCTTCCTCATCGGCTCACGACGACCGATATGGGGCTGACGTCGCGACACCACGCGGAACGCCGAAAAGAAAGCGCCGGAAAAATGCAGATCCGCGTGTTTACGGAGTCGGGGATGCTTCGTCAGCGCCAACAGGGAGCATATTCGTGAACGGAAGCGTAGTCGGAACGTCAAGCGCCGCAGCGTCACAATTTGTCCGCGGAGTAGGCGGTCAGAGTTACATAGCACAAAGTGTTCTGCCACAACACCAGACAATTTTACACCAAGGAGGGCCAACATCCTTGGCCACCGCCTTGTCGGCGGCGTCTTTCGGCACGCAGAACGCGCGCGATCTAGTCCAACAGGCTTCGGCAGCTGGAACTGCAGCCTCCTCCCCCATTATACCAGCGCGCCAAGCCACTGCCGGAACTGTGTGGATGTCCGATGCAGACCTTCAGTTTCAGTGATGTTTGGATGGAACCACCTCTAAGAGCAGACGACCTTCTACTCTTGTCTGTTGACCCTCTCATGCTCACAGCCCGCTCCTCTATAATGATGTATAGCAAACATCCACACGCACACTAACCCCGCTAATCATGGTTTTGTCCACCAAATTGTGAAATACGCAGTTCTCTAGCATAAAGAGCTGACACATTATTCCCAAATCCAGTCGTCGCAAGTTGTCATGTGTCGAAATCGTCCGCCAGACGATTGTACTATAGCAAAATGACCTCGTCGACAAGTACTACCTGCGGTGGGGCTGCGTTAGTTGCCCTTGCTGACCGCGCATACGCTCACCCTGATCTTTTTTCCTACCGTGGAAATGCGAGCAGGAATCGTGGCGGCTGGGGCACATGAATGGATAGCTCCGCAGATAAAGTGGTCGTAGATGGACACGGACGAGAAAGAGCAAAGAGTCTGAGTTCGAAAATATAACAATTGGTTGCTCGGTATGAGTCTACGTCTACAAAAGGCCACTGCGCGATTTCTCTGTATTTTGAGGAGTGTTGAGGGCATCAAGATGATTGAATGACGAAGGGCTTCTAGGCGTAATTCATACACGTCTGCAAGAAATTGATGCGCCAATAAGTCTTAAATCTGTCTTCCGTTCTATTCTTTCGAAGAGCGCAGGACCCAACAAGAGAAAATCGAACCCACGCCGACGCCGAGGCGCTTGAGAAATAATTCTCAAATCATAATGAGCCCTCTCCTTTTCCAAAGAAAAAGAAGAGAAGTATACATGAGTAAGTATTTCATCAAAAAGACTAAATCTAGCTAGTACCAAAGAACAAGAAAAGTAGGAAAGGTATTCAAATACAACAGGTGAAAGTGAGTTAATAGGTCTTGATCTGCTCAAACTCAATCGACTGACTCCGCCTTTTCCATCTTCTTCATAAAATGGACCTCGATGCCTATGTCAAGGTCCGAGAGGGCACCTTGCGCGAGGAGTACTACACCTACCTCGACTCACACCCCGAGCTGCAGCAAGTTTTGACGGATTTCTTATCGGCCATCGTCGTGCACACGCCTGATGATGTTTACCAGTTCGCATCAGAGTACAACTACAAATTCTATCTCAAATGCTAATGCTATTTAGATAAAGATGGGTGAGGGTGAAGAAGTTGTTGTGGGTGCATGATGATGATGATGATCGAGAACTCGTCGACTTGAAGATATAATTAGTAATTGTCCCGTAGTCTAATATTATAGTCGAGACGTATGGTCAATCTCAATTGTAATTATTGCGTAACTAACTATTTCTGACAGATATTTCGCGCCGTTCAAGGAGCTCGATGGAGATGCGAAGTAACGTACGGCAGGAGCTAGAACCCACACAAAATGAATTTCATGATGCCTGGACCTCTGCCATAAGAGCTATAATTGTGTCCCCCACGCTTCTTTCCCTGATTTCTCCTAAACCTTGAGCAGCCAGAATTGCTGAATACTGAAACTTGGACTCGAACGAAACCTGTTTTTGTAGCGCACCTTCACCAGAGAGCAAGTAATACCACTTGTTGTACTGATAACACGATCATCAAGACCACGTGTTACTTCCTATGCAAATTTAAAGTGTCGATGTTCGACGAGTGATTGATGCGTTCTTTTCATCGCGTTGGAGTCGTTTTCATCGTGTTGCTGTCGGTGGATTTTCGCCGAGGGATTTATGGAGATACTTGTTGGGAATGAGCAGACCTTTTTGCATATTGATTCTTTATCGGTTTCAATCTTCGTTGACGTCTCGATGTGAATATACCGTGCTGCGCTCATGATGTCCGCTCCCCACCATGATCCATCTTTCCCCGTATCCTCGAAGGCGCACACCTTATCATAATACCAGTGACCATTTTTTACTTGTGACATACTTACATTAAGATATCACCAGCAGCAGGATTAGACCCTCAAATTTTCAACTGTATGATGATGAGCATTTATTTTTATTTTCAGTGGGTAGTGGTTGTTATTTTTGTATTCTTGGTGGAGGAAGTGTAGTAGGATGAAGCAGATTTGATGAACGGCCAGACATAGAAGTTACAAAGCATTAAAGAAGAATGGCGTCGAACCGCCGTCGTGTGCGGCGGCCAGCTTCTCTGACGTCTTTGAAATCACCGACTTGACGTTGCAGTTCTGACATTTCAACAAGGGGCCCTCGATTACAGCTCCGATTGCCTTTTTTGGAACGCGTTTGAGATTGCAAACTGCGACTCAGCAGGAGAGCAAGAGGAGCTGCCAGTTTGACGTGCCCAGGTGACAGACACTCTAGAAACCACAACGACTCTCAGACAGCTGGACTGAAGAACTGAACAAACTCATCTTCTTCTGCCTCGAAATACGGGGTCGGACATCTACTGACGAAGGAAGAAGATGATGTCAAGCATGATGGAGGAGCCTAGCCGTATGACGCAACAGTCTAGCGTCATGCAGTTAGGAAGTTCGACTGATGTGTCAACATCAAAGGACGCATTCAAACATAAAACGGCGAACCAAGACATAATACGACTACTCAACGCCTTCGCGATGTCAAGGAGGCTTATGCTCTCACAAACTCGAAGACAATATCGACAACCAAGGATGCTAAATGACGATATAGAAAAAATAGAACAAAGCATGTGCAAGCTGCTTCAGTACTTTCTGTTTCTGATCATGACTTACTTAGAAATATAAATATTCGCCATGATATTCGCCGCTTTGCTGATTTTTTTTAGGCTTATTTCCATCGCTCCTCAAGAGCATATTTTATGTAAATCATGTCGGTGTTCATGTTCTTGTTCACACGTGCACACTTTTCAAATGACTACAAGACGACAACCAACAAGATTTTGGCCTACAACAGCATTTACTTTTCCATTTTCTGTATGAAATCATTCGACATGAAACCACAACAACAGGAAAATGGATTTTCAATTCATACGGCGGTTTTCGGATGCGCAACTCGCGAAGATGGTTTCTGGATTAAAGATACTAACGAAGAAACCGGATGAATTCGTCTATCATAAAGGTGACATATCATCGAGCATCTACTTCGTATTTTTAGGCGAGGTCGATCTTCTAGGACCAGACGCGGGTGATCCTGTGAAAAGACTAGGGGCATGCTTGAATTTCGGCGAAGCGGAGAGGTATGGAGCCCCGAGAAAATCATCTGCCGTCGCACACAGCTACACCATATTAGGTATAGTAGCTATCTACTCAGTTGTCTCGCAGTGCTGTAAGTGTTTGACTACTAATAAATGATAAATTTAAATATGAAGTGTCGTGCTGGAGCGTCAGCGTTTCCACGAAATCAAAACAACACCAGCACTTTAGTATGCCTCATTCAATAGCTCCTTCGCTATCCCTTCCCGGGAGGCATGGCAACAAACTTTCTATTCCTCTACGTACAATGACAGGAGCTCTCGACCGGCAGTCGTATTTGAATACTCGTAGTGAGCAGCGGGTGATGGAAGATAGCCGAGTTTTTAGCACTCTGAAACGAGTACCACCATTTTCCGCATTAACGGATAAAGACATCAAAGAAATATGTACGAAGCTGATTCCCTTTCGCGCACCAGCTAGGTTACCAGTTTGTGGCAACAGTCACGATCTGTCAAGAAATTTGATAATAGTAATGCAGGGCACGTTCGAGATACGTGCCACAATTCTAGTTAGCCGCAACGCTCACGGCTTGCACTACTCAGGACAGTCGTTGGCATTTAGCGACGTTCCCGTCATGGCGCTTGAGAAAGGTAGATGATTATTTCTCGGATGGATTATGTTCATCAGCAGTGATGTTTTTATGACCTTCTTGTCTCTAACTTAAAGTTTAAGCGCTACCCGATGTACCTAGAGCAAAGAAAGGCAGCGCGTGCTCCCAAAACTATAACTAGGTTCAATGTGGAACGCAGATTTGGTAACGGACTTCGAGGACAATAGGGATTGGTGCAACGGGGTCGAGTTCACGCACTATAACATGTATCCACGAGACGACGGAAAGTGCCTGATAATACCAATCCGCGAGCTGCAAAAGGTGAGTGAAGTTGATGAAGTTTCTTCTTCCAGGGTTCTTTAGGTAAAGATAGAAATAGGAACGCATGTATGCATAATTCTCCTTCTAGGTGGTCAAGTCGATGTATGTTGATGATAGATGTTGTATAAACATGAAGATGATGAGTACGCTGACGGCTGTTTTATCAGAACTCATTCTCATTGACCATACACTTAGTAAACAAGAAAGCAAAACCAGTTTGTTCTACCCTGTCTCAGGTCGCATACAAAAATCGTCTTTTGCGACGGTGGTTCGAGAGCTATTCGACGCTATTCCGAAATCAAAAGAGGTATTTTCGAATTCGATGTCTATTTTGGGTTGTAGCTAGACTTCTCCTTCATCTACTGTTCGATGCTTCTGCCACTAGGAAGTACAACCACCTCTAGCTCTTCCACCTTGACGCTCTTCCACCTCGACAAACTTTTTTAACGTTCTAGAAGTACAACAAGTACAACTGCAAGAATTGATAAGAACCATGACGATGACAACAGGGACAGCGTGTACCAGATCATCGCGTATCTGTGTAAACCGGATTTCCAGTCCAAGACGAGTGGCTACATGAAGGAAATAATACGAAGCATGGACGAGGGAGAGAAGAGGTGGAAAGAGGCGTTGCGAAAATACGAAGTCGAAATATTGGAGGACGCCGTAGACTTCGATACGGTTCGACAGCTTGAAGAGTCTCTAGCGGCAAAGCAAGCAGAAGAAAAAGGGGGGCAGCGCGGTTTTTCGAGTGGAGGGAGCAACAAGAAAGACAATAAACGCGGAGGCTTCGTCATGAGGAGAAGATGATGACGAGTAGTGTAACCACGAATAGCTAGAGAGCTAAGTAGTCCTCAAGCAATAGCATTAGCAAGGCAGCCACAGCTTGAACTTTTAGGATAAACTCATCAAAAGATAGCAATAGCAATAGCATCACCCTCACAACTTTTAAAAACATGCTTATACATTAAAATGCTTCGTCACATCACTTTCAAATACCATTCACCGAATTATGTCAATGTGCATTACGTCGATCCATTAAGAAACTCAAACACATTAAAACACTCTTAGTCCTCTTCTTAGCAAAACCAAAAGACATTTAATAGGCAGATTAGACTCAGCTCATGATGAACATGAAGGACCAAAAGCAGCGACGTGCAACGTAGATGCGGTCGACCGTTCTCGTAGCGTCTCGAAAAGCCCTCCCTCGAGTCCGGAGGTGAGACGGTCGCAACGCTGAGCTGATTTCCTTTTCTTCGATTAGAGATTCAATTTAAGACTCTATTCCTGATATATATTCAATTTTAGACTTCCTTGTCATGATGTTCTTCACCTCGTGATCGTTTCAGGTGGTACAACAGCTAGGTTCTTATGAAAATGAAATTAAACATTAACATGTCTATCGATGCGTTATTCTTGACATCAAATTATCCCTGTACATATTCCTTTCTGGTGATGTGTAAGTTTATGTCATCTTGAACAAATACAAGCTATCGATCCTTCAAACGTCCTTTTCTTTTTTGATTATCTTTGACATTGATAGCATGAGCAGCCATGCATGCCATTGTTAGTCTCAAGATTTAGCAGCTATAGAATTTGAATTTCCAAAAACTAATGCAGCTGGTTGTAAATAATACAAATACATCAATTAAAAAGACCATAGTGTTTGTCTTTCTGGTGGTAACTCAAATCCTGATCATGGTCCTTCTCAGTAACATATTAACGTATGTGCTCCTGTCATGCTCATGGGTCCTCCAAGAATCGGATAACTGCTTGACATCGATCGCTCCCGCGATCTCATCCATTTTGATCATTTCCCCCATTCAAGGACGATAGAGATATGTACCAAGAGACCTTTCAGAATTCAGAGCATCAAGAAAAAGAACAAGTGCTGTCAGGTCCCCAAAAATCGAAGTCACACAAGACCCTAAGCCGAGTCTTCAAAAAATGGGCACTTTCAGCTGTTCGACTGCACCGGCAAGAACATTACTGTTTCCATATCATGCCCCGCAACGGCGCAAGATCTGATAGATACGTGTTGTGGTTACTTATCTGATCAAATAAACGATCTCATAGGATCTCTGAAAATGTTCTCAGGATCAAGAAATGATCTTTACATATTTTGTACAATGTACGCTGATGATCTTTGATTGAAAGATCCTTTCCTTGACGAGCAGATCCGTAAAAGATCACCTCCATACTTCTTGTATCAGTATTAAACCAACACGCAGGTAGTAGATGAGCACTTAAAATCATCGATCCTTACTTGTTTTATGTGATTTTACTGTGTGACTTCTACTTTGTTTAAGTCGATTTTCTTTCACTTCTTGGTGAATCTTCTTCTTCCATATTAATTCCAAACAACATGTCTTGGTCTTCTCTTCTTGCCGAGTCCGAAAGTTCCTCAAGTCCGTCGGCAAAGAACGACATTATGTTGTCGTCACATTTCGAGAAAGTAGAGGAACGGCAAGCGATGACCGCTGACAAAGATCTTGACGTAGCCCACGGCAACATGAACGATGAGGATGACGCCTCATGGCCTGAAGACGAAGAAGCTGAAGATGACGGCGAAAGTGGGCTCTCAGAAGATGCTAATGAATGTCCTGACCAGGAGGATGGCCAAGACGAGGAGTATGACGAGCAGTACGGCGATGAAGAGGATGACTCCTCTGTGCTAGAGGAGGATGAGACGCTTGGGGAGGATTTTGGGTCCTTCGATTTGCATGCCGAGCTCGGAGTATCTCGGAATCCCAGTTTATCGCGTGTGCAAGCGGCATTCCACCGGAAGAGTACACGTTGCTACAACGCTTGGTATCAATATCCGTATTTGGAATCGGATTTGCAAACTTTTAGACGCACAGTATTTGCGTTTTTGGTGTTGAGAGACCCTGCTCGGCGTCAAATCTACGAGGATCTGGGTTTTGACGCGTTACAAAAATCCGAAGCCTATGCGGAAAGTAGCGTTTTTGACATTTCTCCCCGTGCGGAATTCAATAAATTTTTCGCTGGTGTACGGGAGGAGGATCGCGATTACCTCCTAATGAATTCGACAAACCACATGGACGACGATGACGATGAGGAGGATCGAAATCCCAATATGATTGCGGTCAATGGGGCAACTGCTTGGGAAAAACGAGGAGCTCGAGATCTCGGAGCTGCTTCTGCTCCATCAAATGACAAAGATCTTGAGCAGGAGTCAAACTCAAACGAGGAAAGCAGACCGACTTCGACAGCTGATGCTGCTGGTGGTGGCAATGGAGCCCCAGGTTTCTCCGTGGTGGAGGAAGACCTCCGCGTTGATCGATTAGAGGACGACGAGGAAGAGGACGAAGAGGAGCCCGAGGATGAGGATGGCCTTGAGGATGATGACGAATTGGAAACGCTCCGTTTAATTCATGAGCAGGCGGCTGCAACGAAACGAAAAGAGGCCTCAAAGAGTAACAAAGACCTCTTGACCAAGGACGATTTGGATCTTGAAGTGGAAGCGACAATGCAAAAAGCGATAGCGAAAGTTGGAGGACTCTCCTCCTCTAGTAGTAGTAGCTCTAGTAGATTGACGACCCGTCCTAGTCGTCCTGGTATCCCGAAAAAAACTAGCATGATGTCAACGGCTGCAGCGACATCTTGTGACGCGAAAGCGACACCAAGCAAACCTGCATCATTAGCCTTGGCTCGTGAGCTTCCCTCTTCATTATCGTTGCCCGCGTTTCCTGCGTTGCCGGCGTTTGCGCAGGTATCACCTGAAGAAATGGCTGCGCAAGTACAGGCAGAAAAAGCCGCTTTCTGGGCCGAGCGCAGCGCAAAGAAACGGGGAGCCACAACTTCCTTGTTGGAACAACTAAAGCAAGACAAGAAAGCAAAGAGAGCAAAAAAGGACCCGTCAAAAGCAGGTGAGGATGCAGTAGGTTTTTCGGATTCAAGTATGAGCTCTGATTCAGAAGAAGGATCACATGATAGTGACGACGAAGCCACGGCTGCTGCTCTCATGGCAAAATGGAACAAGCCAACACCTGCGTCTTCCTCGTCAACTGCACCAGAGAAAAGAACAACGGCCTCAACCTCCACACAACTCAAAGCTACTCTATCTTCTTCGAGTAACAAGAAGACTGTCGGATTTTCATCAACGACTCGTGGACCTCAAAAGAAACCACGCAGGACGTTTTGGATGGCGTCCTGTGTGCGCACGCGCGGGTGGGGTAAATTAGTGCGGAGGCGTATGCAGAAAGAGTACATGCGAGCATGCAGGATTTCTAGAGGGGAACAAAGGAAAAAGCTCGAAGCACTTTTGGAGTCGGCTAAGGAATAATGGTAATGCAACAATCTTCCAAAATTCCCATGCCGGGCCACATACTACCTCCTCCCTCGCGGGCTAAGGCAAAGCAAAATTCACCGAAACTGCATGAATTGACTACCAAAGAGTATCCACACTTGTTTTTTCGATGCTTCTGCTGAAATGTAAAATGAGCATTGTTTGACTTCTGCAGCGGGAGCTGAGATGAAGGACGATTCAGTCAATGAGCCTGAAATCGATTTGACTCTTCTGTTTTCCTCGGGGTCCAACCTTGCCTGTGAGCAGCCGTCGGTAAAAACTACTTTTCATGATCCCTTCGTTGCTTTCTGGAGGATCGCTGCTAGTACTTTTTTTACTAAAAAGACACCGACGCCGTGAACAAGATCCTCACGATCTTGCTGACTAAGAAGAAGCGGCATTCCAAGGATCATGATCTAAACGTGAAAGATCTCGATCAAGAAAGAGTCAACTACGTAAACAAGATCAAGAACCAAGAATGGTCATCGCCTGTTGGTGGGTTCTTGTTCTTCGACACTGTCCAAGTTTCACTTGTACTACTTGTTGTTGAAAATAATCTACAAGTAGCTTTGAAAAATGATGCAGCTGGAGGATCCTTATTCATTCTAATATCTCTCGCAAAGTAAGAACTACAGGAGATCTTTTTCTTGACCACCACTAGATCTAGAAGAAGAAGTACGGACCCTACAATTATATATAGATACTACACAAAAACGACAGTATTCGCTGCATGATTTAAACACCGTATCTACTACTTGATCGAGCTTCTATTTCTTCGCTTTTTCACAAAAAGAGTCTATCAAAAAAATGGCTACGACAGCTGAGCAGGAAGCGAAAATCCATCGCTGCGACCAGCGACGACCCGATATTCGGTTTCACTACCGAGTTGCGGGTGCTTCAGCAACGTCGAAGGTTGCCGAGTCAGTAGCAGCGCTCTCACCGGCATCTACCTCAGCCAGCTCTTCTCAGCAGACAACTCCAGAGAAGAAAGATGGAGCTCGTAGTAACAACGCGCAGGAGACAGCAGGAGAAGTCGAAGTCGAGGCTTTTTTGCGTCAAGAAGGTGCAGGATCAACGAGATTCGTGGGTGACACCTCATCAGTGCTATGGCCCGTCGCTCGCTATCTCTGTAACTATTTCTGCGAGGGCTTCCTCTCTGGTACACCAGGAGCAACGAATCAAGCACTGCCCAAATCATGCCTGGAATTGGGATCCGGTACGGGACTTGTGGGCATTATCTGCGGCCATATCGGTGTCGAAAATGTAGTACTCACGGATCAAACGCTTGCACTCTGCGAGGAAAACATCGAGCTTCAGCCAGAGCACGTCCGCCAGAGACTATCGTCAAAGAAACTGGTACTACTAGTCATGAGAATTACCATTACGTATCATGAGCTCGATGTTGATGTAGATGATGTAAATGCGCATTGCGCAACAAAAGTATTAATGAACTTGAACTACAATTTGTTTCACAACTCTGATTATCTTTCCCATCGAAATTGTTCACACCAGCTTTGGGGCGATTTTTCATCTCTGACCGACGAAGAGCGAACTAACGGCTACGACATGGTCGTCGCTTCAGACGTCATCTGTCACCAAGATAAGACCGTCATGGAGGCCTTGGTCTCGACAATCGCCGCACTCTTGTCACCCAAAGGAACAGGCTACGTCGCCTACGAATTCCGTGATGACTGGTGGACATGCAGCACTTTTTGCGACCTGTGCGAAAAAAAATACGGCCTGAAAATAGAATCCCACTCCTTGGATCCCGAGGATGAGGACAGCGATTACATTCTCTACAAACTCACCAGAAAAAGCAAACAGTAACTAGTCGTTCTAGGACGATGTGATTGTGATCCCAACAAATGTGTCTTTAGAATAGGACGGACAGCACCTCCTTGATCGATATCGCATGCCTGAAGCCGGAGCAAGGCGATTGCCGTGATGTTTATGCAACCTCGCAAAGACCTTCCTTTTGCCCCGATAAGGATAATTGATTCATTTTTCGACTTTGTTTGAAATTGAATTTGGTTCTCCGCTGGTTGTATGACTACTGTAGTGGCTCTTCCTTGTGGATTACGCGCCCGTTGTTCTTTCGTCCTTTGCTTGTGTTCTTACGACTTTGACCTTGTTCTCAATCGTGACAAAAAATGGTTTGTCCTTGGTGAACAACAATAGACATAAGAATCTGTGTCAGTAGTTGTGAGAAAGGTGAGTGGTCTGTGTTTGTGCTTAGTGATCTTCCGCAAAGTGTAGACGACGAACAAACTGAAAACTCTACAGAACAAATCTGTAAGCATGACTAAAAAGGCATGAATCTGTAAAGAGCGAAAACTCACTTTTGATCTGAGAGCGCCTTCTTCATCTAATCTGTGATTCGACGAGAATGTGGTAATTCTGGCACTTGGAATAGTCACTGTGTCACAAGATTGCACAACTCCAGATGAGCTAGAGGGCTTGGATTTCTGTCGTTTTAATCTCTCAGGCTTGAGAAGATATAATATGTCAGTGGAGGTCATTACATGATCGGTCGTGAAGCTGGAGTTACATACAACGTAGTTTGTCCTTTCCCAGGCACGTAGTTTTTGTTGCTCGTCCACGCTTTTTTTAGTTCATGCCTCTTCTATTTTCATTTCGACGTTGCTGTTCTTGCTTGTTTTTCACAAGATGGTGATGATGATACTGTAGCTGTTCTTCAAATACAAAAAAGATCAAGATGTCGCTTTGGTTTTGGCTTTCAGAACTTCTTTCATCACGACGAGCATTACGGTATTCGGTATGTTGTATTTACATTTAGCACCATTCGTGGTGTAAGTGTAAGTAGCTAGTACTACGTCTATGTAGAAGCAGCTAGCCCCTGTCCTCGCGGAAAAAAGTAGAACAAAATGGGGAACTTTTGTTGTCAAAAGATCGATCCTTTGATTGCATTCGTCAATCTGCCGAGGGAAATCATCATCGAGAATCGGCGGTTGGGTTTGCTTCATGTAGTCCTCACGGTGCTGGTGGGAATATGGGTGATCTACAACTTTATTTATTCGCGGGCATGGAACTTAGAGCACATTCCGGTTCACGGGATGGTCGAATTGTGGAGTGGCTCGCCCTCGACATGGGACGCTACAGTGAAACACTGCACCGACCTGAGCTACTACAACTACGATTGGAGCTCCACCTTTATGTATCGGCCGACAAAGTGTATGCGGTTACCGGAAGGCGAAAACCAGTATAAACTCGGGAGTAGGATGTACATCACAACTTATGCGGTAGACAGCTACTACGTGGGTGGCGTCAAACAGTGGAGCCTAGAATTTTTGACGCAAAACGTGGATGACTTGATGATATATTTCAATCACGGATACCAAGTGACCACACAAAGCGACAAGGTAGTTCGTGGCCGCGACAAGTTTCAGGGTGAAGAGGGTACACTGGGAGGCAGCATGAGTGAGATCTCAGGCGAACAGGGCCAAATGCTCACGATTTTCCAGGATAGCAGTGGCAGTCGTGAATGTGTCATTGGTGGAAAATCCCGATGGAAGCCTAGGGACGCTCTGTCTGGTATATCCGGGAAGTTAAGTGAGTTTCTAGCCTGTGGCGGCATTTCTCTCGATGATTACAACCATAAAGTGAAGACCAATAGCGCCGTGGAAGTCGGCACGCCCACCTATCGAATAACGGGTGCGGGGCTCAAACTTGAGCACTACTACTACAACTCGCTAATGCACTCGGAAAGTGACTGGGCGGGGACTGTGTGCTACATCCGCGTGCGAACAGTTCCGATTTGGAACAGCAATCAGATTGCCGCACACACCACAGTATACGACGGAACTATTTCTGGTACCAACCCAAGTGCTAGCGACGTGCAAAGTGCCTATCGCTTTCGCTACCAGTACGGCGTCTCCGTCGAGCTAGAGGCTTTGGGGACGTTCTCCTTGTTCGACTACCAAGCCTTGATCACGGGTCTTGTTAACGCTTTGGTGCTGTTGGCACTTCCGACGGCGGTCATCAAGGTGATTGCGTGCAAGTTTTGTGGCCCCATAAGCGCTGTGTACGAAAGAAGCCAAGCGGAGCCAGTGGATCTGAACGAATTCATCTACGGAGCAGTTGCGCGAAAGTTTGTCTACGCACACGTTTTTAAGCAGCTAGCAAAGGAAGGGAAGCAAGCCCGAGGCGGAGATCAGCCTCCTGATGGTGCTAATGTTACTGTGGTCCAAAGACCTCCAGTAGCAACAGTACCTGTAGCGCTTCGACAAATGATGAATGCTGGCATGATGCCACCACCCGGTGAGGGACAACTACAGCATCAAGTGAATTTCGTAGACGGCGAACCGACCAAACCACCCGTAAACGCTCTCATGAAAGCGGCCACAATGGCGCGGCAGGAAGCCCCTGTTAATGCGAAAGAGGCAAGTTTAGATCCGGAGCATGTCGGGGCCATGCTTCAGGAAGCGTTGCTACAGTGCGTTCAGGATGGGACGTTGGATGAACAGGAGATCAACCTGATGTCGGAAGCCATTCTACATGGTCTGGATCATGACGGTGGTGATTCCTTGCAGATGCACGAATTCGTTGAGTCCTGCTCGTTCGGAGACAAGATTGGCCCCACAGAAATCGGCGCACTCTTCGACAAAGAGCGCAGAGCAGGTTGCTTGGAGAGGTTACTGACCGATAACAAGATGAAGCACATGCTGGATATGGCCTCGGAAGGCGGATCAGAGAAAAGGAAGGTGGAAAGGACGCTCAGACGAAGAACGGCATCGCTTCAGCGAATCGGATCCTTGCACGAAATTAGGAACCATCAGACAATCACAATATATTCACTACAAACATTGTCACCAGCACATAAAAAAGAAAAAGACCATCTACAGCTAGCTAGTGAGATGTCTATTTTGTTATTCTGGATATTAAATCAAGTAGAAGCCTCTTTATGTAGTTCGATGTCTAAGTCTCTCATCTTGTCTTTTAGTGAGGAGCCTGAGAGTGTAGGTGTACTGTATATTGTTATTGATAATAGAACTGTATTATTTATCGAAGCATCCTTCGTCCCTAAGATCTCCGACGGTGCAGACGAGGCCACTCTGCCGCCGCAGCGTGGTCGAAGCAGTTGGCGGGCAATTGACGAGGAAGCGATAGAACTGGGAAACCTCGAGAACGGAGGCGCCCACCAAGACCTCGAGAAGGGTGAGGGTGGAGGCGCTGCAAGTCAGGAGGAAAAGGGAGAAAATAAAGGAAAGGAAAACGAACAAGGTGCTGAAAAAGGGGTCGACGATTCTCAAGGACAAGGAGGAAAAGGGGAACAAGACGAGGGAGATGCATCAGCGCCTCAAAAAACGAAGCGACGGCGATCGTCCAAGCCACGGGAGAAGAAACTCCGCACATGAACGGAGAGGACCGATGACAATCAAGAGTAGAGCTACTGGAGGATGACTTCCTGCATATGGTCGGGCAGCGCAGTACACATCGACATGATCGGCCGATGCTGGTATAACTACGAGTTGAGCTTGCGCCCACATGCTCTTTTGCGAATGCTGCTGCCTTCCGTAGTCTGCATAGAAGTGCTGAGGCTGAATGTTGTTCAATTATAATTTTTAGATTTACATTTACTTTTAGATTAAATGCTGTTGTTCTTGTTGATTTAAGTACTTAAGTAGCTTCAGTAATCAGATTAACGAGTCGGCAAATTTGATATTATCACCCAACCCAAAAAAAGACATTGAAAAACAAAAAGGCTAATAGCCGCTAATCAAATGATGACTCATGATAGTGATACAGCAACTCACAGATCATGACTACCGCAACAGATGAAATACCGTTAATCGTTTTGTAGAATGGTGTTTTTAATGATCGTAGAGGTCATAAAGAATGAGAAGCAAGAGAGGAAAACTATGGGACAGGATTCTCACAGATGAAACCAAACTCGATACCATTACAACAGTTAGAAGAATCAAGGAGTCTTCGCTTCAGATATGAAATTCGTCCCGAGAGTGAAAACGAACAAAACTTCGTTGTCCACCCCTTCGGGAATCACAGATGAAGTAAATCCTAAAAGGAACTGCTTCCGCTGATAAAAAGTACTGAGGAACAAATTAAGTACATGTGCGAGGACTGCCGCGAACGACAGCAGACTCTACCCTTGGGGGCATCGCAGAGGCAGAGACGGACCAGAGATGAACTAGGAGATCACGATCTTCTCCAATCTTCATCTGAGCAATATACTGATCGTCGACATTTTCGCGGGACATCGACAACGACTACGTTACTTCCATTCTGCGAAAAGGTGCGACTCATCCCGTCTGAAGTATATTGACGTCCTGTTCTACCATGATGAATCAGGTCAACGGCAGCGCCCCCGCGGCCGGATACAGAGACGATCGCAGCCCCTCTAGATCCTCGACTTTGTGGGACCAGAATCATGCACACAACGAGGAAGAAGGTTTACAAAGACAACGGGGTGCCAACCATGTTGCTCTAGATCATTCCTTGAGGTCTTCTACACCCGAAACCGAATACGAGCATGCAGCAGAAGATATCCGCGCTGATGGCAGCAGATGTCATTCTAGTTTGCTACCAAGTGGAATAAGTAGTTTGCATTGTGCTTCTAGTACAAGTACTGCAAGTTGTGCAGCAGCGCCGATATGTGGAGCACCACTAAGTCGAAGGTACAGGAAGTCTCGCACGATGCAGATGCTATCAACCCCAACTGCAGAGAGAAAAATACATCGGGAGACGAGGAATAGTAGATCTGAGATCAAGTCGACGTCCAAGAACATGTCATCTTCGAGCTTCTCATCTGCTGGTACTTGTGGTTGTGCTAGTTGTAGCAACAATATTACTTGCGCTAGTTGTAGCAGCATATTGTTGTCCAAAATGACAAAGAATTATCAATCTCTGAGACACAGCGACTGTCCTCGTGGGACTCGGCCGCGTCGAAGGCGTCGCATGATGACAAATAGTAAACTCGTGGTGTTATCCCAAGTGGGGATCATGAATGGCACCAGCTCCAATTTTGGTGCCTTCGGCATTGTTCCTGTGCACCATGAAGAAAGAAAACTACGTCGAGAGGAGGTTACGCACGAAGGAGTAGTGCGCCAAGATGATGTAGGTGGTGTAGAGCAAGCAGGAAATTTTTTAAGCGGCGACTCATCGTCGTTGGGGCGTGAACATGATGAAACAATCCATCACGAGCCCGACCTTCATTCAAGGAGCTATGGAGGTACAAGAAGTTCGCTGCAGCATTTGAAGTCTTCAGTGGTCCATCACCATGAGCAGGCTACGTCATCAATGAGCAAACACGAACACGGACTTGCGATCGACAAAAGAAGCAGAGTTACGTTTTACTCGAATGACAGGCCACAGAAGTGCTCTGCGTTTTCTGCTGCAGATGGGGCTTACAAGGAGCTCGATAATACAGTGTGGGCCACGGACAAATGGCCGGTAAGATCATCCTAAGTGGTCTTTTATACCCCTCGTTCGGGTACATATATTCATTCATCCTCAAGCTTCACTCCTGTAATATTCATTTGCAGTTAAGCTCCCAATAGAGTACATCTACAAAGAGAACTGACTCCTAGATGATCACACTAACAATTTGAGTCGCAATCGCATACGCATCGTTCATAGTATTTCTTGCAAGTACATTAACATACTAGAGATAATTGAGATTGACTGTCTTGAACTCCGCAGCACAAGAAATTGCTAGAAAATGATCATCCACAACTACAGAGGGTAACGGAGGGGTGGGTAAAAGCAGCTGCCGAATTTGATACGGTTTCGAAATGCAGAGAATCTTGCGCTTTGTTCAATATCGATAAGGAGTATAAATATTATAGCTTTTGTGAAAGTTCATATAATGGGACTTTTGGCCCTTTCGGAGCTGCATCAAAGGCAGGATGCACGTGTTTCCACGACTTGCATTTAGGAGGTGCGACCACCGCGGAGCATTTCACAGCAGTTGACAATGTCCAGAATCAGCCAGCTTGCACAATCGGGCTAGCCTGTGTACTTTGATGTCATTTTCATACTGCATTGCAATCTTATCTTCAACAGTGTAGTACGAAGATGCTGTTCTCGGACGAATTCATGCCCACTAGTGCGACTAGATCATTTAGATTTTTTGACCAGTCCCTCCCTCCCTTCGTTAACAACTTGCTCCGGGCTAAAATCGCACCTTCCTGCTTTTTCAGGCTACGTATTGTCAAACGGAGCAGCTCATCGAGCATCGATGGGTTGAATGGAAAACCCATCAGAATACAATGGTAGGACATTTGGGGTATCACTTTGGGGAGACGGTTTCACGGGATCATGAATCTATCAAAATCGATGCCGTTGACTGGAAGCAGGCACCGACTGGGGTACTGACGTTATGATTTTCGCTAGTCTACTCTGTCTCTTCAGGTTCAGTGTGGGACGCCTCATCAAGTAGTTGTGACAGAGAGACACATGACAAACAAGCACAACTACTCCCACGCTGTGCATCAGGTCTCATGCGATGATGTTTTTAAAACCGATGACAGAGGAATCGAGCTATGCTGCGCAAAAGATCCGCATGGACAACTTAGAATCGAGATGCGGGGTTGCAACTTGGATTTGGCTGACTCTCTCGGTACCGTCCTTACGCTAATCTTTTACGGCCTGTAGTTGTAGTTCTTGTACATGTACCCTAATGAAAATGGCCCATTTGACTTTGATAGAAGTATTCTGGTTGAGGTGCTTTTGACTTTGCACTTGCAGCAGGTGCAGAATAGAGTCCCAGGATGCATCATCTCAAGATGGATTATGCCTCGTCTGGTAAACTCTAATTCGATCTGGGTTTTGTCCTCCCATGCTTTTGTGGCTGTCTATGCTTGTGCGGCGCGGTATACGTCATCATCAAATCCTGCACTGCTCCGAACCAGCAGCCACCGCCTCCGGTAACTCGATCTGATGTCTGATATGCCAAACAATAACAAAGCCAAAGGCCTTCGCCGAAGCAGAAGGCTGCTTCTTATCATCCGATTTTCGAATTCCTTTTGATGTTCCTAGTTCTACTAGTTGTGCGCGAACATCCAGCACCACCAGCTGAATTAGTGAAACACTTTTTAACTCAAAGTCCAAGTAACGCTCGTACAGCTTCATGCTCCCACACACACTCTCTTCGCATCCCCATTAGGCGATGCAGCCTGTGGTATTCGTGCAAGGCGGCCTCGGGGTAGACGTGGTGAAAGGCCCACCGCCTGGGGCGGTCGACGTGGTGAGTGGTCAACCCGGAGTAGTTGCGGAAGTGACGGGCGGTGAGCCTGAGGGTCAGCAACAAGTGCCACCAGCTGAGGAACCGATTGGAACGGCCACCGGTTAACGAGTAGGTGGAACACTTTATCATGGTAGTCCTGAATTTACGTAAGCAAATGTAGGATAGTACGTGATGCACTTCGCTAAGTTTTTCATCGAGTACTACTACTACTACTACTACTACTACTACTACTACTACTACTACTACTACTACTGCTACTACTACTACTACTAGGCACCCACATGAATAAGAAAACTCTAGAGGTGTTTAGCACTTTAAAAGCCCGAGGCTCCAACTCTCCGAGAGGGCTGCCGTACTAGTAGCCCGACGGGTTTCCCTCTGAATCCTGAACCCTGAATCGAGAGCCGGCTCCCCTTGGTGTCCCTTCTATATGGGAGGGACTTGATTGGCCATCTGAATCCTGAACCCTGAACCGAGAACCCGCTTCCCTTGATGTTCCCTCTATATGGCAGGCGACGCGATGTCCCATCTGAATCCTGAACCCTGAACCGAGAACCCGCTTCCCTTGATGTTCTCTCTATATGGCAGCCGACGCGATGTCTCATCTGAATCCTGAACCCTGAACCGAGAACCCGCTTCCCTTGGTGTTCTCTCTATATGGCAGCCGACGCGATGTCTCATCAATCTGAATCCTGAACCTTGAACCGAGAACCCGCCTCCCTTGATGTTCCCTCCATATGGCAGGCGGCCCGGAGTCCGCCTATTCCTGACAGACAAACCCCCCAAAGCGTGCACCTTCGTGACGGCATTGCAATCGTCAGGCATCACACTGAAGTAGTGAAATTGGTTCAACGGTCTAGGCGTTCGCTTTGTCTTTCTGCGCCACCTCTATCAAAGTTTCGGACCTCGCTCACTAGCCTAGGCCGTCGGCCCTCCTGTAGTAGTATACTCATTCTGCTGCGCACTTGAAGCCATGTAGTGTAGCTTAATGGTCCGCGTCTTGCGCTAGCGCTTTGGGGTCTCAGGTTCCATATCTTAGCCACGAAGTAGCTCAGCTGGTAGCACGCTTGTTTCCGTTCTCCAGGACTCAGGTTCGAACCCCAGCGGTGTCAATTCTTGTTCTAGTAAGTTTGTCCGTTGCAGCGATGGCACCTGAGGGCATCTCTCGCCTCCCCAGCGTCTGGGCGCAGTTTTACTTAACCACACCGCCCGTCAGCGCCATGCATAGCTCAGCCCCAGAGTAGCAGCTCAAAGAAGTAGGCCAACTGGTAGAGTCCTTGGCTTTGCTTTTGACCACCAACGTCCGAAAACTAGCGACAGCGTTTTCCCGTGAAGACTGAAGCCCGAGACGTTTAGACGAAGTAGGTCGCGCCATATTTTAACTACGAAGTAGCTCAGCTGGTAGCACGCTTGTTTCCGTTTTCCAGGACTCAGGTTCGAACCCCAGCTGTGTCAATTCTTGTTCTAATAAGTTTGTCGGTGGCAGCGATGGCACCTGAGGGCATCTCTCGCCTCCCCGATAGTTCAGCGCGGTACATTCTGCGACGGTTCAGCTGCGAGAGTCGTCTTGATTGTTCCGCGAGTGATGTCGATAGTTCAGAAAGTTGCGCCTATAGTTCAGCAACCTCGCGGCGACAGCTCTCGGACTGGTCCAAATTAAAAAGGTAGAGACGTCCACGGGACCAAGATGGTGCGCGTTGTGTTATGATCCATCTCCCTGGTGACTAGTGCAGATCCTCTGATGGTGACTAGTGGCGCGGAGTTGGGTCCTCTGATCTTTGCGGGCTCTCATTGATTCCGGTAGGACGTAGTAGACAGCTGAGTGGTTTGTGAAGTATTGACTTGAGTGGGAGTCAGTCGTCGAGTCGTAGTAGTCAGTCATCGAGCAACCTACATCAGATCACTCTCAGAAAAAGATAAGCGTGCCTGCTCTCGTCTCGTCTCTTCTCGTTCGCGTCCTTGCAGAATGGACGGAGAAGCCGCGCCGGACTGGGTGGGTGACGAGTTGGACGAGCTTCGCTACATGGAGGGGAAGAACGTACTACCGCTTGTATTGCTCTCGTTGTAGATGTACGGCGGCTGCGCGATGTAGTTGCATAGTGGTCGCGAGAGGGTAGTCTTGCGTAGTTGTGTAGCCAGTGACCTCCTTTCCTCTGTGGTTTCAGTGATTGCTCAGCCAAGCTCAGTAAATCTCGGCCAGCCATTCTCTCTCTCATTGTTTTCGTCGTCATGTCCAGGTGTATTTGAATTACCGGGCTGCAATCGAGGCGGATGATTTTTCGAAGGTTTCGACTGCAGACCAGCAAAGGGTGTCCGATACTCTGGACGAGGATAAGTTACGGCTAAGGTTTTCAGGCTGGAGCAGTAAAGAAGTAGTAAGTAAGTCGTAAGTAGGTAGTAAGTAAGTAGGGAGTAACTAAGAAGTGTGTAAGTGTAAGTGGGTAGTAAGTAGTAAGTAGGTAGGTAGTAAGTAGCTAGTAAGTAAGTAGTGCGTCAGTCGACTTCTAACGAGGATAACCCCGGAGAACTTGATCAGCTCGATACTCGAGAACGTGGACGCGGCGGAGGGAGTGATGGGAGTCAGTGCCAAGGTCTTCGACCTCCTCTTCTATATGCAGAAGCGACACCTGTGGAAGAAGCAGCAGGCGAAGAAGAAGAGGCGGGGGAAGCTAGCGGAGGAGCTCCAGAACATGGCTGAAGCGGATGGGGCGGGGGAGCTGTGCGTCGTAAATTATGGCGCAGGGCCGTACTCGAGTAGTCTTGGGGCGGTAGTAGGAGAATCAGGGGGAGGCAGTAGTAGGTAGCACGTAGGTATTGGGAAGAGAATCAGGGGAATGCACTAAGCTACCGGGGGAAGTAGGGGCCAGTTGTGAGAGTGCGGCGACCTTTCATCTTCTAACCATTGAAGACGAGCGACGGCGGCACGGTGATCAGGCCCCAGTGTAGTAAGTTAAGGCCACTGCCCTCCCATCCTTCTCCGCGTCTTGGGTCCGTTTTCCTTTGTTTTCTCATGCGGTAGAACTAGAAAGCAAGGGCAGGGAACCCATCTGGATCAGATGGCCGGGATCAAATGGGCTGGGCTCTAAGTTGGGAAGTTTCTGATCGGGTGCAGAGAGTGAGGACAGAGGCGGACCGGCAGGCTAAAAAAACCAAGAAAGAGACGGACCGGAAGGAGAAACTGGCAAGGAAAGCAGCGGAGAAGGTGGCGAAGATGAACGCGAAAGCAAAAGAGAAGGCGAAGCCGAAGGAGAAGCCGAAGGAGAAGGCGAAGCCGAAGGAGAAGGCGAAGCCGAAGGAGAAGGCGAAGCCGAAAGCGAAGGGGAAAGGGGCAGGAACCAGTGGCAACAACAACGAGGGCGGAGGTGGTGGCGGAGGTGGGATTGGCTACCAGAACCTGGACGAGCTCCTGGAGAGAAGTAAGGTGGAGGGGCCCGCTCCTCCCCCTCCTCCTAGAAGTGCCTTTGCTGGTGATAAGGCATTTCGTTTAGTGGCGATGAGGCATCTCGCTTGAGTGCTCGTGGCTAAGGGTAAGTTTCTGACTCATTGAAGGGGAACAAGCAAGCAAATCCATCAAGAACGGAAATGCACGCACTGCGTACAGGCAATCCATTTTGTGGCGATGAGGCGTCTCGCTTGAGTGCTCGTGACTAAGTATATATAAGTGTCTGACTCTTTGAGGGGGAACAAGCAAGCAAATCCATCAAGAACGGAAAGACACGCACTGCGTGCAGGCAATCCATTTTGCGGCGGTGAGGCATCTCGCTTGAGTGCTCGTGACTAAGTATAAGTGTCTGACTCTTTGAAGGGGAACAAGCAAGCAAATCCATCAAGAACAGAAAGACACGCACTGCGCGCAGGCAATCCATTTTGTGGCGATGGGGCACCCCGCTTGAGTGTTCGCGACTGAGTATAAGCGCCTGACTCATTGAAGGGGAACAGGCAAGCAAACCCATCAAGAACGGAAAGACATGCACTGCGTGCAGGCAGTCCGTGAAGGTCTTAGCTTGTGAATTCTTCGAGATGGTGAAGAGGTTGCGTAGCTGGTGGCCGTTCTGAAGGTCGTTCGAGTTTTGCGACCAATCGCGACGCTCTTGAGTCGTCCCCAAAATGAGAACCGTTGAGAGCTCCAGCCCAGTTCTTGAGAGACAGAGAGAGGCGCAGCCTGGCTATGGTTCGTTTGCTATTGGAGTGGACGTGGGAAAATGTAAAAAGGAGGCGCGATCTGGTGGCCAGCTGCAGACTTGTCACCTCTTTGGGTGGTATCTCAGTCAGTTCCTAACCAATTCAATCAACCAACCCCCTTTAGGTTTTCTGGTGAGTGTGCACGGTTCGTTAGGCCCACACCCACTTCTCTTCGGTTTCTTCTAATTCTATTCACAGAGCTGAGCGCGACTTATACTCTTCTAGTTCTAACAACAAGAACAAAAAAGGGCTGCAACTGTAGCACACCTTCGGCGTGTCAGAGTCTTCTCGTTTCCGCGTCTCTTGCAGGTTTGCCTCGCTGAAGTGCTTCAGGCCAATCCGACGACTTGCCGCGAAAAACAACAACAACAACGACAACACAACGACAAGCACCCACCTCACGCGTGTCGTAGTGTGTAGCCATGTCGATGCTGATCTATATCCGTGCAACCTATGACGTGGATACCAACACCCACTCGGGTGGTTATCTCGCGCGGCCGCTTCTCGGTTCTTGTGCTGAGTGGTCTCCGCCTCCATTTCTTCCAGTTTTGGAGGAAGGTCATGAAGCTGACGCGCCAGGTCGTTACTTCATCGGCCAAGGCGGCACCCCACTGCCTCTGTCGTCTAATTTTAAGGGGAGGCTCGCTTTTGTTGCTGGTTATTATGGTCCCCAAAGGGGAGGAGACATAATAAGCGGGGCAAACGAGCGCCGGCGGCTTGTTTCTAATTGTTGGCATTTTGGGCCCTCCTCGCGAGTTGGCGCGATGTGGTCTCCGGCGTGGAACTCTACACTGCGGGCCTCGAGGTCCCCGCAATTCGGTGGCGGGGACCTCCCCAGTGAGAAGGCGGCGAAGAACTTTTATGAGCAACCAGGCGGCGCCCTCGTTCCTCTGCCTGTGGTGCCTTTCTTAAGGGGGACAAGCAGAACAAGGGGAGGAACGAGTGCCAGGGCTTTCTGTCTCTAATATCTCCTAAACATGTTGCGCCGGAGGTGGGGCTTAGCTGACCAGGTTCAGGCCTTTGAGTCGCCGCCGGGTGCGTTCTCTTTCGTGGTGCAGCAGTATGCTTATGGCTCGGCTTTGTCGGCTCTGTGGGTTCAGTTGAATGAGGTAGGCCTTTGGGTTCAGTTGAATGAGGTTTGGGGGGCTTTTACATTTATCCGCAGTGGTATCCCTAAGCTGTGAGCTTTTGCCTGTTCTTGTGGTCGTGTTCTTTCCTTCTTCTCTAATAGCTGGCTTTTCGAAAGCATGCGGAGGGGGGTGCTTTGCCTCCTGGAGAAGGGGCGAAGGCGTTGCCGCTGCTTACGAACGCCCTGGACCTCAGCAGGCACATCCAGCGAGGCAAGCCGCTCGACTCAGTCAACTTGCGCGATGACTTTTTTGATGGGTGGCTGGATTCCTCCTCGTCTTCGTCTTCCGGTGTTGACGTGTTTCAGCGCAATCGCCTGCAGCACCGGAGTGAGCTCCTCGAGCAAAGCAGGCGCACGAGGTTGGAAGAGGCGCAGAAGATGGCCGACGAAGTAGCTAACCACCTTCGCTGGCACCCTGCGCAGCCAGAGGTTTATTGGCGAGCAGATGCAGGGGCGTCGGTTTTGCTCTGTCCAGCTCTTGGGAACTGTTTTTTTCACTTAAGGCGACAGGACAGGCAACCACCGCCACGGCCACCGTGGGGGGAGCTTTTTCCTAGGGGGAAACGGTTCAGGATGTGCCTCGGGTCTGACTGCCCTTCGTTCTAATTCATGCGGCTGCGGCGGATTTATGGATCCGGCGGGGCAACTCGTGGCCGCCGACTCTCGCCACCCCCTTGGAAAGGCTCGCGGAGTCTCTTGCTATGGATGTTTATTGACTTCGACTAGAAGAAACAAGCAGAGCTGTTGTGAACAAGCATAGCCGCTGTTTGTTTGGTCCTGGGGTTCTGTTCTTTTCGTTTTGTCTCCTTCCTTCGTCTAATGGCCGTCTACAAATTCGAGGAAGCGCACCGCAGTCGATGGAAGCGCGCGCGGCTGCTATTGCAGACAGCAAGTCGCTCAACTGGTGGCTAATGGCAGCGCTGAGAAACGTCACAGACTATCGGGAAATGTATGCGCCTGCTGATGAAATAGCTGTGAAGGCGATCGCGTACAAACTGCGGCTGCGCATCCGCTGGCAAATCTTGGGGACGGGGAGCGCGGTGGACTTTGGGCCAGCTGATGAGGGCTTCCACCGCGTGGAAGTAGAGGGGAGCGAAGCCCATGTGGACTTGCGAATCCCCGGCCAGGTGTATGGGAGACAAAAGCAAGATAGGCAAGGCGTCGACGACTCCGCGATTTTGTTTTCCTCGTCCAGCGAAGACGGGGGGCCCGATGCCTCTCCTGCGCCGAAGCGCTGCAGAAGTGCCGTGGCTCGTGTTAAGGCTGGCTGGAGTAGCTCCGAGTTAACAGCGCCACTCTCTTGCCTTTCTTTTCTGTTTTTGAGTATCAGTCCGCGAGTGTGAGAGTTGGAAACTTTGTCGAACCAAGGCGCCCAGGCTTCGAGCTTTTCGGGGTGTGGGGGTCTTGGTTGGTGTGTTCTTCTCCAGTCTTCTAACGTCGATGGCAGTCCGCTCCAGAGTCCGCGAGGCCGAGCGACTGGCTGGAAAAATGAAGCGCAGGACCCTAATTCTTGCGGCAGTCGGCTCCTGAGAAGTCCGCGAGGCCGAGCGACTGGCCGTCCAAAGGAGGCGCAGGGCTCTAATGTTGGGGGCAGTCCGCTCCTGAGTCCGCGAAGCCGAACGACTAGCCGCGCAAATGAAGCGCAGGAGAACCCCCACGCCGTAGGCAGTCCGCTCCTGAGTCCGCGAAGGCGAACGACTGGCCGCGCAAATGAAGCGCAGGAGAGCCCCGGCGCTGTATGCAGTCCGCTTCCGAGTCCACAAGGCCGAACGACTGGCCGCCCGAATGAAGCGCAGAGGATCGAGGCTGGGTTGTCTTTATGGGTGCTGCTTGCTCTGGATGTTCTCTCCGTTCTCAGTGGTGTGCTGGGTGTTTTTCTCTCTAATTTTTGCGCTGGCGGTTACGTATCCTGACTTGGCTCGCCTGCCTCTTCGCGCTGTCTATGCTTGGAGGGAGATCGTCGAGCACCGCAACAATGCCGACCAGGGTTTCTTGGAGGTCGATCGGGTGCGGCTGCATGGAATCGCCGAGCATGGTGACTACCGTCTGCATGCGGATGGCTATTATCGCGTGCTTGCGGATAAGCCGAACGCTTGGAGCCGGGTGCAGCTCGAGCGCCTGCCCTCCGGGATGACGGACAAACTGCTCGAGCTGCTGGCTGCGGGCTTGTATAAGCTCGCGGCCAGCACTGCGGGTCTGGATGTTAAGGGTGCCGCCGGCTCATCTCTTCGGGCATCTTTTAGCCATTTGCTACGCACCTGGAAAGTGTTAAAAGATGCGCGAATCGATGGGCCGCTGGTGCGTCTAATGGTTTTTGTGAAGAGCAGCTGGCTGCAGTCCTTAGCGATTTGCATGCAAGTGGCGCAGCTTCGAAGGTTTTGCATGACGCGATCCAGCACAAGCTCCAAAACCAGGGGCCTGGCTGGTCTGCGAATTTCTGCAAAGTGAGCACTCGCGTGCAGCGAATCGCCTGGGCGGTGAATTGTGCGCGGTGTGGGCGTGCTGGGAATGTGGAGCGCATTCCCCTCCGTGCGGCGGTCGAAATCCTTGCCACGCCGAAGCGGCCAGACCGTGCTCTGGCTTTCACCGATGGCGTGCTGGAGGCGCGGGGTGATTCTTGGGAATTTACGCGCATCACGCTGCCAGATGCGGGGCACATGCATAACGTTTACCGCTTCGCCGGGTATGCATTTGAGCCGGACTTGACGGACGAAGACAGAGACGCCGGAGAAAGATGCAGGAAAGAGTTCGAGGACCGTTTTTGGTGGAATGTGCCGCATCTTGGGAAGTATGTCTTGGCCGGTGTCAATGCGGTTCTTCGATATCACCCGCCAGGTGCTTGGTTCGTCTTCTCGACAGCGTCCGACGGTGGCAAGGATCTTTTTGTCGACAACC